CTGTGTGTCGCACAAAGCTCAAGAGTCCAGATGGTAATTTATTTTTCTCAAACTTCCCTCATGAGAAGAATGGGCCAAATGGTGAACTTCGTATCGGAGTCAACCTTGGTGTCGACTGGTAGGTTTAATTTCCCTTACTCACATGACACTCTTATATACATGCACCGTTATCCTAGGTTCTCCTACATACGGAGTAACATAGCACCGTCCCACTCATCATGTCCAACATCATTCTCAATTTGCAATCTTCCACCGGAGTACCGGTAAGTCCATCTTATCTACCCTCACTCGCTGATTTACTCTCTTCAAAGATATCGAACATCCAACCTGATGTGTACAAGTATTCTCCCTGGACCCAAAGAGCAAAACCCTGACCAAATTCAGCGATTTTTACGTCCCATTATCTCAGACTTAGTGCGCCTATGGAAATTTGGAGTCAAAGTCCCAACTGAATCCTGTCCCCAGGGTATTTACATCCAAGAATTTACGAGTACTATGTCAGTACTAATTTTGTTGCAGGTCGACTCGTCCGTGTAGTATTGGTTGCTGTAGTCTGCGATAAACCTGCTGCACACAAAATTGGAGGTTTTGCGTCTCACTCACACACAAAATTTTGTACAGCATGTTGGATCACGATTCAGGACAAGGACAAACCACGGGCTTTTGAAAATGGCGGTATGTTGATAGCACTATCTAACTAATAAACGCATGATAACAGTTCTCTCATAGCTTTTGAACCTCGGACAAATGAACAGCAACGAGAACTTGGTGAACGCTATCGCAAGCTCACCACAGTGAACGCACGCAAGAATTTTGTCAAGGAACATGCAACTCGATACACACAACTCTCACATCTGCCATATTTCGATCTTGTAGAACAGATAGTCATTGATCCCATGCACAACCTCTTCCTTGGCGAGTTCTCCATCTTGCATCGCTATCAACTCAGAGGTGTTCACACTTCTTATATAGGTCTCGTTAAGACACATTTCTATAATATTTGGGTTCAAGGCAAAATTCTTCGTGCTAACCATGAACTAGACATGTTTCATGAGATGCTTGCCGACGTAAGTGTCATTTATATGCAGGTCTCCGTTCCTAATCTTCATAGTTCATTGTACCTGCTTCGTGCGGAAAATTACCGACCGATATTGGAATGCCATCTGGTGGTTCTCTTACAGCAGACCAGTGGCTCCTTCTCGCTACCGTCTATGGACCAGTTGTAGTGGGTCCTGCTCTTACTTATAGACTTGTCAGTACGCAACTCACTCACTGGGACAAGATCCCACAGCTGTGGAGTACCTGTTTGCCAATGGATGCCGATGATGACATTCTTCGTCACCGTGTCAACACCATCAAGAAAGCTGAGTCCGAGAAGCAAGCACAAGCAAGTTCCAAGGCGGACCAAAAGAAGGCCCTAGCTGCTGCAAAGATACTGGGCAAAGACGCATTTGAGGCTGAGAAGGCACGAATTGCACAAGAGAAGCTTGCTATTGCAGAGGCCAAGACACAGGAGAAACTCAGAATTGCAGCTGCGAAGCAAGCTGACAAGGTTAGACTTGCAGCTGAGAAAAAGGCGAGCGCCGCTGCGAAAAGGGTGAGTTATAGCGGTCCTTTTCAACAAGTCACTTCTGAATATGATTTGAGTCTAGGTTTCGAAAAAGCGCAAGGCAACAATGCAAACTGTTGAAGATCTGCCTGAAGGACAAATACGTCCACCTCCCCTTGCTCCTGGTTTGGTCCCTATAACTGAGTCACAACCACAGACATCTGGAGATACCGTGGGTGACGGAGAAGATGCAGATGCAAACTTGAAGTTCTCGCTTCACCCTGATGACCCTGCTAACTTCTTGAAGCTCTGTGCAGCGCTACGAATTCTCATCAGATGGAAGCTATCTGATGATGACATCAGTCAAGCTGAGCGGCTTATCTCACAATATTGTGGAGAGCTTATACACGTAAGTTTCATATATTTTGCTATGGTGCTCATCAACCTCGCATCATCTAGCTTTATGGATCTGGTGCACTCAAACCAAACCATCATTATGCGACTCATGTTGGCACTTTTGCACGTAACTTTGGCCCCCTCCATGACTTCTGGACATTCTTGTTCGAGCGCCTCAATAAGGTTTTGAAGTCCTTCAAGACCAACAATCATGCACACGGCGAGCTGGAGACGACCTTCTTTAGAGAGTTTCAAAGGACTTGTCAGATTGGAAGACTGGTAAGTCAACCACATCGCACCACGCCTCAGCTTTTGTCACTAACCAACGATCATTCATAGATATTTACATTACAGAATTCTCCGAACAAGACACTTCCAAGTGAAGCAGCAAAAGCGATGCTAAAGGGATCCAATGACGAAAGGGGGACAGTTGCTGCACTTGCCAAACTGTCCCAAGATCTCGACGATGTTAATGTTGATGGTACGCCAACTTCTTGAATGTTATACTACAGCCAGTAGCTCAAATACAACTAGCTGGTCAAGATTATGCCCTTAGTCCTCGACATCACAAACAGCAAATGTCTACAGAGACATACCGACTCCTCGCATTCACCATATGCCGTCTTTTTCCTTTGTCACCTGTTCATTGTCGTTCGGACCACCCAGTGGTACCTCACAGCCTCCCACTTAATCGTCACGCAGTCTTTTTTGACTATGTGATAATTGATGGTAAACGATACTATGCTTCCAGAACAGTCGGTACAAATCGGTCATCTCTGGTTCACACCATCATCCCTGGTCCAAGCCCTGTTCATGCTTATGGCGAAATTCTTGAGATTTTCCAGTTTGATCAGAGATTTCGTGTGGTGGATGAACCTCTTTCATCAGGAAAACCCTCCCCAGGGAAATTCGTCTAAACTATGATAATCTCCTCTAAACTATGATAATTCTCAATAATCATTGAGAATTATCGAGAATTATCGGCTTTAGAAGGACTAGGAAGACTATTTTGTTTAGAAGGACTTTTTTACTGCCTTATTTTTCAAGGATAATTATCACAAATTACTTGATATTAGACTACAATATTGTGAATTTCAGAGAGTATATTTTAAACTTTGCATATTGAATCACACACATCAGACAGTGTTACAAGTAAAACGGACTAATATTTGATCAGAAGATATACATAACACTACTGTACAGCTATATGTGCTACAAATGACTGCAAATACCCAATCCCTGCCTTGCATAAACGAAGCCCATATAAATTGTACCCCTTGCAACAAGAATGAGTGCAGACATTTAAGAACGAGCGCGGACAAGCACTTACAAGTGTAGATGAGCATCGGGCGCGGGGGTATACAGATGTCGAAAAACAACTAGAATGACTAAAAATGAGTGCGAACGAACGAAAACAAGTGCAGATAAAAGCACTTACAAGTGGACACATGGCATGTGTGGACAAGCACATGAAACACGAAAAAAACAAGCTGGAATGAGTGGGGGGTGAATAAAAATGAGTATAGACAAGCAGTATAACACTTACAAGTGACCAGGCTGGGGCAGGGCTAGTGGAAAGTAGGAGCCGATGCTAACACAAGCAACATACCGGCGTGAAGATCATGAACTAGCTGAGAGCAGGACACAGCCGCGGCACCATCAGCGTCAGACCCGCAGGTAATACATATAAATATCAAGTTAGAAATATGAAAAAACGATTGTAAAAAAAAGATAAACTCACCAAGACACTGCGAATGGTGGGCAATAACTTCAATCAGCGTGGCTTGAGCTCGAAGGAGAATCGACACACTGCAAACAGCAGACGACTTTGATCAGCACGGCTCGAGCTTGAAGGAGGGTTGACAGACTCACTCACTGCGAACGGCAGGGAACAACTTGGACCAGTGTGGCTCGAGCTCAAAAGAAGATCAACAAACTCACTCACTGCAAATGGCGGGCAACAACTTGGATCAACATGGCTCGAGCTTTAAGGAGGATTGACAGACTCACTCACTGCGACTCCCCATCCAGAGTCGAGTCTACATGTGCTGCGTGCGAGCAAGAATGAGAGTGTGATGAGCAAGAATGAGTGCCAGCAATAAACACTCACAAAGATCGTTTGATGGCGGTGAAGAGGCTCGAAGACAGTACTTGGGATGTTGAAGACTCAAATGTGATGTGGTGGTGGTGGAAGAGAGCGAGTGAAAGAATTTCGAACCACAAGTGAGTGTGAGAGTAAACAAGCACAAATATTCAACAAAGTTCTTTGTTTATTTGTTTACACATGTTGTCCTTGTTGACATCGGATATCACTAAGTCCATCAAATTGTCCTACTCAGGTACCTAATACTACTCACTCGTTGGAATTCCTTATTCTCATATGAGTTATCATCCCACACTGTCACATCCCATGAGAGTGGACTGTTGATGAGTGATTGATATATGATAATTGTAATACTTTTTTTGTTGAACTTGTATATAAATAGATACACTTTTTGTATTTTCAAATAATTCTCAATAATCACATCATCTTTTGGTGCTTTTTATCCTAATATCTGTAATTACACAGAATTATCTAAATTACATGTTTTATGAAAATTATGTGATTTTTGCCCTGGGAGGGTTTTCCTGATGTTGGTTTGCTCGTATGCGCTGGTTTGTACCATGGAGGGGAGAGTGCGAACAAGTTTGGAGTAATTTGTAAGTTGACCATCGTACTATCATTCATATCAGATGCTCTCATTCATTCACCCAGCTATTCTGCAGACCTACGCTTGTGGAAACTGGGAGAATACACCGGCCAAGAGACCCAACTCCCACATCTTATCGACCCTGATTGGATTTTTTGTCAGCTCGGGATGACCACAGTCTCGATCGGAGAAGACAAAACCAAGATTTGGGCTACAGTTGACCTTTCGAAGGTATGTTTACAGCTCATCGAGTCTGTGCAACATCTGATAGTAGTCACACAGTAATAATTTCTGATGAAGCTCATCAAATTTGACGCTGTTACAAGAATTACAAAGGTGCGTGGTACAGTTCCAATTCATTGTTTCTAAGGCGATCCAGCAACAGACTCGTTTTCACTTGTGTCTAGACCCTCCTCCTCCTCCTTCTTGTGCCACTTTGCGAGCTCGACCAAATAGTCCCAGTCCTCTGCGATAAAGTCATCTTTCTGCGCCTCATCCCAAAATCCCTTCAGCCACTCGACACCTTGAAGCATCGCCATGTCAGGGTGAGCTTTCTTCCAGTGATTAGCGACCATATTCTCAAATGGTGCGTTTTTCCTTGCCGACTTTGGGGGATTCTTGTTCATTTGATCGGGGTTGATGTCAAAAGTCTTCTTGATCAACTTCTTGTTTTGGCCTGCTGTGGTCCTACGACGCTTACTTGGACGCTCTCTGGTGCCTGGATTTGTTGCTGATGACATTCCCTCTGTAGTAGCTGCGGTGTTTGCCTCTGACAGTGCCTTTTTGCTGTCATCTGGAGTCTTCAAGCTCCGGAGCGTTAGGAATCGTCCAAATGCGACAAACTAATGAAAAAGGTTGGTACATCAATCAAGCTCTTGAACATATCAAATACTCACTTGAGGTGAACGCCATTCCAACCCCACAGCCATATTTGCACCTTTGCCTGCCCCAGACTTCGCTCTTCGATTCAACTTGTCCTCGCTCAGATCACCCTCATCATATGACAAGATGTCGGATGCAAAATCTGTGTCTATCATTGCAACAGCTCCAACGTTACCAGTCTCTTTTTCCCAGTCAAGCGCTGCTAGCCGACGGTTTTTTGTAGCCTGAATGGTAGTAAGTTACATCTTATTTATTCACAAATGTTAGACTGACTGTTTGACGACGAGTCCGCTGACGAATTTGATCCTTCTTCTCCTGGGCCTTCTTGGCCTTTCCGACATCACTACGACTCAACACTTGCTTGTGTATGTTGCGAAAGTAATCCTTCGTGCATTGCATAATGACCTGCATATTAAAGTCCTCGTCAGGGATCTCCCCCTTTGTGTGGAGGCTCTCGCGGCAGTGCTATGAAACTTGTGAGAATGTGAAACACTTTGACTTCGATAATGCTTACCTTCTCATCATTATAGACACAGTCAGCAACCTCTTTTATGAACTTTGCATTCACGCTTTCATCTACTTGTCCCAACCAGTTTGGGTGCCAGACTTGGATCGTCTTGCCTCCAGATTCGCTTGTCTCGTAAAATGCTCCATTCTCTAGTGGTTGAATGGCACCTAACACCTCCGGTCGCTGATTTCTATTCAAGGTAGTATCGATTCCACAAAGGTTGCAAAACATCGGCGGGATCAGTTGCTACAGCGTGTGAGTTTTTTTGCTTCGTAATATTGTTCAATTTACCGACTTTTAAGGCGGGGTGGTCATTGGAAATGTTCTTTCCGCTCGATTTCTTCTGCGATTTTGCAGTAGCTTCAAGTTGCAACTCCGAGATATCATTTTTCAATGTTTGAACTTGATCTTCTAAGGTCTTGACTTGCAAGGTAAGTGTATCGTTGGCGACAGAGTGTTGTGCATTAACAAGAAGAATTTGTTGGTTACTTTCCGACAGCATTGCTACCTCAGAGACGAGTTTCGCGACCATAGAGTTAAGATTCTGCAACTGTTCGTCATACGTGTGGGAGCCATGCTGGTATGGACCTTGATTCATTTGCGGTGCTGCTTTTTGCTGATGAAACAAATAGCGTTGCTGATACTCATCTGGAGAACCACCTTGACTCGGACCACCAGATCTCATGCTAAGCAGCGCGGGTGTCTGCTGTTGTCCACCACCATACATATATGGCCCTTGACGACCAAGATCTGGCGACGGCGTAGGAAATCCCTGCAGGTGACGAAGGTCCGGTGAAGGGGTAGGGAATCCTTGACTATTTGTGAACGGATCATCGTGCTGCAGCGGGTTCAAGTTATTCCCAACACGATGGAGTGGGGACAAGTGTGGAATGGAGTGTAATTGAGCACGGTACGCCTCTGTTATTTGCTGTTGGTTGTCTTGATCAACCCCCACACTAGTACTGGCAGCACCTTGACCTGGGTTATTCGGAGCACCACTGGGACGCCGCTGAGAGGTCTGGTTTGTAAACATGGTGTGCGACGAGGAGAAGGGAACGACAGAACGACAGATTCAGGCTGGCCCGCCATCGAGCAGCGCAGCCCCAGGCGTGGATCCCTAGTAGAAGCGCTTGTACCATATGTTACATCCTATCTCTACTCTAATCGGAATTGGTTTGAGCTCATATCCAGACATAAAGCGGACTCGCAAATGACATTAAGCAGATCATTAACTAGGTTGGGTTAGCTACTAAAAGGGCTAACCAACCCCCCACACATCACTTCTTTCCCGCCTCGTGTTATAGTCCGAAAGGCTCACCTTTCCCTACTTTAAGCCGCAGGAACAAGCCCAATGTGCATCCTCCGGTTATAGTATGTTTAGAACCTCTAATTCTACATCAACCCTATCGGGTTATTTTCTCGTTTCCGCAGTGATTGTTAGTAACAAGTTGAGGAAGACGTCGATCAAGATGATTTGTAAAAAACAATTTGTCAGAACCGAAAATGTGATCTTCGGCTCATTCAATGGCCCTCATCACCATCTCAGGTTACCCCTCCTCTGGAAAATCAACCCGCGCAGCCCAAATCCACGACTTTCTCTCATCAACTTCAAGCCCTCAACTCAAAGTAAAAGTCATCTCAGACGATGACTTGGCCGTTGATCGCGTGTCATATGATGGTATTGTCCCATCTTCTTCCTTCTCTTCAGACTGACCCCCGAAAATTAGACTCCCTTCAAGAAAAGATCGCCCGCGCAACTCTCTTCACCGCTATCACAAGGCACATCGCCAAAGACACAATCCTTATCGTAGACGGGATGAACTACATCAAGGGGTTTAGGTACCAACTGTATTGCAAGGCCCGAGAGGCTGGAGTAAGGGTCGCTACGGTGTGTAATAGATCACGATATTCTTACTCGCGCAACTAACACAATTGAGAAAAGTAGGTCTATGTACTTGCTACGCCTGATCAATGTCAGAAATGGAATGATGAACGAGGAGATGGGAAGAGATATAAACCTCAAACGTCAGTCTTTCCCCTTTTTATCTCCCAACCCATTCCTAAGCTCGAGACAGCCTCGACGCCCTCATCCAACGCTTCGAAGAACCCTCATCCATGGTCCGTTGGGACGCTCCACTCTTCACCATCGCCTGGGACGACCCAACACCCCCACTCGAACGTATATCAGATGCAGTCACAACTGGTATCGTCAAACCTCCAAACGTCGGCACTCAGATCACACCCAAAGCACCCACAGACGCCCTCCGCACTCTGGAGCATACGACAAACGCACTGGTTTCTGCGCTCATGGCTGTTCAGGGTGCTGGCCCACTCGGGGGACCTATCGTTCTCACCATCGATTCGCTTGAGCATAGTTCGAATACCAGTGCCAATGATAGTTCTGTTCTCCGTGTTCGCTTAACACTCCCGCATCGTGCACTGACGCTGTCAGAGCTGCAACGGCTCAAGCGCCAATTCGTGGCTGCGCGCCGGAAAGCTGTGACATTGGGAAGCACGGAAAAAGGAAGGGTGGAGTGGGGAGAGGAAGGCGTGGGACGTGCATTTGCAGAGTTCTTAGAGGAGGGGTTGGGTGTTGCGAGGTGACTTGCACGTTAAGCATCCAAAACAAGAGCATTGGTTTTATAATCCCGGGAGTAATACAACACAGGGCTTGTAATATGTGGTACGTGCATCCAAGATCAAATGATCAACTCAGGTGAACACGATCTCTCATGCAGTGTCACTTTCTCGTCGAATTTATAGATGAATCGCAGCATTCACCTTCACGAAGAAGTCTTCTCCTTGATCTTGTTGAACGGTTGTGCTGAGTCACACCTTTCCCAGGTGCCCTTCGCTCCTTAACATCTACGCAGGACACCATCGAATTCTGAAACGTTATACCCTCAAGAACCGTCTCGGATGTACACAACTATGGAGGCTCTGCATGTTGTATGCTCGTATGACGAATAAGCTGATGTTGCTGATACTGTGTTCTTTTCAGAATTGCATAAATTTTGGTGGTGCGCCGCCGCGGAAACCAGGCCACCAGCTCTGCTTCACCCTCGACTTGGTCGGGTGCTTCAGTGAGCCTACTTGGTCAGTCGTCCTACTCTTGTACTTCGCGCGCACTGTCGCACCGGAATCCTTGACCCGGTATGTAGCAGCCCCCAGACGTCGAGCGGTGGGCGGAGCCTGGCTAGACAGGCAAGCATACAATAATGGTATTTCTTACCGGCGACAAACGCCAATCTCCCACTGTTCCGGTCAGCAACGATGATCAAATCAAGTGAGCCCAGAATATCGATACATGCTACATTATCGACATTACATCGCACCACTCCTTCGTGCCTCTGACACACATCATGCTAAGCGAGCATGTCAACACTGGGACTCTGATGGCAGAGGACAATGACAGTCTCACTCGGGCTCACTAACAACTGATGACGCCATTGGTTACCACACAGCAATTTTGACACGGGCATGCCTCATAGGCATCAATGATGCTATAAGGTCCACAATTATAACCAAAATCGTTGTCGTTGTTCCAACCTTTGATGCCCGTTGAGCACTCCACCGTATCTGTGAATACCAGCCGTCAGCATGTAGTCTAAGGTATGCAAAAGTGCTTACTAGGGTCGCCGCAAGGTAGCCCCAGGGGATCTATTACCAGGTTGTCAGAGGCGACAGCTACGCTAGCCATCGCTGCGACAGATATGATCATGGTGGTGAGTGAGGTGAATATCATCGCTAAAAGCTAATGGTGTTGTCTGAGTCAAAAGCTACGTTGGCTTTTATACACAAGTAGTGTAGGGGCTGGCCGATCTGCATGTGGCCTGCACTATTGGATAGACAGATGCCAGCTCACGCTCTGTGATATAAAGGTCCATCGCGAGAGCTCACAATAACGTAGCGGACGCAGTTAGCGAGTTCGGTCTATGATCATGATGATTTATTCAGCAGATTTTCAGATTTTCAGTCACTCGCTAGATTTCAAACCTAGTCCATGACCCCAAACCAGCTGTAAGGTGCCTTTTTTGGCTGCAAAATGCGAAGGTGACGTGGCGGGCGCTGGAAAACCTTACGTGGATGAGGGTGACACGAACAGATGGCAAGCTTCCAGCTTGGGCTTTTGCAAAATCTGAGCCTCAAGTCTTGTGTAGGCCGTGACCTGGGCTCGGGGCTCGGCTCGACTTATTGAGACATGCTCGGGTTGGCAGCTGCAGCGTGTTCACCTTCATAAGGAGCCACCTGTCGAGCGACCTAGAAGTGGACGCGTAAGCCTGTGCTTAGTGAATGAGACACCGTATGTTCTGTATTTGGACCGACAGAAATGAATAATCGCTTATACGTATGAGCACAGCATGATGCACAGCCTGAAATCACGCTGAAGATTTGGCAACATCGAGTGTGAAGTCGACTAGAAGAATGGGTCCAATCAACACCGGGCACCACTGGGTGTCAACAGTGATTTACTCACCCGACTTGACAAAATTTGCAACCGGAGGATTCAACGAGAACGCAGTAAAAATCTGGCATGCAAAAACCGGTGAACTGCTCAAAAAAATCAAACACCAGTCTTGGGTTTTCAGCTTGGCCTGGACGTCAGATTCGAGTCGGAAAGAAACTCATCTCCGTGTCAGTTACTAGGCCCGATTAGGATATTCGACACCGCCACTTGGGGCCAAATTTGCCACCCTCCAAGGCCACACAAATCTCATAAACGCCATCTCCTTGTCTCAGAGTCAAAACGACCGCCTGCTTGCAAGTGCATCATATGATAAAACGGTGCATCTATGGAACCTCGACACAAACCTCCCAGTCGTCCCTCCGCTCCAGTACGAATACAGTGTGGAATGCGCAGCCCTTTCGACCGATGGAAAAGTGCTAGTCCGAACAGGCTCAGCTGGGGTTGACGAAATTGTGCATGCATGGGACATTCAGGCTGTCCTCAGAAAAGCTGTCTTTCAAGACCTTCTCCTACCTGATGTAGATCTCACCGCTCTTCGCTAAATACACGCTAATATCTCACCCGCAGGTGGCAGCTGCAAAGTCGCCAATGAACGTACGTGACGTGTTTCTTAATGATTTAGGCCATTTCACGGTTGTCACTCTAGAATAATGCTACGCACCGTCCACCTATTCGTGGCCCTCGGATGCTACCAGGCTTTTTTGATGGTGTACGAGGAGATATTCATGTGCGTCGTCTGTTTTTTTTTAATCAATTGTTGTTCTTACCTCTTGCAATCAGTGCTCCACGTCTCCCGGTGTCCATCACACTTCCTCCCATCGTTTTATCGCACCTTCTATGGGGAGTCTACGTGCGCTCCTCACCCGCCTTCCGTCGCTCTTTCGTCGCTCTCGTGAAGCAACTGAACTCCAGCAGCGCCCAAAGCAAAGGACTTTCTCTCATCACGGTCTTCACACCATCGAAGTTGCTGCAGTACAGGACAAAAAGGTATTCCTTTCCTCGTGCGTGCTTCTATTCACCGTGGCTCAATAATTCCGCTGTAGTCCCTGTTTGTTGCTCCCCGGACGAAAGAAAAGCAACAGCAGAGCAGCCAATTGCATGGCCAGGGGTCGTCATCGCGAGCTCACCATGCCGCTATTTCGACGTCTACCACGCAACCTACTCCAAATAGCAGAATTCAGGCTGCCACACCAGGTGCAGCGACCATACGGTCACGAGTACTCACGTTGTTGGCTCGTCTCGTGCTTTTGATTTGTTGTGCACCTCTGCCAAGCACAAATGGTTGTTAATGTTGGATATCGAGTTCATAGACTGCAGCTCGTTCATTTATTCTCACTAACAGTATATAGTATTCTGGACATTCACGATACATTTACTTGACAGACACTCCTCAGGCTCTGTTTTACCTTTTCTCATATATAAGAACAGAACATTTGGTCCCGCGGAAGCAATTCGTGTGACTCACACCTGAGCTCCACATGCACTCTATCGCTCGCTGCCCGTGTGTGCTCGGCAGTCTCCTATTTGCGTGTGTCGTTCACCGCTATGGCTTCGATGTGCTGTTGCGGGCGTCCAACACACTACTCCTTATGCTCTGGGGCCGAGAAAAAGCCTTTGGAAGATGCAGATGGGTTTGTGCCGGTGTCTCTTGATCCAGAAGACAGTGTCGGGGATCTTTCTGTCTCCGTCTTCATTTTGGACGGTAGAAATGCACCACCTGATGATGGTATCTGTTCCATCAATGCTCATGTGATTGCTGCCACTGCAGACGAAGAAATCACTTTAGGACTTTATTGTGTCGATGCACCTGTTCTTATCCATTTATCTCCTCGGTGAGTGTTGTATACAAAAAGGACATTTGGAATAGAGTAATGCGCGTCAGGCTGCGACCGGTATACCTGAAAGTAATAGCCGTTGTTGCCAGTGTTACCGCTGACCTATCTTGAATTCGCTCGGGTATTCGTAGGGCCGAATCCATGGCATTCGGCCAATTGGTTGTCCCGCGGATAACGACGACCCTATCGTACTCACATTATCAATACCATCCAGAATCGTCAAACGCGTCGCTACCATTTTTCAACCTCATACAAAATGTCGATTCCTTATATACGTCCCGGAGTTCTGTTTCTCCGGAGTTGCACGTGCAAGAGTCATCCGTGATGACGTCATTGTTGAAATTGCAAAATTTATGCCGGACAAATTGTGCCATGATTCTGCACGATTCAGTCAGCTGGACACAATTGCGCTATCATGCACAATGGTGGTACTCAAACAGCTGCAGGAGCTTCGAGAAAATACAGATATCTCACGCAGAACTCGCCCTGCAGCTCCACTCAATCTTACAGATAACGAGCAAGATGCTGACGAAGAGCTTCCCTGGCTCTCGCGACTTTTCACTGGTCATGACTATCGGTGAAACTACGGCGGCCGGCATCATCATTGCCTCAAGCATAGAAGCTGCAACTGCATCTGTTATCAAGCACTCCCCGGTGGTACATCCAGTGACCGGTGAAACGCTTCATCCGAGACCATCCCACTGTTTACGCCGTCACATTGATGGGTTCGTAGCTCATTCATAAGAGGGCATATGATGTATGTGTGAAGCACATTTTTTAACTTCTACATGGAGTATTCGACTAATGATATCGCAGCAGCGAGGAGCTTGCAGTTCACTATGGTGTGTCTCCTTTCTCGACACGGGGGCGAATCACAACTGACAAGTCATCTACCATCAGTACATACACAGTGCGTACTATCTGAACCTCATATTCCTTGTTCTGATATAGTTCAGTGTCGATGGCTATACTCTGGGTAGGCTGATTCTGATCTATCTACGTCCGCTGTCAAACTCGCTTATTCAGACCTATGATTATGCATGTTCACTTCATGAAGAGGTAATACACCAGTTCCATGATACACATCGGTTTTGATATTGATAATATCATTGCTGTGCACAGTGGACATTTTTGCTTCGATCACGCTGGAGCAAGATGAAAGGCCTCTATATCGTTACACGATACCTCTCTTTCATCTTTCTCGCCACAGATCTATATCGTACGTTCCGCTCCAGCACACATCGTTCCGACAATGGATTAACATTTTTAGTGTACTTTGCCCCGAATGAGAACCCAGGTGTATGTGATGTGATGGAGGGTTCATGAGAACGAACGACTTACTACATGACTTCGCCAGAAATGCCGAGTGTTGCAAAATATTCAATCAGGTACGTGCACGGTACATTCATGTATGCACATCCTTCCCGAATGCTACTACTTTCCTCTCACAGGTCTTGGCACAGTATTAGTAATTTTTTCCGAATGTATCGATCGTTCCCCTTGTATCATGTGTGTTTCTGACCCGATTCATCCAGATTTTTTTGTCTCCAGAACATACGTGCTCTGGAACAAAAATAGGATCTTGCTCGCAGCTATCGTGTGCACCTCTTTCGTGAGTTCCAAATCCACTCACGATATCCAAGCTAGTGGTAGATGCATCAGCCAGATTGTTATCGTAGCTACCTTCGGCATCGTCTTTGTCACTGACGTCCCTGCAGCATGTACTTCTGACCTTCCTTCTGAGTTCCATGCCCACTAAAACATCCTGTTCACTTTCACAGATGCAACTAGCACAATCCCGGGAATCACAGGGTGCTACCAGAGTCCATCCAGTCACCAGCTTTTCATACCATTTCTTCTCCTCTCCTTGTTCGAAATGGGTGGGTAGCCAGGAGCATATATATATACAGGCACACGCTGACCTGTGTTCTCCACAGGACTCATGATCCTCACGCTCATACGTGCCATACAGAGCTGGCGGACAAACCAAAGCCGTCTGTATGTTGTCCTGGTGAACCATAATATATCCTATTATGCATGCGGTTTTCGTGAGTTAACATTCGCACATGCCATTTTTCCGTAGTCATCCTGATTTCTGAAGTGTTCTCGGTAACGAACATCATCACACCGCTACTCCTCCAGGTGCACTGATCTCCTAAATGCCTTTTATGATCTCACCATTGATGTTCTGCGCCCCAGGACGCCTACCAGGCTATTTTGAATAGGTATGCACCTCCACATCCTGCTGCATGTTTGTACTCATAATACTCAAAACGTACATTCGCGTATAGTGTCCAGTTTATCATGCTTGCAATTCTTGCCACGCGCATGCACCTTCATCTCTGGCAGGTGAACCGACATCCACGCCGCTCTACTAGTGCCCTTGTGCATATTCAAATGTCCAACATTTCATTTGCAAATCCCACGGTGTGATGTCTTACTCCGTAGCTTATTCGGTGGCGTCCATGGAGCACGAGGCTTGGATTGTACAAGATGACTGGTGGATGTGGGCTTGGTAGAGTTTGTTACATGCTTAACTTATTGGACGAGTCTGTTGCGGAGTGGGAGGAGCATTTGGATGTCTTCGGTCTACCCAACACCCTAGTTTTTAATGTAAGCGGTGGCATCTAGGTCTTTTGGTATTGACAGAGGGTCGGTTATTGCGCCCTGGGTCGAAAAATCCTCATATCTCCTTCCATTTTGCATTATGTCCACAGTGCAGTGTGTTTAGCACATCGTGCGCTTGTTACTGTTAGATATCTGGAAGCTGTTATGTCAACAAAATTTTCCTGTCTTGTCGCAGACAAATCATTCTCATCCGTCACAGTGGTATCTGAATGAGTTGATTCCTGCTGACGCAGTTCTGACTTTCGTCCTTGCCTGCAGAATTTGGGCGTTCGTGTATGTGCTCAGATTAATTATATTTGTTTCTCTGACGACCTTGTAGACTTTGCTGTCCGTGATGGAAATACTGCTACCTAAGTGGGATATTCTATGGTCTTGTACAACATTGTAAAAATAATATCTTACGGATTTGTTGGAATCAAATATGAGTTCTATTTTCGAAGAAGAGCATGTCCACACCATTCGCAGGCAGGTTTATCGTTGCAATACCAGTTCATACATGCAGGTATGTGTGGGCGAGAGTCCTTCAAACCTTGGTTTACTAAGCTTGAGTGCTATCGCATTGAGGATAGCCGCCACCGCTTACAGTGGAAAATACAGGTGTTAAATAGACCGAGGATATCCAAATGTCCCTACCACCCCACGACAGACTCATCCTATAAATTCAGCAGGTAGCAAAACTCTATCAGGCCCACCCCATCAGTCATCTTGTACGGTCCAAGCCTCGCTCCATGAACGACACAGAATAAGCCACAGAATAAGAAATCACTCCGTGGGATATGCGAATGAAATGTCGGACATTGGAATATGCACGAGGGCACTAGTAGAGCCGTGTGGATGTCGGTTCATCTGCCAGAGATGAAGGTGCATGCGCGTGGCGAGGGTTGCAAGGATCGTAAACTGGAAACTGTACGTGGATGTACGTTTCGGGTGTTATTAGTAAGAATATGCAGCAGGATGTAGAGGTGCATACCCATTCAAAATGGTCTGGTAGGTATCCTGGGGCGCGGAACATCAACGGCTCTATCATAAAATGCATGTAGGACATTCACGCACCTGAAGGAGCAGCAATGTGAAGACGGTCGTCACCGAAAACACTTGAGGAAAGAGAATGATTATGGATGATTACGGAAAAACAGCGCGAATGAATGCTAACTCACGAAGAGCGCATGCATAATAGGATATGTTGTGGTTCACCAGGACAAGGTACAGACGGCTTGGGTTTGTCCGCCAGCTCTGTATGGCACGTATGAGCGTGAGGATCATGAGTCCTGGGGAGAACACCAGTCAATGGGCATTCATATATATATGCTCCTGGTTACCCACCCAGTTCGAACACGGAAGAGAGAAGAAATGGTATGAAGAGCCGGTAACTGGTCGAACTCCGGTGGCACCCTGTGATTCCCGGGATTGCGCTAGTCGTATCTGCGAAAGAGAGCAAAATATTTCAGTTGTCGTGAAACTCAGGGGAAAGGTGAGAGCATGTACATGCTGCGGGGACGGTAGTGTCGAACGTAACGCTCAAGGATGCTACGACAAACATCTGGCTGATGGCATTTACCACTAGCTTGTGTGTTATGAGCGATTGGAAACTCACGAACGAGGTGCACAGCATGGCTGCGAGCAAGATTCTATTTTTGTTCCAGAGCACATATGTTCTGAGGATAAAAAAACCTGGATGGATCAGACCAGAAACACGCATAATACGGAGGGAACCAGAGATACATTCGGATAAAATGACTAATACAATGCCGAGACCTGTGAGAAGAAAGTAGTGGCCTTCGACAAGGACGTGCATGTATGGATGTACCCTGTACATACCTGATTCAATATTTGCCAACACCCGGCATTTCTGGCGTAAAGTCATGCAATAAGTCGTTCGTTCTTATCAACTTGCCACCGCATCACATACAGTTGGGTTCTCATTCGGGGTAAAGTCAACTGAAAAACACGTGTTAATTCATCATCGGAGCGATGTGGGCTGGAACGGAACGCACTATATAGATTCGTAGCAAGAAAGATAAAGGGGAGGTATCGTGTGACAATATACAGGCCTTTCATCTTGCTCCAGTGCGATCGAAGTAAAAATGTCCACTTTGGACAGCATGTTGTGGATATCAGAAGCAAGGTGTATCATGGAACAAGTGTATTACCTCTTCATGAAGCGAACATGCATAATCATAGGTCTAGATAAGTGAGCTTAACAACGGACGTAAAGAGATCAGAAAAAGCCTACCCAGAATGTAGCCGTCGAGGCTGAACTGTGTTAGGACAAATAATGTGGGGTTCAGACAGTACGCACCAAATATGTACTGATGGTACATGACTTGTCAATTGTGATTCACCCCTATATTGACAAGGAGACACACCTTAAAGGACTGTAAGCTTATTGCTGCTGCGATATCGTCAGTTGAATACACCATCTGGAGATCAAAAAATGTGCACAATATCATGCGCCTTCGTAGCTCTTATGAATGAGCTGTGAATCCATCAATATGGTGGCTAAGTTGAGATTAGTTCGAGATCAAACTTAGCTAGCTTGCTGCGGTCGTGATGGAGCGTTTCGCCGCTCACCAGATGTACACGCCGGGGAGCAACTTGATATTGAATGACTTCCTACAGCATTTAGAACACTGTTCCAGTTCTAAAAATATCTCATGCCAAGCTGAGGACCCCATGACAGCGGGTTTGTGACTGTCCGTTTTGTATTCATGGATGAAACTATCTAAGAAGAGGCGAAGGAATACCGGATGTTGATGTCAGGTTGTTAGTATCTACCATAGCCATGTGACAAAGCTCCATCTTCACCTGATACGACTCCGCACACATCATGATGACAGGCTTCCACGCCTACAGTTTCACGAACGAGGTCTGTGCGAGGCCAATCTCAAGAATCCAGATTCAGATACGCTGAAGGGGAGCGTATAGAGGTGCTCCCGAAGTTGATGCAGACTTTCAACGAGCCAATAGGGAGGGACAAAGAAACCAAGCCGTTCCCACGAAGAAAAACTTCTCAACTCTGTGGGGAGGTGCCAATGGTCCTGGTCGATGCTGGTAATTAACATGATGAAAGCGTGGATGCCCTGTTCTTGCCATTCCTTTGACAGAATTGTGCCTCATGCACAAGCTTCAATCCATGTGTCCTCCGACCCGTCATCAAGCCTTTGAGGAGCGCTCCGTTTTGTAGCACCACTTTAAGCGCTGGAACAAGCTAACAACAAGCTCCTGGGTCCTCAGGTCGTCGGGGGCTGTGTAGTAAGACTGTTCTTCCCTTGGGACTCGTTGAAAAAGTTCTAGTGACTGGCTGTGTGTGCCTGTTTGTTGCTGAGTTAGAACGGCCGACCGCCCTATACGCTGACGAGTTTTACTTGCATTGGCTCCCGGTGTTATGCTGCCAGTACTAGTACTCATTCTTGTATATTTTGATCATCTCTGAAATGCTGTCCAGGTCACATTAGTGTCTGTCAGTCCATTTCCTGTGTACCTCCGTTCCTGAATCACCGCCGCCACAGGTTGTAGTTGATGACCGGTGGTGCAGTTGTTTGATCGTGTGATAGACTGAAGGCGAGTATCTCTTAGCAGAGGACGAACGTCTATGGGGAGCACTACATTGAATTGAATAGTAGCTGCATTTCGTTCAGTGACTCGGATTGGATGAATTCCAATTCCTTCTCACACGTACCAGCAGTCCATAGTTATCGTAACAGCGCACAGGACTTTTGATCGTGCAGGACGGCAGCAGGTTCTCAGGCACTGGGCCATCTGAGCAGCCGATCACCGGTATAAGTATATAGTAATTGAGAAGTGAGGTTGGGTCTTTACAGATGAGTCGCCATGGTTAATTACGAGAACTAGTGCATTACCCTACGAACGTGCGGCGTAAGTACACAAAATGAATGACCATGGGTCAGGAACATACTGCAATTAATTCAGACACTCCTTGATCCAGTTTGATCTCTCCATTGCTGATATCTTTTGATCGCATCTGGCGTGATTTGCCTTTGTATGGCTCCTGCGTCTGCGACAAAGACGTTTTGGGGGATATGCAGAGAGCTATGAGCAAAGTTCGCCGAACTAGGAACTTTAAAGAGCTTACAAATGGGGCGTTGATATCTTTCTGCATAGTCAATAGAGCATCCTGGCACAGTGAGCTGACTTCCGCGCCGCAGCAGCCGTCGGTCTGAATGCAACGTCACACTCTGCTCAGATGCAACAGAACCGTACTCACCATGGCTGCTATTGTATGAAGATCTAAGTCAGATTCCATGCTCATCGTCCTTGTCCTGATCTTCGAGATCTTTTCACGTCCAGCGTGATCGGTCCAACGTATAGAATGCGATCCAGTCTTCCGGGACGCATCAGAGCTGAGTCCTGGCAATCCATGGTCAGAAATATAACAATGATGATCAAAGCAGATAGACTTGCAATAACATCAGGGCGATTCGTGGCTGCAATAATAGTCACCCTCACAAGCTCCTGAACACCGTCCATTTCGTTCGAGAGGCTGGTCAGAACCCTTCATGTGCAGTTCCAGTATCTGAATCTGAGGAGCGCGACGTTCCAAGGGCATCGATTTCATCATGTGTTTGTCAACACCAACTCCTTCATAGTAGGACAGCGCTTACGAAAAAGATTATTGACGGTGACGCAGCTCTGGCTTTACTGAATATATCTCGCATGGCTCTTTCCCACTCTCCAACATATTTGTTTAGAAGCTAATTGACAACCGTGAGCATGTTGCCTGAACGCAGAACCAAAAGAGTCAAACCTCACAGCAACAAGGTTAACACCGCTTTCCGTTGCACAAGCTCGAGCCAGAATGGTTTTACTGCACCTTGGAGATCCGTACAACAGTAGGCCCTTTCAAGTTGCTGGTCGGACTGCCAGTTGGTGGAAAGCCTCTGGATGTGATAATGGCCACTCGACTGCTTCCTGAAGTTTTTGTATGTCGGCTTGCCCAATTATATCTTCAAACCGAATGGGCGGTGTCTCCATGAATAGGGAGCACATTGCGGACGGCCGCACAGTAGGAAGCGCTTCTGAAAGGTCTGATGGCGTGTCATTGTTGTAGCTGCTGAGTCAGCATTGGAACCTGGTGGAGTGTGTCATCCATCATTTGATGGCAAGAGTCCCAGCCTCTCGAACTACAGCACTGAGGTCCGCACCAACATCTCCATAAGCACAGCACGCGATGGAATGAAGTTCTGCGTCTGTTATACAATTGGGAGTTTGGGAGAGGAGGATATTCAGAATGGAGTAGCGCACGTCTGCATCCAGTATGCCTGGAAGTAAAAGCCGTCAGTCAAAGTGGGGTGTGTTACTGCTGAGCTATCTCGAATTCTCTTTCAAATTTCGTAGCGCCAGATCAATGGCATTCGACAGATTGGTTGTCCGGATGACCACAACCCTATCGTGCTCATTTTGTCAATACCATCCAGAATTGTCAAAAGTGTCGCCACCACCCTTTTTCCAACCTTGGCACCTGCACCCTCTTCCCTTCTTGGGACAACCTCGTTAGCTCCAGAAAGTCTGGGAATCCGAATTTCCGGCAGTCTCCGTCCGGCTGCGTGTGGGTCTGTCCGAATCCGCCTGTGCACAACTTGTCAGTTCTTAACGTCGCGTCATACAATGAGCTCAATTTTACGACTTGTTACCGTCTCGAATACATCAAATCAGCGATCTTTCAGCCTGGCCTGGCCTGACGATTACAGCTTTGTGTAGCTGCAGATATGGTTTGGCCTTTCAGATGGGCTTTTTGCCTGTCCTTCAAGTTCTCATGCACTGGGCTGGCCGGCTTTCTCATCCTCTACTAGCAGCTTGCCTACCAATCATTTGGCTCAACCAGCTTTCAGGTGTTAATTTCTGTGCCTGCCTGCCAATGGACTCAACCATAGACCTTGCAGATTCTATATTTTCACTCATGACACATGCAGGTATCTCTGAAATAGTCTGGACCAGATCTGTGAGGGCTGCAGCTGTGATGTTTCTGTAGTTTCGTTAATGTACTAGTGTCATACTCTATTGCATACAAAATATCATACTTGGGAGCCGGACAGACCCAGCCGGACTCAGCCGGATGGACCTGGAAATTCGAATTCCTAGATGCCCTCGTTAGCTCGGTGAAGTAGTGATGTGGTGGGCCAGGGCTCAGGCCCGCAGGCCCACATGGCCCAGCCCTACAGAAGCCCAGCCCAGCCCAGCCCTATGAGTGGGCTGACGAGGGCCCAGGGCTGGGCCTGCAACCTCTGCAGGCCCATACCCAGGGCTCAGGCCCGGGCTGAGTTTTTCCAAAAATGACCGAGGCTATACCTGTAAGTCTTTCGGTCCATTCCGGTATTAACTGTACAGTTAATTTGTGCCTGATCTTCTCTATGCAATTGGCATTGATTATTCCCAGTCACGGTAATGCCGCCATCACTCGATGCAGATCGAGAAGCCTTGGTGCGGCCCAAACGGGTTCCCGCGCCCTCCAAGAGGTTAACCGATGCTTCTAATTCTGCAACACCTGAGCTGAGTGCTCACCTTGAAGCCATTGCCCTCAAGCGAGCTGAGGATGCCAAACGATTGGCGGAGGATACCACCACGGCACCAGCTACTTCGAGTTCCCACTTTGTCACCCCCACCAAGAGATCTCAGAATACTGACTCTTCCGGTAGTGGGTATGATACAGATTGTTCAGCCGCTCAAAAACCACCAAAAAGTAAGTACCGTCAGTGTTGCTCATTTCAGCACGTCACTTAACATTTTTTCACACAGAGAAAAAGTCGCATAGCAGCCAATCTGTGATCATCAGTTCCGACTCAGAAGACAGCTGTGCTGCACCTGCCACGGCAAAAAAAAATCAAGGTGAGTTTCGAACACTTTCATTTACGTTATGTTTTACGTTGAAATTTCACGCGCAGCTCCAGATCCTGTCAACGATGATGGATTTCTTGCAGATATCAACATTGCGAGCCTCTCTAATGACGAGATCAAGCAAAAGCCTGACAGGAAAGGTCAGGATGTTGATAATTTTTTTAGTCCGAAATATTCTGAGCCTGGTGTTGATGGCAAACCTCGCACCTATCGCAATTGCACCTTGTGCTCGAAGAAGGGTCCACGCAAACACTTTGTGAAGGACCTGTCAACGTGCCGTCGACACCTTGAAAAAGACCATGAGGTAAGTGTTGATATTTCTGACTACTGTGATGCTAACGGATTTTCCATAGCTTGCCTACAATAAATGGGCCCAGGACCACCAATTCGAATCTATGCTTCCTAAGGCTGTCGCAAAGCGTCGAAGCAATGCCATCCAGAAAGCTAGTGCCAGCCAAACAGGCCTCGATAATCATCTGCGCGAGCCACCAAAGGCAGACCGTGTGCTGCCATACACCGACCAGTTATTCCGCGAGGCTGCAACAGAATGGTTGATTTCTACTGACCAGGTATGTTAAATTTACATAGTACTACACCGTCTCACTAACAAAAATAGCCAATCCAAGCACTGGAGCACCCATCCTTCCACCTCATGATTCATGTAGCATCACGATCCACACACGGTGTCAAAATTCCGGATCGAAAGGTGACGCGTGCCGAGATTATCAAGATGTTCCAGAAGCAAATGAAATATCTTCGGACACGGCTTAATGTAAGTTTATGATTCTTGTTTGAATGATACTACCACTCATTTTTGACTTAGAGCAATGCTGTTAAAGGTGAAATCAGCAATACATGCGATGCATGGCAAGCCTCCAACATCGACGGATACTTTGCCGTCTCTGGTCATTGGGTCGAAGAGCCATCACCTGGAGTATGGGTTCTCGAAAGCGCACTGTTTGGGTTTACAAAACTCAACAACTCTCATAATGGCCGCTGTCTAGGTCAAGTACTTTTCAAAATCATTGATCGCCTCGAAATTTCGCACAAGGTAATGTTGTATCCTATGAGGGTTCATGTTACTCACCACACATTTAGATTGGGCGCATCACCTGTGACAATGCGACAAATAACGACTCGATGATGGACGAGTTTTCAAATCAGATTATGAAGAAGACCGGGAAGGCATTTGATGGAAAGGGACGTCGTATCAGGTGCGTAATTCATTATAACTTTAGCTGTATTCATTTTGACATTTTGTTACTAGATGTCTTGCGCACGTTATCAACCTGGCGACACAAGCGCTCATCAAGACTCACACGAAATCGAAACATTACAACCCTGCAAGCCCCGAAGACCATATGCCAAGTACTATTGGTCACAACCGGGATGAAGTTGGGCTCATTCGAGCCATCGCTGTGAAGGTATGTACATGATATTTGATTAATTCAACTGACTAACTTAATGAAACAAACAGGAGCGGTCGTCAGCCCAGCGCAAGCAGCTTTTCAAGGAGATTCAGATCCGAGAAGGTGCAGAACGCCCCCTGCAGTTGCTGCTCGACATGCCGGTCCGGTGGTCTTCAACATACATCATGTTAGAGCGCGCAGAAACACAGCGAAAGGTACGTCTTAATGTGTTCGCAGCGTTAAAATTTGACCGTGTCACTGTCACCTACAGTACATCAACACATTTATCTACGAAATGGGCCTTAAGGAGCCGAATCTGGAGAAGCGGAAGAAGATTGGCGAGTTAGAGCTACGAAACGACGAATGGAAACGTGTCAAGTTGTTCCTTGATCTTCTCGCTGTGAGTGTACTCGTTCTTGTGTTCAAATGTTCAATGATAACACTCACACCCCGTTTAAAGCATGCCGACAATGCTCAACAAGCATTTTCGTTGGATCGAAACCCAAGCCTGCACCTTGCGATCCCAGCCCTCGAGGCACTACATAAAGCTTGGAGCTTACGACTCGCACGGCCAAAGTATGCTTGCTTCAAAGCACCGCTTCAAGCTGCCATCGACAAGATCACATTGTACTATGAGAAGACTGGCGACTCCGACGCATATATTATGGCAATGTGTAAGTTTTTCACGCATTCCTACCTAGTCCTATGGCTACCTAATGACTGTTTGAACTAATAAACAGTACTCGATCCTAACGAAAAAATGAACCATTTCAAGAAGTACTGGGACGACAATTTGCAACAAGAGGCTCTCGAGAATGCGGAACATATTGTGAGTATTCCAGCAGATTTCCATGACAATAGTCTGACTGTCATCAGTTTCAGGAGTACTATGCACACATTCATGGTGACGCTGAACACACTCCAGTCAAGAAAGGTCGCACATCCGGAATCAAAATTTCGAGGCTTCTGCGGGAACTTAGTGACAACGATGACGACGACGACACGCCAACCTCATATACTCCATCTGCAGCCATGTCATCAATCGATCCACGGAAACCCTGGCTTCAAGACTTTAACTACTATGTCAATACATTTGACCAGCTGGCCGAAAACCAATCCATTGTCCAGTGGTGGGGGGTATGTATTCCTTCATTTATTCACTCAATGAAGATACTGAATCTATCAAAAGTTAAATGCAACGAGGTATGGGCTAGTGTGGACAGCTATCGCTCGTGACTTCTTAGGAATCATGGCCTCGTCGGTATCGAGCGAGCGGGCATTTTCTTCAGCTGCGCTAACAATTACAAAGCGCCGCAACCGTCTCAAAGGGGATGTCGTTGAGGCACTACAGGTAATGAAGTGCCTTCTTTGTCATGACCTGGTCTTTCGTGAGTCAGGACCTTCATCATTGACCGAAGATCCTGCAGATGAGGATGACGAGCTACTTGATGGGTGCCCCGAGAAGTCAGGTGAAGATAGCATGGTTTTCATTGACATAGAGAGTTTAGAATAACTTCGGTAGATGTGTTTCGTTGTTGTGTACCCAATCTATGTCAGGCCCGGGCTTCAGCCCAAGCCCAGCCCAGCCCAAGCCCAAGCCCGACATCAGGGCTGGGCCAAAATATTATGAGGCCCATACCCACTCAAGCCCAGGCCCAGCCCTGGGCCATAGGCCCAAGGCCGGCCCGCACAACACTACGGTGAAGGTACAACAATTCAGATGGTGAGTCTGAACAATGTTGGGTCTTGCAGAACCTAGCTGCTATTCGACCCTAAAGGGTTTCTGGACCAGGCTCAAGACTCAGAGGAGAGGAAATATCATAGAAACTTGCTGAATACTCTGACTCCTACTGGTAACTGGTGAAAAGATAACTTGCTTATGTAAGCTCTAAAAGTGCCAACATAAGGTAAGGTAAAAACAGTCTCTACAAGCCCAGCCAGAAATGAATCCCTACATCGGGCTTCCTTGAATATATCCCGGAGTTTTGACTCTGTTTCTCCGTGATAGGCTGAAGAAGGCTCAGAGAGTTGCACGTGCAAGGTGTGTGCCAGGCGGAGGTAAGGTAGACTTCATGCGAATCCATCAAATGTCATGTGATTGTGACTGCTTGTGACACTTCGAACTTATCCCAGGATAAGGTCATGCCAAGTTGCCGAGAGACCACTTCAAAGGCATGCAAAGGCTTCGAGCAAAAGATGTCATTGTGTGCAACTACTGATGAAGTTAGAATACTGCAGGAAATGTAGTATCAGCATTAGTAGAAGTTGTAAGTGAAAAACTAGTATGTGCTGCATGAATAGACTACTAGTTGATGTCCCTTCAAATGGTTGGAGTTGTATTATCGAAATCCTGCATGATGCTCTCGGGTAGGATTCTATGACCACGATACTTTTTGACAGCCCAAGCAGCCTGCATATCATTTAGGCCCTTTTGATAAGCATCGATAAAGCGTCTAGATCTAATTGCAAATCTGTAGTAGTTGATGTCAGTGAGAATGATAATATGATCTACATATAAAAAAACTCACTTGCGCATTGTTTGCAGAGGAATAGAGTCACATGCAGCTATAACATTGCGCTCAAGATCATCTTCTTTTGAAGATAGTTTGAATTGATGATACACCCGCTTTGCAAAGCCCCAGCACATCTCAATAAAATTCAATTCACAATGAAATTTGGGCAGAAATATGACACGGAAGCCACGTTCCTCGCAAACAGTTTCAAGATGTGACTTGACATTGATAAAGTCGGGCTGATTATAAAGGAAACGACGGCAGCAGCAATGCGGCATCTTGTCAGGGGGGCATTTGAAGCCGGGACATTCCGATTTGAGGCTTGCTTCTTCATCAAATCCTCATTTACGGAGAATCTGAGCTGTGCCTTTGAACCAGCCTGCCTTCTCATGGCCCTCCATAAAGTAAAAAGACTGCAGTGTACCATCAGCGAGATTTGTATCAGCCAACTGGATTTTTGTTTTTAGGGGCTTTCCATTGGCATCATGCATGACATTGCCACGCATATCTTTGGTGGTAACCATGGGACCCCATGTTTTGGATGGGTTCTTTGGCATGTTGCGAGCAGCAGGTGCGTCATCAGCACGTTTCACATGAGTTGTTGCGTTGTCGAATACAAGAATGTGATCATCGTGAGGGAAGTGTTTGTCTAAAATATCCATTGCTAGCTTTGCATGTGCAATAATATTGTCCGTTGTGAAAAACCCATCCCGCCCCTTGCCTGCTTTGAAAAGAATACGAGCTGTCTCTGCTCCATCTTTAGACTGCAGCCATCCATAGTCGGCTGAGACGAAATGAGCAACCATGAGGGATGCTCCCTCACCCTTCGGTTTCGGAACTGCTGCTTCGGTTGAATGAACCCACCACACATCACGACGGTCATGTGCATAAAATGTGGACTCGTCGTGAAACCAAACGACCACTCGACGGTGCCTTGGGAGCTCATCCAAATCCTCTTCCACCATTACATCGTCCTCCTTCCAGTTTCGAAGGCGATATTGGAAGCTGTCCCACAAAGGCAAAAAGACCTTCTGACGGTATGTGACGACATCCTCACGTTCATGACCATCTACATATTGACCTTTCTCTTCTTCTTTCCAACGATAGCCAAGTTTAAGCATCCAGCGCTGAGCTGTCACCAGTGAGATGGTTTTTGACAGTCTATGGCGGCTCTGTACCTCCGTATCGCTGAGGTAATTGACAATCTCTTGAGTGCTGACATACTTTCCGACACACTGCAAATGAAGCTTGATATCTGTAGCCAAGACTTCGTCATCAATGCGGGAATGATGGTTGCCATACTGGTGCGTTGGCAGCTTGGCACGGTCCTTGATATATGCTTTTGACCATGTCCGCAGGTTGCGACTTAGCCAACTCCCTCCATGCAGAAAAGCCGCTGTTTCATCAGCAGCCTGGGTCCACTTTCCTCCTGCAATGTTCTTGGCATGTGGGCTCCCGTCATTGCTAACATTGGTGAATTTCCACAGAAATTTCTCCATGGACTCAAGTCTTCCTTTGAGAATGTTGTCAAATTTTGACCATTTATACCCAGTGCCATCATTTCGAGGAGGATGCAGGAGAGCTCAAAGATCGACCAGTGCTTCCTGTGCTTGGGCAACTGTGGGAGGTATGCGTGATGCATAGGGATTATTGCGTCCCACGCTATTCTTGGTGAGCTCATCATTCTCGTCATCTGTCTCATTATTCATTGATGAGTTGTTAACATCTCCTTCAAGAATTGCTGTGCTGATTGGCTGTAGCCGCTCCCTCCATCGTACACCTCGGATTGCCATCAAGTCCTCCTCGTCCTCAACATCTTCGCAAGTTACTCTGTGGGATCCTGGCTGAGATGATTGTAGAGTTGAACCTGTATGCATATTCCTCCCAACAAAGTCTGCCCCATTCCCCATGTCTACGAGGGCAACATGAGGCAAAGGTGAGTCTGCATGTCCATAACTGGCTGGTTTCTCGGCTGCGGCTGTGCGTGGCTCGAACAGCGCAGCCGCAGCGCGCCAAAGACGATTTTTTGTGGACGGCGAATGTGGGACGCCTGTGGAGAGTGGCTCCGCGAACCATGTCGCAATTTCCGACATGACAATCTCCTGGTGTGTCCCATTAGATGGTTATGTATGTTCCATGGTGAGCACTCACATTTTCATCATTCTCCGAGTCTATGAATGACCCAACTTGAAATTTAGGTCTCTTCGATGTTCTCCACATTGTCACGTTCTCGCGCCAGCGCTTGTGAGCGTTGGATCTGTTGCCCATCTGCTCGTGCTACAGAATTATCGGCACACCGGCATTACTCAGACTGCTACTGCAAATTCGGACCTCACCTACTAACGGCACCCAGACACTTAACAATAAAAACTCAATTCCAAACTCGACTCTTTGATTTATGCATTTTTTACAATGCTTAATTATGCGAGACAGTATTCTACATGTTTTAGCATTAACATATTGACTTGATGTTCCGTCTTCGAATAGCAATTGATTTTTTGGTGTTCTGTCACGAAATTGTAACGATTTATCACGTGACGTTTGATGGATTCGCATGAAGTCTACCTTAGTCATCCGTGATGACGTCATTGTTGAAATCAGTCGCGGAACCAATTGGTGTGCCACTGAACTTACACCCGTGCCAATTGTCGACCGCTATATGGAGGTGTTTCACTCGAAGTCAGCCAGGCATAATTGCGCTATCATGCATAATTCTGTGGTACTCAAACAACTGCACGGGAGCTTCGAGAAAATACAAAACATCTCACGCAGAACTCAATCTGCAGCTCCACTCAATAGCTTACAGATGACTAGCAAGATGCTGATGAAGAACTTCTCACAACTTTTCACCCGGCATGACTGTTATCGAAACTACGGCAGTCGGCGTCATCACCATGTCAAGCATCAGCCTGAGATCTCGGAGGTGCAACTGCATCTGTTATCAAGCACTCCCTGGGCTGTACATCTGCAGTTACCGGTGAAACGCTCCGAGATCCGCGGAGACTGTCCCAGTGTTTACACCGCCACATTGATGAGTTTATACCTTGTTCATAAAAGCTAACAAGGCCCATGACGTATGTGGTAAGCACATTTTTTAACCTCTACATGGAGTATACGACTAACGATATTGCAGCAGCGAGGAGCTTGCAGTTCACTACGGTGTGTCTCCTTTCTCGACATGAGGGCGAATCACAACTGACAAGTCATCTACCATCAGTGCATACACAGTGCGTACTATCTGAACCTCATATTCTGTGTTCTGATATAGTTCAGTGTCGATGGCTACATTCTGGGTAGGCTTATTCTGATCTATCCACGTCCGCTGTCAAACTCGCTTATTCAGACCTATGATTATGCATGTTCACTTCATGAGGAGGTAATACACCAGTTCCATGATACACTTCGGTTTTGATATTGATAATATCATTGCTGTGCACAGTGGACATTTTTGCTTCAATCACGCTGGAGCAAGATGAAAGGCCTCTATATCGCTACACGATACCTCTCCTTCTTCTTTCTCGCCATAGATCTATATCGTGCGTTCCGCTCCAGCACACATCGTTCCGACAATGGATTGACATTTTTAGTGTACTTTGCCCCGAATGAGAACCCAGGTGTATGTGATGTGATGGAGGTTAATGAGAACGAACGACTTACTCCATGAATTCGCTAGAAATGCCAGGTGTTGGAAAATATTCAATCAGGTACATGCACGGTATATTCATGTATGCACGTCCTTCCCGAATGCTACTACTTTCCTCTCACAGGTCTTGGTACTGTATTAGTAATTTTTTCCGAATGTATCGATCGTTCCCCTTGTATTATGTGCGTTTCTGACCCGATTCATTCAGATTTTTTTGTCTCCAGAACATATGTGCTCTGGAACAAAAATAGGATCTTGCTCGCAGCTATCGTGTGCACCTCTTTCGTGAGTTCCAAATCCACTCATGATATCCAAGCTAGTGGTAGATACATCAGCCAGATTGTCCTCGTAGCTTCCTTCAGCATCGTCTTCGCCACTGACGTCCCTGCATCATGTACTTGCTCTCACCTTCCTTCTGAGTTCCACGGCCACTAAAACATTTTGTTCACTTTCACAGATGCAACTAGCGCAATCCCGGGCATCTCAGGGTGCTACCAGAGTTCAAGCCGTTACCAACTCTCCATACCATTTATTCTCCTTTCTGTATTGGAATTGGGTGGGTAACCAGGAGCATATATATGTACAGGCACGCGCTGACAAGTGTCCTCCCCAGGACTCATGATACTTACGCTTATACGCACTGTAGAGACTCATGCCTCTCATGGTGTGATATGGCACTTTTCACTAGGGAGTTCATTGCACGAACTTGCAGCACCATTCTGTGTGCTATCTGCAGCTATCCCTATATGAGGCGCAGCTTTCCCGCGCAACGCGCGCCATGTGCGCACCATTCCCGCGCTTTACGATGTATACGCGCGCTTTCCCGCGCTTGATCGCCCTATAGTGCCAGCCATCCGGAAGCATCCATCCACTGTCCACCAAGTTCTCTAGTGCGTATGTTTCCATTTCTCTTATCTGTGTATCGTTCCACCTTTATTTTGGACCCTTACTTACATATAGCTTTACATACCTTACTCGGTAGCGCTTCGGCTCCGCGTGACAGCGCTTAGGTGCCGTATATAAGTGCCAGCATTACATACTATTACCCACTTTCCGACTTTCAACTGGACCTCCCACTTACCACCCACATACTACCTAGGAGAACATAGTAGAAATCTATTCTTTGACACCTCGCGCTCGTATCTCTTGTCTAGTATCTAATCACCACTTAAGCAAACTCACTCTTACTCTCTCTCATTACCGCTCACGCGCGCGCGCTTCCCGCGCCTCGCGCGTACCTTCGCTTTCCCGCGCCTCGTGCACACCTGCGCGCTTTCTTGTGCTTCGCATCAGCCGACCAGTAGCGCCTTCGGCACGCACTACTAGATCCTTGCTGCACTCGCTTCCCCTTTAGGGTCGAATGCACTTGTCGTCTCAAGTATAGCAGACTAGGCAACGCGCGACCTCACAACATTTACAGATACAGTCAGGAGCTTCATTTGTTCCTCTCGGTATTGTTGTTTCTACAACTGGAGCCCACCGCGAGGGGTCCATCTGGTTTAGTTTTGATTAAGTGATTTTGATTTTAGGATTTCCTGACAAACCTGTACTTCGGACCCGACGACCCGATGATATTTCCGACGTGCCCGCAGTTTTTCCCATCATGCCCGACAGATTTGGCATGCCATTCAGGACAGAACAATCAGCCCCAAGATTCACTGGCGATGTTTACGGAGTTTTCGCATTTTTGCAATCTGTAGACCAACTCGGACAAAAGTGCAATTTATCAGACACTGAGCTCATCAAGTATACTCTCAGATATATCCAATGCGACCACAAAGAACTATGGGCAGGATGCCCTGAGGCCCGAGGTACATCTTGGTTAGAATTTACTAACGAAATTTTGTCGTCCTACCCAGAAGGAGGCATACACGAGTATACCCGACCCGATCCGAAGCCCGAAATACCCGAACCCGAGGAATCCGATGATTATGAATGGTGGACACTTCCCCTAAGTGACGAATACACACCCGCACAAGAACCCCTAACTTCAGAAATAGAAATCTCCGCACCCAAAGACCCTATCGCAACATCCGACGCCCCAGAGGGAGTCCGAAGTCCCGAAATTTCGGACTTGACCCTCGGACAAGTTCAGTTACCATCGGAACAATTGGATGTATTCGTAGAAGTCATTGATGCAGACGTACTAACATCAGAAGTCTTAGATTCAGAGCTAACGTCGCTAGAAGACAACGTACCCGAGATACCCGAAACATCGGCCGACGAATTCCCCGAAATATGGGATATTTGTACCAGGAGTTTAGATCACGAACTCGTTTTACCTTCTCCAGATCGCACTGATCATTTCGTTCACGCAGTAGCCGTCGCTTTATTTCTCACCGGTTATGTCACTTGGTCTAGGTATCATTTTGAATTGTCACGCCCGAAAATCCGCACGTCAAAACCCGAAACACCCGAAACACATTTCCCCGTCATCCCGAAGATATGCCCCATGTACCCGCAGTTTCCCTGCATAGTTTCGCCCTACCGTCACCCGTCGCATCGGATCCGAAATATCCGACTCCATCATCCGGTCTACCAACGCTTTCAATACCCTCGTCCATCGCACTCCCAGATCACATTTTACCAGTATGAAAGCCAACGACGTCTTTACCTTAGGAAAAAGCTATAGTTCGAAACCCCGAAATTTCGGGTAACGCGATACCCGAAAACGCGCACATATGTTCATAGCACGCACATACTAGCATCGCACATTTCACCCCGGGATTAGGCCGGTGTTTCATATCTCAATAACCCGAAAAATCCCTATCCTCATACATCCGCACCTACAGAAGAAACTAATAGTACACAGACATTCGAATCCGAATGCGCGCTAATAACCCCTATTATATAGCATTTCATCTTCGAACTGCGCATCGCGCGCGCACCCTTATATATACGTAGAAAAACCCGAAAACCCGAAGAAAGACAGTCAAAAGTTGCACGAAGAAGTCAAGTCAGATGGTAATCTGCGTCCCTAGTATCATCTTGACTATGTTATCCGAAAATTCATTTGGCACTTATGATTATTTTTTTCATTGTTTTTTATTAGACACCCTAGTGGGGGACCACCTAGCATCGGATCCGAGATACGGACATAGGGGACACATAGGACAAGCGCAGATTTTCGGACATTGCATCGGCCGACGATTTCGGACTTCGGATACCATTGCACACTCGGACATTGAGTTGTTTGCATCCATCGCATTTGTGCAGAAGAGAACAGTGATAGATTATGCAGAGAAGTAGGAAAAGACGTCAGAACACGAGCAGATACATATCAGTGCATTTTCGGACTTGCACTCGGAAAGTTCCCGCGCATCGCATCGGCCGCGTCGGCCACTCAGATACATTCCCGCACATCGCATACCTTCGCATCACTTCCCCTATGCTTGAGATACCTCGCATTTATCAGATTTATCCGTTGCCACACTCATCACGAAATATCGAAACAATCACGCATATCCGCACTTCGGACCCGACAAACCCGCCGTTTTTTCCCGCACATCGGCCGCTGATTTCGGACATTCGGATCGCACTTCGTCGCATCAGAGTCATAGACATCCATTCCCCGCGCATATTATGTTTAAACCTCCTATTCTTCCCTCACTTTCGCTCGAGTAGTACACTGACTGGGGACAGTCAGGATTCAAAGTTCGTAGGAGATGTAGGACACGAGCTGGCACTGGGCTCGTATCGAGCTATTTTACAGTACACGTCAAATACCCGTCACATGCTAATCACTTCCCGATGTTATCCGACGCTAACCCGCTAACCCGACGTTTAGGCCGCATCGGCCGATGCAAATTCCCGCGCACTCGTTCTATCCGTGTCCCATCCCGTCTTGCCAGCCCCACTAGGTGTGTAGTTCATTATTTTGCACATTACTCACATCGTAGCCAGCGCTATTACATGTTTTCCCATAGTCCGCAGCGCCTCATGTTTATTTACATGTACTTCGGATCCGAAATACTCCGCCGCTACTTTCGCCTACGGGTTCCGCATTTCTACGTACTTACATATATATTGGACTGACCTCGAGCATTATTCATTATCCAAGTAGAGGGGAGCAGTTCCCCGATGCTTAGTGGTCAAACCCGATATTTCGTAGTTCTTAGTTGACATTGCGAATATCATCGTTCCTTCACCGCCCGTATCAGTCATTGTTATTATTGCACACACCGCTCGCTCTTCCGACGCTCGCTATAGCGTTACTATTAGTTTCCGCATACCCGACCCGAATCCGACTACCCGACCCGACAAACCCGATGCTTTTGCATCGGACATCGTAATTATACCTTCGGACATTGTTTCCCGCGCTCGGACTATTGATCACACATCACTCACTTACCCCCAAGACTATTCCCAGATCGCAGACCCCTGGGTCGAATGCACTTGTCAGGCAAGTATAGCAGACTAGGCAGTGCAAAGACCACAACACAAATATATCAGTTTGGAGCCATCTTTCATTTGTTTCCTCGCAGTATTGTTGTTTCTACAGCGCCATACAGGACTGGCGAACAAAAACAAGCCGTCTGTACGTTGTCCTAGTGAATCATAACATATCCTATTATGCATGCGGTTCTTGTGAGCCAACACTTTACGCGCCGTTTTACTGTACTCATCCATGATCATTCTCTTTTCTGAAGTGATCTCGGTAACAAACATCATCACATCGCTGCTCCTCCAGGTGCGCTGATCTCCTAATGTCTTTGATGATCGAGCTATTGATGTTCTACGCACCAGTACTCCTACCAGATCATTTTGTATGAGTATGCACGTCCATATCCTGCTGCTTATACCTACTAACAATATCTGAAACATATGTCTACGTATAGTTTCCAGTTCATCATGCTTGCAATCCTTGCTACGCGCATGCACCTCCATCTTTGGCAGGTGAACCGACATCCACACGGATCTACAAGTACCCTCGTGCATATTCCAATGTCCGATATCTCATTTGCAAATCCCACGGCGTGATGTCGTATCCTGTGGCTTATTCGGTATCGTTCGTGGAGCGAGGCTTGGACTATTCAAGATAACCGGTGGAGTTCGTTGCGTCGTTAACTTATAGGATTAGTCTGTCATGGACTGGGAGGAGCATTTGGATGGCCTTGGTCTATATAACACCCTAATTTCCAATGTAAGCGATAGCGGATTATTTCAGTGTACTTGAGCCAGACACACAACCTGAAGGTAATGAGCATTATGGTACAAGCCTACTAAAGCACGTCAGGCTCTACGAATTAACGAAACGTCCCTGTTATGATGGGATGTCATCGAGAATCACCTACGCTACCGACAAATTTGTCTCACTCGACTGGGCAAGTTATTTGCACCCCGTGGCTTGTCAATGAAAGACAACTCATACGGCGGGGAATTTACTAGGGCATCCCGCCTTGATGCGGTGTCAGTGCATCAGTTATCGATATTTCTGCTCAGTGAGTGACCCTTCAAGAAAGGCAATACAAAGTAAATGACCGAAGGAAATGAATATGAATCTTGCTAATTCGTGACCTCCGAACTGAACTCTTTGACATGAACCATGCAATCTCGATTTCGTCAACGATGCAGGCCACTGTTGACAGATACCAGCGTAAACGAAAGAAATTGTACCACACATTCCAGAGAGTTGATTTTGTTCACAACATCCTTACAGACTCGCCTGTGGACGATGTCATGCCGGAACTTGAATCAGAACTTCTAGTCAATGTCATCCTGCTACTGTGAGTCGTCGTGCCAGCCTGGCAGAATATGTAAATATTCATGGAAGAGATGTCCTTCCTTAGTTTGTAATAATACCAGTGTGCTGCAGTGAAATTCGAATTGAGGAGCATACAACTTTGTCGTGAACTCCTGCTTCTGTTACAATAACATGTAACCGAGAACCCCTCCTACGGAGGTCATCATGACCTTAGCCCCTATCCCGCCATATGCACCGTCTTGGAAGACTTACCGACTCAACGGAGACTCGTAGAGACGCCTAGAACGGCCTGGATGCCGTTAGATGACCTAGACCAGCCTAGGCTACATCTGGACGGACCTAGATGGTCCTCGACCCGGATCATGGAGAAGCTCTGCTTCATGGTCAGAAGAGAAGCCGCATGCCGCAGCATGCGCAGTTAGACTATAAGGCATGTTTAGCCTTGAGGACTGATAGAAGAGGCGTGCAACGCCTCATGTATAGATAATCGCCCGCATGGCATCAGATAAGATGCCCTTGTATAGACACACTCATACTTACCTACCGAACGTAGTATTGGTCTGTGCACACGGACGACAGTATATAGAGTAGACAGAATCATGTATATTCCCTACTTGATTCTACTAGGTTTTCATCAGAACTTCCTCTGTGTGATCATCCCAATCACTCAGTCTAAGCCGCACCTAAAGGAAAGCCGACACTACCTTTAGTGGAACCCCCGAACCTCTCATTCGAGAGAAGATCCCCGTCTCTCCAGTAGCGAGCCCGCTATCAGATTAGGCAATCCGCCTAGGGAGAGCTCGAACTATCCTAGTCCGTAACAGCTTCTCTACATGACTGATCAGATCATCCATGGTTGTGTGTGACCAAGTCAAATTCTCGTAATATACATGATGATGTGTAGCAGGACTCCGGAGCAGAATCAGATCGTCCTTTATTTTGGCTCTAGCATACTCAAATTCTGGATCCTGAATCTGTCACCGCTTACATTAAAAACTAGGGTGATAGGTAGATTAAGGACATCCAAATGCTCCTCCCACTCCGCAACAGACTCATCCAATAAGTTAAGCATGTAACAAACTCTACGAAACCCACCTCCACCAGTCATCTTGTACGGTCCAAGCCTCGCTCCACGAACGACACAGAAAAAGCCACAGAATAAGACATCACACCGTGGGATTTGCAAATGAGATGTTGGACATTGGAATATGCACGAGGGCACTAGTAGAGTCGTGTGGATGTTGGTTTGCCTGCCAGAGATGGAGGTGCATGCGTGTGGCAAGAATTGCAAGCATGATGAACTGGACACTATACATGAATGTACGTTTCGGGTATTATTCGTAAAAACATGCAGCAGGATGTGGAGGTGCATACCTATTCAAAATGGTCTGGTAGGAGTCCTGGGGCACAGAACATTAATGGTTCGATCATAAAAAGCATTTAGGGGATCGGCGCACCTGGAGGAGCAGTGGTGTGATAATGTTCATTACCGAAAACACTTCAGAAATCAGGATGAGCACAGCAAAATGGCGTGTGCGAATATAAACTCACGAAAACCGCATGCATAATAGAATATGTTATGGTTCACCAGGACAACATACAGATGGCTTGAGTTTATCCGCCAGTTCTGCATGGCGCGTATGAGTGTGAGTATCATGAGTCCTGAGGAGAACACCTGTCAGTGCGTGTTTGTACATGTACATGCTCCTGGTTACTACCCACCCAGTTCGGACACAGAAAGGAGAAGAAATGGTATGAAGTACTGGAAACTTGTCGAACTCTGATAGCACACTGTGATTCCCTGGATCGTGCTAGTCGCATCTGTGAAAGTGAACAGAATGTTTTAGTGGTCGTGGAACGCCGGAAGGTGAAATTGAGTACATGCTGCAGCGACGTCAGTGGTGAAGAGAATGCTGAAGGATGCTACAAGAAAAGTCTGTCTGATGGATTCACCACTAGCTTGGGTATTATGAGTTAATTGGGAACTCACGAAAAAGGTGGACAAGATGGCTACGAGCAAGATTCTATTTCTGTTCCAGAGCACATATGTTCTAAGGATGAAAAAAGCTGGATGAATCAGATCAGAAACACACATATGGGGGGAATGAGAGATACTTTCGGAGACAATAGTTAATACCATTCCAAGACCTGTGAGAGGAAAGCAGTAGCCTTCAGAAAGGACGTGCATACATGAATGCACTACGCACATACCTGATTGAGTATTTTCCAACACCCGGCATATCTGGCGAAGTCATGCAGTAAGTCATTTGCTCTTTAACCTTCCACCACATCACATACACCTGAGTTCTCATTCGGGGTAAAGTACACTAAAAAAACAAGTGTCAGATCATCATCAGGGCGATGTGTACTGGAGCGGGACGCACTAGATAGATTTGTGGCCAGAAAGACAAAGGGGAGGTATCGTGTCACGATATAGAGGCCTTTCATCTTGCTCCAGGGTGACCGAAGCAAAAATGTTCCCTGTGCACAGTAATAATATTGTTGATATCAAATCCAAGGTATATCATAGAACGAGGGTATTATTACCTCTTCGTGAAGTGAACATGTATAATCGTAAGTCTGGATAAGCGAGTTCGACAGCGGACGTGGATAGATCAGAATAATCCTACCCATAATGCAGTCATCGACGCTAAACTGTGTTAGGACAAAGAATTTTGGGTTCGGGCGGTACGCACCCAATATGTACTGATGGTACATGAGTTGTCCACTGTGATTCACCCTCATATCAACAAGGAGACATACCTTAGAGGACTGCAAGCTCATCGCTTCTGCGATATCGTCAGTTGAATACGCCATCTAGAGGTCAAAAATGTGTTTCACACATACATCATGGGCCTTGCTAGCTTTTATTATGAGTGAGCTACAAACCCATCAATGTGGCGGTGTAAACACTGGGACAATCTCGGATCTCACCAGTCACTGGATGTACAGCCTGGGGAGCGCTTCATAACAGATGCAGTCGCACCTCTGATGCTTGAGACAGTGATGACGTTGACTGCCGCAGTTTCGATAACGGTCATGCCGGGTAAAAAGTCGCGGGGTCACAACTAACACAAACCATTCTAATATGATGGACTCGGTCATGGAAAGTTTTTTGAGTCTTGAGGCCTGAAAACCCACATCCTTCAGCGAGTTTTTGAGCTCCTGTATTGGCCAGCATTGCGGCTGCTGCAAATATCCCAGTGTGATGATGATATTTGTAAATTTGGTCAAGATAATGATAATAATTAAAGTTTTGTCACTCCCAATTAACCCAATTAACTCATAGATATCATTGAAGTTAGTGATCATGAGAGTTAACGTTCAAACTTAGCTAGCTTGCTGCAGTCGTGACTCGTGATGCGCGTGATGGAGTGTTTTACCGTTCACTGGATGTACCGGCCGGGGTAAAAGATACTTATATTGGATAACCAGTGCCAGATGACTTCCCACAGTTTAATTTAGAACGATGTTCTGGTTCTAAATTTACTGTTCTAAATGCCTCTTGCCAAGCTGAGGACCCATGTTTGTGGCTATCCGTTTTTATTCATGGATGAAACTAGAAGAGGCAAATTTGGGAATACCGAGGTTGTCAGTATCGATGAGGCTGGTCAACTTCGTTAGCGCAACGCTCGCCACAGTGAGTTAATAATAAAGTGGGGTTTTGCCTTGGACTGATGCATATCTGGGGGATATTCAATTTTGCATTAGCTGCAGGTCTTTATGTTGCTAGTAACAAGACATCGATGATGGACTCGATCAAGATGACTTGTAAAAAGAATTTGTCAGTACGATCTTCGGCTCATGCAATGGCGGCCCATGGCCCTCATCACCGTGACCATCTCAGGTTACCCCTCCTCTGGAAAATCAACCCGCACAGCACAAATCTACGACTTTCTCTCATCAGCTTCAAGTCCTCAGCCCAAAGTAAAAGCCATCTCAGACGATGACTTAGCCGTTGACCTCTCATCTTTCTTCCCTTCAGACCAGTGACCTCCGAAAATTAGACTCCCTTCAAGAAAAGATCGCCCGCGCAACTCTCTTCATCGCTGTCACAAGGCACATCGCCAAAGACACGATCCTCATCATAGACGGGATGAATTACATCAAGGGGTTCAGGTACCAACTGTATTGCAAGGCCCAAGAGGCTGGAGTAAGGGTCACTACGGTGTGTAATAAATCACGATATTCTCACTCGCGCAACTAATGCAGTTGAGAAAAGTAGGTCTATGTACTTGCTACGCCTGATCAATGTCGGAAATGGAACGATGAACGAGGAGATGGAAAAAGACATAAACCTCAGGCCTCAAACGTCAGTCTTTCTATTCTCTATTTCCCAACTTATCCCTAACCTCGAAACAGCCTCGACGCCCTTATCTAACGCTTCGAAGAGCCCTCATCCATGGTCTGCTGGGACGCTCCACTCTTCACCATCCCCTGGGACGACCCAACACCCCCACTTGAATGCATATCAGATGCAGTCACAACTGGTATCGTCAAACCTCCAAACATCGGCACCCAGGTCACACCCAAAGCACCCACAGACGCCCTCCGCACTCAAGAGCATATGACACACGCACTGGTTTCTGCGCTCATGGCTGCTCAGGCTGCTGGCCCACTCGGGGGACCTATCATCCTCACCATCGATACGCTTGAGCCTAGTTCGAATACCAGTGCCAATGATAGCTCTGTTCTCCGGGTTCGATTAAAACTCCCGCATCGTGCATTGACGCTGTCAGGACTGTAACGACTCAGGCGCTAATTCGTGGCTGCGCGCTGGAAAGCTGTGACATTGGGAAGCACGGAAGAAGGAAGGGTGGAGAGAGGGAGGTGTGGGACGTGCATTTGCAGAGTTCTTGGAGGAGGGGTTGGGTGTTGCGAGGTGACCTGCACGTTAAGCAGCCAAAACACGAGCCTTTGTTTTAGAATCCCAGGAGTAATACAACACAGGGCTTGTAATATGTGGTACGCGCATCCAAGATCAAATGATTAACACAGGTGAACACGATCTCTCATGCAGTCTCACTTTTTTATAGTGTTTATAGATGGATCGCAACATCCACTTTCATAAGGAAGTATTCTCCTTGGTGCTTCGTGGGATCAGGCTTCACTCAGTGGACAATATTTTGGTATGAAGTTGATTGTTCATCTGAAATTCTGAACATGACTTCGGCTTTGATGTCGAACGTTCGAAACTACTTACTAAGACCAGAAAACTTTGGTTTGGACACTATCAACGCCCAGAGGTGATGATTACAGAAATATTGCGCAACCAACATCAAGATATGTTCCCGTTTGTCATGCAATCATGCAATCACTTGTCACTGGTAGTGCTTTGCTTGGGAGTGCTGCCATGCGCTATGCACAGCCTACGGAGTATGTACCTGCTCCAACAAATATCATATTACTCCACTCGCTGACGAGATGCACACAACGGACCATTGTGCATTGAACTGCCTCAAAATCTGAACCGGAACAAGGTCACCAAGTACTTGATTGGGTGGTAACATAGCCATTGACATGCGGTGTCAACAAGGCGCCTGCAACTACAGCATGCAAAACTGACTCAAATAGCAGGTCTCTTTATCACTTTCTCGCCATATCTCTCCTTCCTTTCGATTACTAACTTTGCACAATATTTCACTATCCAGTCTTGCTGTACAACGTGACATCTTTGTCATGCAACACGAAGAAGCCGAGTCAAGCGTGTCAATGAGACGAGAAGTCCCATTGCACTCATCGATATATCGGACAAGCGCGAAAGATCCACCACCATATGGTGCACAGCACCATCAGGATGCACTTTGGGAAGGTGAGCAGCTGCCTTGTGATACCTACTAGCTTACTCAATTAGAATCAGGCGGGAATGAAGCGCTCCCTTCTGTGTGGCATGGGTTTACGCCGTCGTCGGATAGTGAAACAGTATATCAAGATGATTCGCTCACGATGGTCTCGAAGAACCGACCTTTACCAGGAGTACGACTAGGTGAGGGATGAAATTGCAACAAGGAGCGACGAACTCACCGTTGAACATAGACGTTCCTGGATATCTCGCTGTTCCTGGATGGGAATGGCACATCTCACCACTCAGTCGGTCCTACTTCGTCAACCACAATAATCGGACCACTTCATGGAAGAAACCAAAGCCAGAACGTCCAGCAGGAAGCTTGATGCCGGAGAGCGTCATTGAGGGTCACTCTGGATGCATATGGAGCCTTGCCTACCTGGGTACCAGTGGCAATATAATGAGCGCGTCTGACGATAGTTCGATCTGTCAGTGGAAAAGAGACGGAGAGCCAGTGGGAAAACCTTTGAATAGCGATGGGGGAGGGATAGGTTCGATGGTAGTATCTCCAGATGAAACAATGGTCGTTTGTGGAAGCACAGACGGCAGACTGCGGCTTTGGAATATAAAGGAGGGCATTATGATCGGCGACCCGTGGGAGGGGCTTAATGCTGCAGTGAGGTGCCTCGATTGGTGTCGCAATTTCCTGGAGATAGCAGGTGGATCCGTTGACGGCACCATACAATGCTGGAACCTGAATACTGGTCGACAAATAGCTCCACCCATAGAGACCAGCCATGGATGGCTTGAAGCCGTCAAATACTCTCCAAAAGGCGACAAATTCATGAGCGGTGGGAACGGTCCGATTTGCATATGGTCAAGGGTCGGAAAGCTGCTTATCGAAATCAAGGGACATGACAATGCAGTGATGTCATTGTGTTGGTCGAAGGATGGTGCACACATATTCTCTGCCTCACTTGATACCACCATCCGAAAATGGCGGGCTATTGATGGACAGGAACTCGTTGTTCTTTATGGTCATACCCACATCGTCACATCCCTCTGCCTTACTTCCAATGAAAACCACATTGTTACTGGATCAAGTGATTGCTCGATTCGTATCTGGGATCTCAAGACCAATCAGATAGTCGGAGATCCACTCTTGCATGATGACCAAGTTTTCGTTCTTGACATGTCCCCCGATGGAAAATACATTGCCAGTGCTGGACAAGACAAAAAAATCTATGTATGGAGCCTGGAGGCTGCGCTCAAAAACGGTGTGGTATGTACGTATTTTGTTGTCTAATTTCCCTACCTAAGGATTTTGGTCATCTAGGACACAGATGATGGCAATGGAGAGCTCAAGGCAAGTCTTCTCTGCTTCTTTTTCACACTGCATCTTACTTTTTACTAGGAACGTCCGGCCCAACCGAGAGTTGTGCGCCCACCAATCGTGAGCAACCCCACCTTTTCTCATATGTCTCGTCAGACCTTTGACCCCCATCTTTCGTCTAATCAGCAGGCCAAAAAAACAGGAGCGGCAAGATATGTCAGTGTAATTTCTTGTTCTTGACCTTTCTCACCTGACACCAAGATACAGGGCAATGATTTCTTTGGTGACGAATCAGAGCACGTGTCTCGTCGTGCAGCTCCGCCCACAAGTCTATCGTCCCTTATTTGTTGGCGTCGTTTGCTCAGTTTCATACATTTCGGCACACGACCTGTAAATGCATCTTGACCAATCGAACGACAGTCCCAACACTGGAATTTCAACTTCAAGTTGTTTTCTGGAGGACATTCCATGTACACCGTCGATGTACCTCTTGCTCAAGATGAAGATGTAAGTCACTCGTCGTCCCTCCAATTTCCTTTCATTAAAATACAATACAGAGATATGGCATTGTTCCCGAAACTGATGCGGAAGCGGCTGCAGCTATGCAACATACGAACAGCATCCAGGCCAATAGTGCAACGCAATCAGGCCAACCAGCAGGGTCACAAGGGTCACAAGGGTCTCAAGCACAACCAATCCAAACAGAAGCACAAGGCTCAATTGGCGGAGCAGATGACTTTGTGTATTCAGGAGTGAGCTGCTGCGGATTTTTCTTTGGTCTTCGTCGTCCTGCTCTGTATCAGTCATGAAGCATGCAAGACGTATGGCATGCACACGCTCAGTTCAACTCTCTTTCCCCCGCACCTGTGTCTAACTACTCTCATAATCAATATTCGCCATCATAACTATCACTCACGCACTCGGAACTATCTCTCCTCATGCACCTCCTTTTCCTTGCACTGCTTTCCCTGAATCCACGCCACGTGTTTACAACACCACCGGGGAAGTTAGCCCCGTTTTCTGGAATGTAGCTCTTGGTGGTGCAATGGTCATCTGCGCAGGGGAGTATTGCTTGTTTTCCGCAGATTTGTTTGTAAAGTTAATGTGTTGAGGGTCATTCAATATTAAAATCATCTTTCAAGGTCACACAAATGATGTCTACACCATCTCCTTGTCGGTTCAAAATGACTACCTCCTTATAAGTGCGTCATCGGATCAACGGGCGCGTCTGTGGAACCTCAACACAAACCGCCCGGTCCGACCACCCATCCAGCATGACAGTTGGGTGCAATATGCAGCTCTTTCCGCTGATTGAAAAGTGCTAGTCACTGGTTGTCGTGACAAAGTTGTGTACGCATGGGACATTCAAACATTTAGTTGGTCTGAACAGGTCTTTCTCGTCACTAACACTCTATGCTGGCTAACCACCCACTTACCTGCGGCTTATACAACACAAAGTTCACCCGTGAATTCTGCATACGCAGTCCTGAAGATATCCTGCGAATTAGGACTGCAGTACTGAACATTGGATTCCTGTAAGAAGTGGGTTTCCTCAGCTTCATTGATAATAACAGGTCATTTGACTCACCAGCCATCTCTTTTCATGCAAAGTTGATCTTGGTGCGCTTCGCCGCCGATTCTCTTGCGCAACTTATCATGACCATCTGGCGTAGTTAAGACACTGAGTACCGAATATGACATCCTCTACCAGTGAGACGTAAGTGATCAAGCCCTTCCGGACCATGTGAGGCCATACCAAAGGTGTACGAGATGTTGCACACCTGACTGGACGACGCGTCATCACATGTTTGTATGATGGCTCAGTTCGACTATGGGACATGGAGAGCGGCGCACAGACCCGCGATAGCTGGCAAGATGGGGAAGTAGGAGCGTCCACCATATCACTGTCTCCAAACAGCAACAGTTTGGCAAGCGGAAGTGATGATGGGACGGTGAGGTTGTGGGACATCAAGACGGCAGAGGTCATTGCCAGATGGAAAAGGGCACACCGGGAGTGTGGTGGCAGTGTGCTGGAGTCTAAATGATCAACAAGTCATAAGCGGATCCAGAGATGGGACAGCGAGAGTCTGGGATGTCAAGAGCGGTGAAACAGTTCTGGGTCCAATCAACACTGATCATGAATGGGTGACAGCCTCGACCAAATTTGTGACTGGCGGAGTGAAAGACAGAGCAAAAATTTGGGATGACAAGACGGATGAACTGCTCACCATAATCAAACACAATTATTGGGCGTTGAGCTTGGCCTGGACATGGGACGGAAACAAGCTTATCTCTGCTTCATATGGCCAAATTCACTGGATGCGCCCATTGTGCTTTATAAAGCTCCCTGAGCTCAAAGTTTGATGCATCATCGCTGCTTGAAACGTGAAGAACTCAGAGAGACCTAAAGAAACTTTCATATTAACTGCCCTCCAGTACCAGTACTTACTTCGAATTCGGTGGTCGTTTTTTCGGGATCCCATTTTGAGGTAATCAACCTTGAATCAACCTCTTTGGATGAACGAATATTATATATCGTGTGGCCATATAGAAAGGACCTTGTGACTTTGGTGCAGATCACAGCATCACCGATCGATCGATCAACAATTGTGTGTTGGTGATTTGGCACCTGAGTGACATAAGAAGTGAGGGTAATAAACCTCGGAAGCGGGGTTAGCCAGCGTGGGTTATTTGCCTCGGATCCAATGGTCCTCTACACCAGCTTTACCACCAGCTTTACCCCAGCACTTGTACCAGCTTCTACTACATAGATTACGGACACTGTAAGATAAACGTAGATATAGATGACTCTAATCAGCGCTGATAACGATCTTGTCAGCGCCGGCACTGTCCGCAATGTCGGGAACGTCGGGAACGTTGGAGGGCGCGCAGATATAGTTCGGCAAACCCCTCCCACATCACGTGCTAACTCAACTTAGTAATTTTCGAGCTCACTGTCCCTCACAGCAACGCGCATTGCAAGATGAAATCACCATCAAATACGATTTAAAGATACGGATATACATAAGATAATATTAGGAAATTAAACCGAGGCTTCTCATGAACATGTTGGTCTCCTGTTCTACCTGATGGTATTCCTCAGCCAACTGCTCCGGGTCCTTTGTTACTGAATTCCACGCGCTGTCTTGTTACTTAAGGGTCTTATATAAAAGTTGTGTATAATGACAACACAATTATACATGGTGAAGACTTCTTGCCAGTCCTCAAGTCCACAGTCTCCGACTTTTCTACTTCGTGGGAGGTAACGTGGTGAGTTCTTGGGAGGATTTAGTTTGTTGTCCTCTTCTTGTGTAGTCTTATGTGAAGTGTTGTGGATTGTTCTGTGTTCTGGATAATTCGTTAGGTTTGTTTCAGCCTAGTAGGTCGTGTTTCAACCTATGAAAGTCTGTTTCAACTTTGTCGTCCTTAGATTTGTGTCTCACTTTCTGTTGAAAGAGAGAGTCTTATGTATACACGTAAAGCTTTAGAATGAGAGCTGTTTGATGGTTATATAGTCAACCCCTGTAAGGTAGTATATAACTTTAGAGTAGAATAATGATGTATCTTAGTCTTACTTCAAGGCACGTTGCCTGCACTTTTATTCTTACGTACTCTCACACGGTTTGAGAGAAGAATGAAAAATGGGAAGTTATATTTCATGGGTGAAAATGGGGTCCTTTTATACCTTTTGGAATCCCCTTACTAAGCATGATTCTGTCAGATGGATTGGTAAGAATGTGGCTTACAAACCAGGTGATGAATCAGCTTTTACTAATATACATTATAAATACTGTGTAATCTTACAAAGAAATTACAAAGCATGACAGAAAGGTGCTGACTCTTCTCAGGGATTGGTCATGCAGAAGCTGACAAACCAAGCCTTTGGGTGAGCTGAATCATCCTTCTTACTAAGTACATTACAAACAAAGTTCAGTGTCTTACAAAGAACTTACAAAGCATGATCAACCATGACTGAACATGTTGAGTCATGTTTAAATGTTGTTACAAAGCATGACCAATCATGACTAAACATGTTGAATCAGCTTTAATAATGTTACAAACCAGATTATTTCCCAGTCACATGATGTGATGACAAATAAAATCTGGTGGCTGAAAGAAGCCAAATAAAAGTAAACAGTCAGACATAAACAAAGAGATACAAAACTTTGACAAACAAATCTGTGGCTGAAAGAAGCCAAATAAAAATAAATGATGAGAAATAAACAGAAGGTCACATGCTCATAAAAATACAAGGTAAAATAAGTCTGAGAAATAAAATACAAGACAATGAAATAGAGGAAAAATAGAGAGGTAACTCAGTGACAGAGGGCTAGACAGTCTCTCATATCTTCCTTATCACTCTCTATATATATCTGACATGGTATGAATCACATACCATGCATGACAGTGCTCGTGTTCCAGGGTTGAAAAATGTTGAATGCGCCGTTCTGATGGGTACTCGTCGTGCCCTCAATAGAAAGGAACGATGGGATTTGATTATCGGGTCCCATCGCACCCGCGGTACCTTCAACTAAGTCTGGGCGCCTTTGAGGACCCTCAATGAGAGCTGGAGACCGTTCGGGGACATCTTCATTGTTGTTCGAGATGTCCGTAATTCTGGCAGATAGAGGGCTGGCCCCGTTGTTAATGGCAGGTGAAGGAGGGGTGGGAGGAGTGGGGGAATCGTTGTTGGAGGTGCGGTTAGTAAGATCTTCGTCTTCAGAATCTTCGTCTTGGATGATAGCCTTGCTCTTCGCGCTGATGGATGGTGAAGGCCTACCGCGCTTTCTTTTTCCCTTATCGCTACGGGTTGCTCTAGGTTGCTCCTCCCCCGAAATAATACGTTGCTCGTGTGCCTCCTTTCTTGTAGCGAGTTCTTCATCTGTCAGTTCACGCCAGTAACATAAGCCAACCTTGAGAGCATTGTGCAAACGTCTGAGAGCAACACTCGAGCTAATCTCCCCTGGGTTAGTGATAGCGCCCTCCGTCCATCCTATGAGCTCGATGCCCCATGCACGAATGAACCATTCATGATTATGGTATGCTACCTGAGGCATTTCTGCGGCTGAAACACCCTGCGTGTTGAGGATTTCCTCTGCGAAGATGTCAGTGACAAGGATTGATAAAATAATTCAAAAAAACATACCCATATTGGTGCGAATCATGTCTCGAATTTCCTTTTTGAGGAGTGTTGTCTGCCTCGCACCTGAAGTGCGAACAACACCTTTGACACCTGACACAATGTAGGCATCGATGTTGACAACTATCTGTTCAGGCATCAGCTTGAACAGAGCAAGACAGGCATTTTTGACGGGGTCGGACGCATAGCTTTGTGGTCCGAAATTGTTGTTTGATGCGTTCCTCGTTAGACCCCAGAACACATTGCAACCGGTGCGTTTTTCGAGGCCTATAATCTGTGTGGTGTCAGTGAAATAACTAGATGAATTTTCGGACAAACATACCTCAGGATCAATATTACCCATAGTCTTTGCAATTTCCGTTGCAACATCCTTGGCATAAACCTTTATCGAAGCCTTCGACACGCTTTCGACTTGTATGTCGTCCATTAATTCATCTTCCTCCTCTTGTGTTAGGTTTTTCCACTCGCCAGACTCCTTGAGTTCTCTGGAGACGATGGCGAGTGTCTTCCTACCATCTAAGATACCTAGTACATTGTTGTTAGTCCATGGTTGCAATTATGAGAGACGAGTGCTTACCATTTTCCTTGCACTTGGCAATTTCGCGTCTCACGACCGCATTGAACATGGAGACTTTGCGGGAACTCTTTAACAGCTTTCCTCCCAAGAAAAACTGCTTCGACATCCACTCGAGTGAGCTATTCATGCAAAATGTGAGCTGCATAGTAAATATACACAGCCTGAACGTACATATGGTATTTTTCTGCAAGGTCTGTGATGGTGACCATGTAAGCACTCCGCGCATCACCAACCTCCTTCCACATTTTGGCCGTGCGTGCTGCCGATATTTTGCATTGCTCACGCGTCCGTCGAGACTTTTTCTTCAGACCTGGAGTACTCATTGTCAGAGGGAACACAGCGGGTTTGCAGAAAGTAAAGAAAGAGCATGCGAACCAAAATTCGTTGATGCAAACACACAGCCTCTAGTACTTATGAAGCACCGGCGATTAGTTGAATTAGGGATAGCATTGAACTAAAAAATTGAGGGATCCAACCATATAGCATGCAGTGACAGCAAAACTTTCCAAAACGAACTAACCAAATTTGACATTGAAGCAATATACATTCACAGTATTTGAGTTATAGCGAGCGAGATATGTCAGTATGGTGATAGCAGCGCTCAAAGCAGCATTAGAAAACAGCTAGATAGGCGAAAGAATAAGATCAATAGCCAAATGAACAATTGCTGCAGACTCACATGAATCACCTCCGGGTGTGATCAGATTGCTGTGCTATATCAAGGACGCTTATGTGCTGCTCCGGAAGTGAATGAACAATTACCCGACAGAGGTTACGTGCTTGTGACACTGAAAGTCCAGCACCCACAAAACAAGTTTCCCAGTCGTCGACAGAGTAGTCGAGGCTGGCGTCAATCCTCGACATGACTTCTGGTGTGGCTTCAATGTCTCGAAGGTAAGCATGAACTGCAGGAGAAAAGTTGAAGGTGGACGTAGTGATATGGGTGTGATAGGCTGGTGGAGGGCTAAGTGGCAGATCATTTCTTGGTGGTGGTCCACGTGGCGTCCTGATCCAGGCTGGCTCTCGTAAATGCTGCTGTGGCAATCATTCAAAATATTGATAAAATCAAGTCCATGATGGACACCAACCTCATGTGCTGGCTCTCGTAAACGTTGCTGTTACAATCATTCAAAATATTGATAAAATCAAGTCCATGACGGACACTAACCTCTTGGAAGGAACTTGTAGATACTGCTCTCAGCGCAACGAAATGACCACTACGTTCATCTCGAATGGCAGCAATCTCAGCAGGAATGTCTGCATAGCGTCGTGTTTCATTGAAGCGCGCAAGAGGGGATGATGACAGATTCTGGCGATTATTGGATGAGCGTGCATGTATTCGCACTTCAGTTGGTTGCGATGGACTTGTGGGTGAGAGATGTGACTGAGGTGATGCGTTGCTAGGAGCTGGACTTGCCGAGGCTGGAGTTGAGCGATGCGAGGTGAGGCTCGCACTAGTAGAGGTGTGAGTGATGTGATGTGCAGGAGTTGTGCGAAGTGGAGTTGCCAAGCTTGTTGATGTTGTACGATGTGGGGTGGTGGCGCTCGTTGGCAGAACATTCAGCTGAGATGAACCAGAGCGATGGGCTGTAGTGGTAGAATTCATGTTACGAGTGACAGCCTGCTGCGTCTCTGGATCTACTACATAGCCTGGTCCAGGCTGGAGTTGATGCAGCTTGCGCTGGAACTGTAGAAGATGGGGAACACCTAATTTGCGCTGCACGATATCCTTGAGTTTAGTGACGGTAGGACTAAGTTCTGGGAATTGAGAGAACTGTCACATGCAGATGACTTCAACATCAATGTTGGATGGTGTCGAAGGCTGAGAAAGGTTCGGTTCGGGCCATATTGCAAATCCAACGAATAAGACGTCAGCAAGACGGCCTAGACCTGTCACCTGTGAAGATGCATGGCATTGGTTCAACAAAATGAAATGAAATGTATAAGTAGCTCACTGCATCATGGACATCGCCGATCCCTTCATTCCAAGCTAAGTTTTGGTCCTCTTTACCAAGGCAAAACTGATGGTGTAAACCGCGATCTGATGATGAAGCTGAGTCCAGTCTGTCGTTGTGCATGACTCTTCTAAGCATAAAGTGTCGGCGATCGATATCTGCACAAGGTGGTTGAGGAGATTGGCTTTGAACCCATTCTCGTAGAGCAGGGGGAGAATAAGGTGCCTGAGTTATTATTAGTGAGGTTGAGCAATATTGAAGGTAAAAGAACAAGGGAGATGGGAGATGGGAGATGGGAGATGGGAGATGGGAGATGGGAGATGGGAGATGGGAGATGGGAGATGGGAGATGGGAGATGGGAGATGGGAGATGGGAGATGGGAGATGGGAGATGGGAGATGGGAGATGGGAGATGGGAGATGGGAGATGGGAGATGGGAGATGGGAGATGGGAGATGGGAGATGGGAGATGGGAGATGGGAGATGGGAGATGGGAGATGGGAGATGGGAGATGGGAGATGGGAGATGGGAGATGGGAGATGGGAGATGGGAGAGACGCACTTAGTTTAACGTACATCGTGGTTTGCATGTGTGTTAATTATGTGTGCAATGCCGCCAACTAACAACACTAAGACACATATGGCAGTTTCACATCGCGAGAGAGATGAATTAAACAAGTTGAACAGATCAAACTCACACTACATATGGTTGAATGATGGGTTGAGGGAAGTGAGAATAAAGACACAGACAGATTATTTGTTGATGAATTGACGACACCGCCGGCAATTGCAATCACAATGTAATAGCACATGTGCTATTACATTTATCGTGATTGCAATTGCCGGCGGTGTCGTCAATTCATCAACAAATAATCTGTCTGTGTCTTTATTCTCACTTCCCTCAACCCATCATTCAACCCTATGTAGTGTGAGTTTGATCTGTTCAACTTGTTTAATTCATCTCTCTCGCGATGTGATAACGCATACATATAATGTTACTATGATATTCAATGATCTTGGTCACAATGCGCTATCAAATACATTATGAGCTCCAGCTATACATGATCTCATAAATAACATGCTAATCAGAATGCAAAGCCAGATTTTCCAGAAACTCGCCCAGCCGGATCATTGTATCATTCAGCTCATCATCTGCTGCAATATCATCGTCTTCTGCAGTACCGTTGGCTTCATCATGGATACATGTCATTTCCTCGGCCTCTGCAATGGGTGTGAGATCCGGATACAAGTCCATGTCCAAGTTCACGTGAATGCCTCGTCCACGTTTACCTGAAAATCCAACCAAAGACTCGATGCAGTCGAGGCGCACCTGGTGCACTGCATCAACACGTAAGCGGTCACGATGAATTTCTTCAATTTCGGCCGAAAGATCTGGGTCACTATTGTGAAGTCGAGAGATGCAGGATCGAAGCCTTGTATCCCCGTCTGATATAGCGGTACGAAGACGGCGCACCTCGACATTGAGGCGTACAATTTCTTCTCGAGCACGAAGTATTTTAAAATACTTCACAGCAACTTCACGGTTGCCTGGAACTGTCCAGGGCTTGGAAAGTATTTCAGGGTGTTGCGAGTATGCGAGCTTGAGTAGGTCGAATTCAGAGACAAACCCGTAATTCACAATGTCATTCCACTCGAGATGGGGTGCAGGAGGTTCCATTGATGATGCGAGCTGGTTGTATTCTGTGAGAGCGGACTGGATGGCCTTGCTACGTGTCTTGATTGCCTTGCCAATGTGTACACAGAGCTTATAACCTGACATTTGATAAATATAATCGCATCATTAAAACGTAAGGAACTGATACCTGTGCCTGCCATATTCGCCTTCGAAAGTTCGAACAGCCTCTGGACAACGAGGCACTGCAAATTATCTAGGACTCGTCGAAATTTGTGTGAGCGCATGTACTGCATAGTCGAGATATAGTCGGGATGTGCTTCAGTCCATGTTTCGGCAATACCAAGCTTCTCCTCCAGTTCTCCAACAGCACGTACGTTAATGAGAAGTGCTTGCAAAGCAGTTCGTCGAGCAGCTTCAATTCGCGCAGTCTGCTTTGCAACCTGGGAGTAGTCGATATCATGGGTGATTGGCATGTGTCTGAATATTTCCGACGCCTGGTTCCATTTACGACTAGCAAAGTGTTTTGGTCAAATTAATGTGATTGTGATGTGAACTTACTCAGCAATGTTACGGTCATTCAGCGCCTGTACATACGAACAAGTGAGTATTTTCTCTTCAGGCTCCTCTTTCAGGTTTAGAAGAAATTGGTATTCCTCTGCGATCCACGACTCAATGGTATCTTCGTTGATGCTGAGGGACTGCGTCATCTTGGTGACAACAGGGCTGTACTCGTTGATGATGTTGAGCGCCTGACGATAGTTATTCAACAAAAATTTACCTAGTAATGTATAAGTCACAGGCACCCGAATACAAACGAACACCACGTACTCAGTTCCTGATATTTGTCCATGTCCCATTGAGAGAACTGCATGTCGAGCGCTTGTTTCCAATGGTACCGCGTTGCATACCGAATAATGCGTGCACTTGCATTTGTCGACGAAAAAACTCGTTCCATTGTCTCCAGATCTTCGAGCCAAAAACCAGCGAGGTAAAGAGGATGATGTTGAACTTGGCACAAACGATTGTGCGCATATCCATGGAAAGAATTAACACAGATGCGTAGTCGAAGGTCCTCGGCTTTCTTCTGTAACAGCGGACTATTACGAACAATTTCCCCGAAAGTGCAGCTGACATCGTATCCTAAACCAACATCTTCACCGAAATTATTGAGGATGTAATCTACTATCGCAAGTGAATATTTGGCACTATATAAATCAGAATGTTTGAAGATCAGAATGCCGAATGAGGTCCGCACTTACAGTTAACCACTTCGTACCATCTCGCAAGCCTTGATAATAAATCTGTGGCGACAAGCTGAAGCGAACATCCCAGTAACCTCATAAATGTCGAGAGCTTTCTTCTGTTGTTCAGGCGCACTGCTCTTCCATTTCAGGCACGAACTCAGGATGTCGTTATTGTCCCCGGCATCAGACATCTCCTTGAGATTTAAGATATTTGAGTAAATTATGGTAATGATTATAACAACTAATACTTACATGGTAAGTGGCGTGCTGCCGGTGCTTAACTTCATCCTTGAATGTGTTGACATCTTCCCGTGAGAGAAAATAGGTACTGGTGAATTCTCTTTCATCAACTGACCCAACATTAGCAATTTGTTTTGAAGAGTTATTGCCGTCCTGAGTTACGAGGATGCTAGGAACCAGTTGAACTTCATCTTTGAGCTGTGTAAATAATGAGGGCGGTATAACACAGGAGATCAATCAACATACCATGTACGTACAACAGGGACACTTCTCATGGGCTTTGACGCCATCGTGGCCAAGGGCCTCATTGACTCGGGAGCGGATATGGCGAAGGATATTGAGATAAGCATTGAACACTATCGAGAACTGTTCTCGATAGCAGTGGTGATAAGTTACCTATGGTTAGTTGGTAAGTTAAATAGAACAGCGGAGTAGTAGTAATATGACTTACGTGGTGAAGGTCGCATAACGTCTTCGTCATGGTTTGGATGCTGAGCTGGGGATGGCGGCGGCGCAGATGATGGTAAAACTCCAGAGTAGCAAGATCCACTGCAACAGATGGTTCCACCGGAGAGCAGCCAAGAAACCCATGTCGAAGAAGCGCTACATTTGCTGGTTCATCCGGAAGCTGAGGAATCACAGAATTAAGGATACGTTCTGGGGTAAGATCAGCACGCATTCAAAAGAATAATTTATAACACACCATAAGTCTTGATGACCGTAACATGGAAAAAATGACCGTCAAGTGGCGCAGAGTGTATTTCCTCCTTGGAATGCTTCCACCAAAGGTAGCTGGATGCCAGAGCAGGCAACTGCGTGTCCCAATGAATGTACATCATTTTTAGTCATTCTCATTGTGTGCGATGTTGTTGCATGGAGTTACCAGTATGTCTACAACAACGGATCAGTTCATATAGATGTTTGCATAGTTAAGAAACTTACCGCGAGCCTGCAAGAAGCTCATGGGCTGCAGTGAGGATGTCATTATATTCCCCGCCGCCATTAGAAACCTCTGGGGCCTCATCCACATCAATCCATTGGTGGGCGCCAAGTTCAGTATCAAAGGATACATTGATATCATCATCTGGAGGGGCACCGGAGGCAGAAGCAAAGCTACTAAGGACAGCATGCGAATCTGATGGCATGGCTTATGCCAAAGAATTAGCTAGGACTGCGTGTCAATGCCAAAATAAAAAGGACCTTACCAAGTAGTACATCTTTTTGCCTTTCAAGACCCTCTTGAAGTTCTTTCTCCAAAGTGCGTCCAGATTTCATGCGTACATGACGTCCAGAAGTAGTATCAAGGGGGGGTCTTGTTGAAGGAACGAGCCGCTCGGGGCTGTAGTGATGAACACCGCAAGGGATTTTGAGTTTTTTGGAGCGTAGTGACATGGTGTAAAGCAGGGGCAATGCACGTTGCTGTGAGGGACAGCAAGCTCGAAAATTACTAAGTTGAGTTAGCACGTGATGCGGGAGGGGTTTGCCGAACTATATCTGCATGCCCTCCAATGTTCCCGACGTTCCCGACATTGCGGACAGTGCTGGCGCTGACAAGATCGTTATCAGCGCTGATTAGAGTAATCTATATCTACGTTTATCTTACAGTGTCCGTAATCTATGTAGTAGAAGCTGGTACAAGTGCTGGGGTAAAGCTGGTGGTAAAGCTGGTGTAGAGGACCATTGGATCCGAGGCAAATAACCCACGCCGGCTAACCCCGCTTCCGAGGTTTATTACCCTCACTTCTTATGTCACTCAGGTGGATTCGGAGATACATCAGAGTCAGAAGTGTGACTTGTTTGTTTGCCAACAAGAAACAGCAAAGAGAATGGCATTCCAGCAAATGCAACCAGAGCCTTCCATACTCAAACACTTAGAAGACTTCATTCAAATGTCTCCCTATAAAATGCAGCCAACATCCTATTCCGCGCTATCCAAACTTCTCAAGACCAACCCTACACACGGACTTTTGTCGATAAGCCTCAAGGTATGAATAGACCTCAGTCGGCAACTAATGTTTAATTACTTATACAACGTATGCAGAAGATCAAATTTACCTCTTGTCCATGCCAAACTCCGCTTAACCTCTGAACAACGGTATCCGATGGCAGACCAAGAAAATCGATACACTATGCCTGTCCACCTGTCCAACCTGGTACACGGGTGCGTATCGGGCCTTTTACGCATTGTATAAATTAGTTCAGCCTTTCTTTAGGAACCCGAAGTCGCAGAAGTCAAATTCGACTTTATACCCAACTACCAAGACACAGCAGCATGACATATACGCCGATGCTCATGCCTTCACGAAGGTGGCCACCTCCGACTAGTGTAGTCGACTATTCCCGTAGATATCTCATCCGTAAGTCCTCCACCATATCATCATGTTTGCCTTCTCACCCCCATCGCGTATCGTCCCATCCGATATGTCTATGACTTCACCACCTCTACACCCACATCCACCTCTGCACCTACATGTACATATATATCTCCCGCACCGCAGAGATTGTCCCATCTCTCTTGAACAACCCCGTCAAGCACTACCCACTATGCCAAAGGCGAGCCTTTCCAACCCCGCAGGCGGTGATAACATAGCATAATAATAATATGCAGCCTTTGGGGGCGAGGGAACGCGAGCGGACAAGATATTTGAGCAGGGAAGTAGTGGTGGTTGTGAGTATATCCTATTATTGGAATAACATTGATCTGATATGTTGGTTATTGGTTCAGCAACGGCCTGGTCCTCCACGACTAGATGATGATGAATCTGCAGGTTCGACCTTTTCATTTGTTCAGTTAAATGTTATTCGCATTGATCATTTGTGCAGATGAATCTGCATCGCCTTCCAACGATTCCCACATAATAAGTCCATTGTCCCCGTCTCACTTGTACATTGTGTTATTTAACAAACTGCTCATATTGTGGACGTTGTCGTGCAAGAAGACGAAATTCGAATCCCTTTCTTGTGTTCTTCAAATTTGTGGTAATGGTTAGGCTGTTGGTGAAGTTGTGCAGCAGGTCACGTAGACAGGTGAGAGCGTTCAGGTTGACGCCGCGTAGCCTACATCAGGGTTCTTCCGGTCAATGAATCAAGGTGACGATTTGTGGAAAATCTGGTGAAGTTGATTGTTCATCTGAAATTCTGAACATGACTTTGGCTTTGATATCGAACATTCGAAACTACTTACTAAGACGACTTTGGTTTGGCCACTATCAACATCCAGACTCCAGAGGTGATGAATATAGCAATATTGCGCAATGGCAACATCAAGATACATTCCCGTCGGTCATGCAAATCAGGCATCACTTGTCGCTACTGTGATGGTGGTACTTTGCTTGGGAGTGCTGCTACGCGCTATGGACAGCGTACAGATCCGACATGTGTATACACCCGTTCAAACAAATATCATATTATTCCACTCGCTGATGAGACATACATAACAGACCAATGTATATCAAACTGCCTCCAAATCTGAACCGGACCAAGGTAAGTACTTGATCCGGTGGTCACACAGCCATTGACATGCGGTGTCAGCAGGGCGCCTGCAACTACAGCATGCAAAACTGACCCAATTAGCAGGTCTCTTCGACACTTTCGCCCCGTATCTCTCCTTCCCCTCGATTACTGACTTTGCGCAGTATTTCATTGTCCAGTCTGTCTGTACGACACGACATCCTTGTCATGCAACACGAAGAAGCCGAGTCAAGCATGTCAACGAGACGAGGAGAAGTGTCATTACACTCATCGATATATCGGACGAGCGCGAAATATTTACCACCATATGGTGCACAGCACCGCCAGGATGCACTTTGGGAAGGTGAGCAGCTACCTTGTGAGACCTACCAGCTTATTGAATTAGAACCAGGCAGGAACAAAGCGCTTCCTCCTGTGTGGCATCAGTTTCAGACATCGCCGGATGGTGAAACACTATATCAAGATGACACGCTGGTGATAGTCTCGAGGAACCGACCTTTACCAGGAGTGCGACTAGGTGAGGGATGAAATTGCGACAAGGAGTGACGAACTCACTGTTGAACGTAGATGTTCCTGGATATCTGGCTGTTCCTGGATAGGAATGGCACATCTCACCACTTGGTCGGTCCTACTTTGTCAACCACAACACTCGGACCACGTCGTGGAAGAAACCAAAGCCAGAACGTTCGGCAGGAAGCTTGCTGCCGGAGTACGTCATCGAGGGTCACTCCAACTGTATATGGAGTCTTACCTATTTGGGTACCAGTGGCAATATAATGAGTGTGTCTGACGATAGTTCGATTTGTCAGTGGAAAAGAGATGGAGAGCCAGTGGGAAAACCTTTCAATAGCGATGGGGGAGGGATAGGTTCGATGGTAGTATCCCCAGATGAAACAATGGTCGTTTGTGGAAGTATAGACGGCAGACTGCGGCTTTGGAATATAAAGTAGGGCAGCATGATCGGCGACCCGTGGGAGGGGCATAATGCTCCAATAAGGTGCCTTGATTGGTCTCGCAATTCCCTGGAGATAGCAAGTGGATCGCAAGACGGCACCATATGACGCTGGAACCCAAATACTGGTCGACAAATAGCACCACCCATAGAGACCAGTCATGGATGGGTTGAAGCCGTGAAATACTCTCCAACAGGCAACAAATTGATGAGCAGTGGGGACGGTCCAATCTGCATATGGTCAAGGGACGGCAGGCTGCTTGTCAAGATCAATGGACATGAAAACTGGGTGACATCATTATGTTGGTCCAAGGACGGCGCACACATCTTCTCCGGGTCGGGTGATAACACCATCCGAAAATGGGGGGCAATTGATGGAAAGGAACTCGTCGTTTTTTTGGGTCACACCCGCACCATCGCATCCCTCTGTCTTACTCCCAATAAAAAGTATATTATTAGTGGATCGTATGACTTCTCCATTCGTATCTGGGATCTCAAGACCAATCAGGCGGTCAGAGATCCACTCTTGCATGATGACGAAATCTTGGCTCTTGCCCTGTCCCGCGATGGAAAATACATTGCCAGCGCTGGAGTAGACAAAAAAAAATATGTATGGGACCTGGAGGCTGCGCTCAAAAATGTTGTGGTACGTATGTGCTTAGTTGTCTAACTTTCCTTCCTAATGGTTTTGACCATCTAGGGCTTAGATGATGGGAATGCAAAGCTCCAGGCAAGTCATCTCTGCTTCTCTTTCACACTACATCTCACTTTTCACTAGGGACATCCAGTTCAACCGAGAGTTGTGCGCCCAACAATCGTGAGTAGCCTCACCTTTCTCTTTTCTCGTCAGACCTTTGACGACCGTCTTGCGTCTAATCAACAGGCCAAAACAGCAGTACTGGCAAGATATGTCAGTGCAATTTCTTGTTCTTGACCTTTCTCACCTGACACCCAGATACAGGGCAATGATTTCTTTGGCGACGAATCAGACCATGCGTCTCGTCATGCAACTCCCGCAAGCCCATCGTCCCTTGTTCGTTGGCGTCATTTGCTCAGTTCCGTACATTTTGGCACACGACCTGTAAATGCATCCCAACCAATCGAACAACGATCCCGGCATCGGAACTTCAACTTCAAGTTGTTTTCTGGAGGACATTCCACGCACACTGTCGATGTACCTCTTGCTCAAGATGAAGATGTGAGTCCTTCGTTGTCCCTCCAATTTCCTTTCATTAAAATACAATACAGAGATATGGCATTGTCCATGAAACTGATGCGGAAGCGGCTGCAGCTATGCAATGTACGAACAGCAACCAGGCCAACAGTGCAACACAATCAGGTCAACCAGCAGGGGCACAACCAATCCAAACACAAGCACAAGGCTCAACTGGCGGAGCGGATGACTTTGTGCATACAGGAGTGACCTGCTGCGGATGGTTCTTTGGTCTCCGTTGTCCTACTTCGAATCCTGCTTTGCATCAGTCATGAAGAATGGAAGACGTGTGGCACGCGCATGCTCAGTTCAACTCTCTTTCCCCCGCACCTGTGTCTAACTCCTCATTCGCCACCATAACCGTCACCCCACGCATTCGGATCCATCTCTCATCGCGCACCTCCTTTCCCTTGCACTACTTTCCCTGGAACCACACCACCAGGGAAGTGGGCCCCGTTTCCTGGAATGCAGCCCTTGGTTCATGCAACGACCTTCTGCGTGGGGGGTGCAATGCTTGTTTCCCGCAGAGTTGATGTTTTGATGGTCATTCAATATTCAAATCTAGACTTCCGCGTTCCTATTTTCTTGCCAGTACTTACTATTCATGGCAGCCCAAGTACCTACTCTATCGCCATTTGTAGATCACTAAATGGTATATCTTCAAACGATAGCATGCAAGAGAGCCGAATTTGAGCGTTTTGATAGACCCTAATGATTATGATATAACGGGACAAGCTATATCAAAACACATGATGCGTCGCCAACGGTCAAGCAGCTCAAGGATGGGAAAACACATAAGTTGATCATCGCGAACACAAATGTAAAAACACCAGTATAAGATGACATCTACCTCAGCGTTACAAAGTAAACAGCTCTGTATGAGCAATCCTGCCCACATTGTCAAACCCAATCTCGCGACTGCATTCTGTGCACCTCTCATCAAGATCTCTGAGCCACTAGCGCAGACCGCGACTCCCCCACCCAAGCCCATCATTTCCTGGCTTTCATCACATCGGATTTTGATCCAATCTTCCTTTTCAGACAATGACAGAAGACTGATGAAGTCCTTGAGAAGATTCTGAATAGACGGACGCGAGAGAGTGGCGATGGAGTTAGGAATGAGGTACTTCTGGATCGCAAATGCACATCACGAAAATAGAAATGTGCAGGTTGATGGTACTCTTAGACGCTGCCGTAGCAATATCGGGGCAAACCATTCTATCTGACCTGTGAAAATATATCAGAGTGACCTAAGGCCATGGTCAAGAATGACATACCAAAAGATCCAATGCACCAGGTGAGCTCGATTCTCCCCGCTCGTTCCCCCTGACTGCGGCCTGGTTTGATACCCACCCAATTTGCAAAGGAGAAGAAATGCCAGAAACTGGTCAAACTCCACTAGCACCCTGTGATTCCCGGGATCGGGCTAGTCATATCTGTGAAAGGGAACAAAATGTTTCAATAGTCGTGGAACACCAGAGGGAAGGTAAAGACAAGTACATGCTGCAGGGATGCCGATACCGAAGACAATGATGAAAGGATGCTGCGAGAAAAGACTAGCTGATGCATCTGTCACTGCTCGGGTATGGTAAGTAGATCAGGTGCTCACCGATGAGGTCGATAGCATGGCTGAAAGCAAGATTCAATTATTGTTCCAGAGCAAATATGTTCTGATGATACAAAAACCTCGATTAATCACATCAGAGATATACAATCGGAGAACATTATTATCACAATGCCTAGACCTGTCAGAGGAAAGCAGTAGCCTTCGGCAAGAATGTTCGTACATGGATGTACCATGCACGGACCTGAATCAATATTTTGCAACACCCAGCATTTCTGGCAAAGTCGTGCAGTTAGTCGTTCATTCTGATTAACTTTCCACTGCAGTACATACACCTGAGTTCTCATTCTGGGTGGAAATTACTGAAAAACAAATGTTAATTGATTGTTGGGGCGATGTGTGCTGGAGTGGAACGCTGCGGCACTATGTAGATCCATGATGAGAATGATAAAGGGCAAGTATTGTGCAACAGTATACAGACAGACCTTTCATCTTGCTCCAGTGCGATCGAAGCAAAAATGTCCACTTTGCACAGCATATTGTGAGTGTCAAAACCGAAGTATGTCATGGAAAGAGTGTATTTGCATTACCTTCTAATGGAATGAACACGCGTCTGAATAAGGGAGTGTTCAACCCACCCTTGGCAGCACTTTGACGATGTTCTCACGGTATGTGAGACCCTATTTTTATGTTGCCAATAAGTAAAAGGTCTAAGAGACTACTTCCATCAGGATGTCTCTCCCTAGTTTCGTAGGGCTGTCTGATTCTCCCTCCAGAGCTTATATGTGGAACCTCTTGGAGAGGGTGAGTTCATCCTCCTCATCTCCAGATCCTCCGCACCTGATGTTCTGTAGGTGCGAGGTGCGATGTCCATGAGGGTGACCTCCGAGTCTTGCCAGAGATCCTCTGCGCCTGACTCAGATGTTCACATCTCCATATGTTGGTGTGATGTCGGATGTATATTTCAGAGTACGTCCACGATGACAGATGATATGTCAGAGTTCCTATATGTTAGACTACATGCTTCATTTATTTTTTTTCTTTCCGTTTTTTGTCACAAGGCATGAATCAGACAGAAGGCCATGCATTAACTAGTATCTAATATGGCAAATACAATGACAGGAAAAGGACATAAACGGTAAGATGGGTCAGATGCAAGGCTCAATATCAAGATAGTATATAACAACGCAAAAAAAATATGTGAGCGACCGAGGCAGTCCAATAAATGCGACCAATGGAGGATCTCAAAGGTCCATCTGATCATCAGAATAATCAGGACCGTACCCATGGTGATACCCTCCCCCCCCAGAGCCATAATATGGGTTGCTGGAGGGGTGCCAATAATCTTCACGGTACTCTCGAGGGTCGTGGTCGCGGTAGTGATCATCATGATATCTACTGCCGCGATAGTGGTTTTCATCATACTGCTGAGGGGGCTGAGAGCCACGAGGAGGTTGAGAACTGCGACTCAGAGGAGGTTGAGAGCCGCGAGATGGCTGAGGAGGCTGTGATCCACGAGGGGGCGGAGGGCCATGTTGCATACATTGATCATAATAACTGCGCTGGTAATTGGATGGCGGATAGCGAGGGAACCCACGGCCAGGACCGTGTGGATGATTCTCTCCATACGGAGGATCGTTCCATGTTGAGTGATAACGTGGCTCCATGCGTAATCCCTGACGTGGACCATACATGCATTCATCGGCCTGAATGATATCTTGTCTCACATTGGCATCATGGGCACGCTCAGTGGCTGGATCTCCCTGCTGAACCAGCGCATAAACATTTTCTCCGCTCTGCTTGTCAATGGGTGAGGTTGGAGCGGGAGTAACATTGTCACTTGAAGCGGGAGCAACACTCTCTGAGGCACCTGCAGCAGGGACAACATGGTCTGTGAGCATGTGGGAAGGCTGGCGACACATTGGTGAGGGTGATGCTGGTGACTTAGGCCGAGGAGGAAGCCTGTCATCAAGCTCAGCGTGGCCCGGAGTAGCACCTGCAGCAAGCTCGGTGTTATCTAAAACAGTCTTCTTGTTCATGGAGTCATTCTCCTCGCATGCTACAGGGGGCTTGACTGGACGGGGCTTGGGGTGCTCTAAATATATGGTTAATATACTAGTGAGAGGATAGCGAATCAGTACAATACCTTTGACACCTTTGAGTTTAGGTGGGCCATCGCGAAGGTGTTTGGCAGCGTCACCAAGCATTTCATCATCAGACGACTCAATGATTTTAGGCTTCCTTACCTTCTCGGTTTCTCCCTTAGTCCTTGTGGGCGCCTTGTCTTTATTTACCTTAGGCACAGGTGTCTCAGTAGATGAAGCCCTCTTCTTGGCTGCTTGTGAGCCACCCTCTGACTTTGCCTTCCGCTTCTTGGACGTAGCCTTGTCCTCATAGTTGGAGTCAGCCTTCTTAGTAGTCTCATCCTCCAAACCAGATTGGGCATCGCTAGATGTGAGAGAGATCACTTCCTTTGACTTCACGACCTTGAATTCACGAGCAGGAGGTCTACTGATGGGTATGTTGGGGGGACCATCAGAGTTGGAGTCGCCAGAGTCATCAGAAAGAGAGAGTGGGGAACGACGCAAGGTTGGTGCCTCCTGAGAGGTCTTGCCTTTCCTTTTGGTGACAGCCTTACTAGGCTTCTCGCGAGCAAGGCCTTTGCGGTCAGAAGTGCCGTTCGCGAAAAGACGATGTCCTGCTGCATGGATGGAATCCACTGGGGGACGTGCCCCCATCACTACTGCGCACTCAGAAATGAGAATTTTAGCTGTATCAAAATGCGCCTAGATGTCAGAACGCAGGAATAAAATAAGTCGAAGGTGTACCTTGCTTGTCCTCCAGAACCTTGATTAGTTGCATGGTGCCCGCCTTCAATGCCATGATGACCTCACTAGCTTCCTTCAGAGTGAGATTGGCAATGCCCTTGCTCTTTGAAGCATGGTATTCCCCGGGGAGTATGACATCCTCAGGGTAGCCCTTTATCATCATTCCCTGACGTGTGAGCTCTCCTGGAAGTGTATTCCATGGGAACTTCTTTGACGACAGAAATTTGCCGCCCAGGTTCACTGTCGCTCCTCATTAATGCAAGAAAGAGCAGGAAGATATACTAACACATACAGAGTTGGCGAGAGATCTCTGCCTTGATCCACTTGGTCCCGTCCTTGGCTATATCGATGGTGTCAGATAGGGCAATCGAAGCCTCACGGCCGCTGGGCACATCTGGCTGGGTTACAATATTATCTCCTGGGAAGGCTTCCTCGACAATAACGAGTGACGTCAAATTACTAAATATGCGGAGCTCAGTCACTACCAAGTTCTCCGAAGGATATGAGCAACTTACTATACATGTGCCTTGAGATGCCCAATGATTGTATCATCGTCAGCCTTACAACGTGAGAGCCAGAACTGTGAGAGTGTGAGCATGTGACGTTGAGGTCAAATCCAAACCAGAAGAGTGAACTTACACCAGCAGCTCCCGGAGTTGTATGAGCCATGCCAAGACCACCATCTTGATTAACGACTTTCCCACATGCCACCAAAGCTGCTTCAAATCCGAACCGTGCAGCTCCTCCATCCATCTATATCTATTCAGTATTATAATACTACAAGTTGAGATGTACATACCACAGCAACGATCTTCTTAAAAAACTTTTGAAACTCCTGTGCGCGCATGGCAACGGTCTGAGGGACACCACTAAGAAGTACAGACTGGCCGTGGTACTCTAGGATAGTCTGCCAGGTGTCCGGATACGCTGCTTTAAATAGCTCATAGCAGTTACGGCGTACAGTAGCGCCTGGACAAAAGATTTTTTTTTAAAACATAGCAAGAGTGAGAAACGCTCACTTGGTGTTCCTGGTACATCAGGAGCCTTGCCACCGAGTCTGGCAAGCTCCTGCTTAAGATTATCCTTGAAGTAGCCGCTATATGCGTTCCAATGGTTAACACCATTGATGCCGCGAGCATGGCTCTTGTGCCATAATGAGATGACTTGATGGGTGGGGATGGAGGTTTGACGACTGAGCTCATGCACAAGGTGTTCCATTTTCACAAAACCCTCGCGAAGGATGTCGTTCGTCGCATCGTGCCTCCGTCCTTTCACAGCAGGAATGATATCTTCATTACCATCCATCAGAACATCATCGAGATCACAACCTCCCAACGCTGTTACAATAACATGTAACCGAGAACCCCTCCTACAGAGGTCATCATGACCTTAGCCCCTATCCCACCATATGCACCGTCTTGGAAGACTTACCGACTCAACGGAGACTCGTAGAGACACCTAGAACGGCCTGGATGCCGTTAGATGACCTAGACCAGCCTAGGCTACATCTGATCGGACCTAGATGGTCCTCGACCCGGATCATGAGGAAGCTCTGCCTCATGGTCAGAAGACAAGCCGCGTGCCTTAGCATGCGCAGTTAGACTCCAAGGCATGCTACGCCTTGAGGACAGATAAGAGAGGCATGGTAAGCCTCATGTATAGATAATCGACCGCATGGCATCAGATAAGATGCCCTTGTATAGACACACTTACATCTACCTACCGAACGTAGTATTGGTCTGTGCACACGGACGACAGTATATAGAGCAGACTAGAATCATGTATATTCCCTACTTGATTCTACTAGGTTTTATCCAGAACTTCCTCTGAAAGACAGTCCCAGTCCTTCAGTCTAAGCCGCACCTTAAGGAAAGCCGACGCTACCTTAAGTGGAACCCCCGAACCTCTCATTCGAGAGAAGATCCCCGTCTCTCCAATAGCGAGCCCGCTATCAGATTAGGCAATCCGCCTAGGGAGAGCTCGAACTATCCTAGTCCGTATCAAACGCTGGATTGATTTGAAACATGGGGGTCGGAGGTATGACACGTGTCTCAGGAACGGACGGTATTGTAGAGGGAGCAGTGGTGGTAGGCAATGTAGATGGACCAGGAGGGCCATTGAAGTCGTTGAAACCAGTGGTTGTGGATAATGTAGAAGGACGAGGTAAGTTGTTCTGAAAGCCAGCAAAGTCGCCACTAAAGTCATATGTCTCATACTCCACACAAGCAGGCTTAGTAGATAGATTTGGTTGCGGAGGTACCTTGGGAGGGACTATGACGGGATCATAGAAAAGATCCTGAAGTACGCCCTGGTGTGCTGGTGCAGGCTTGAGCGCAGGACTACTGCGGATATCAGGAGGGATAGTACCAGCGGGCACAGAAAGCTGCAGAGGGTGCACAACTTCCTGATTGATGGGCTCGCTAATGAGGGAGTCGCCTCCAGTGGGCTGGTCATTAGCGGGCATGGCCTGACGACGCATGGACGCCTCCTTGACAAGCCCCATGTCACGGGCTGTGGGTTTGATGTGTGTTCAAAGACGGGTTGGAGTCAGATCCATGACGGGATCCACATAGTGTTTACCACCACCCACTTGTTCTTGCAGGTAGCATCCTGTGCTGCGATCCAGCATGGGCTCAGGCAAAAGAGACTCGGGAAAGGGAGAGGTTCTTGAATAGTCAGGCGGCAGAGAGCCTTTTTTCTGGGTCATAGCTAAGAGGATAAGTGAGTGTAGTCCCAACAAAGTATATCAATGTCTTACCTGTAAAATGTCGCACAAAGGTTGAGATAAAGCCTTCTGGAGTGTTGGTCAGGACTGCGCACACATGGTACGAACAAAAAAACTCACAAGAAAACCTGAGGAGAGGAACCATTTTTTTGTTTTTGTTTTGGAGAGGTCAAAGATCAATGCAGGAAAGTACATACGATGTACGGAAAGGAACTCTTTTTTGCGTTTGAGAGGTCGCCAAAATATTTTGGCTGGTAGAAGATATAAAATAGAAAGGAAGTTGCACCGAGAGCACAACACGAAGAGCAAAAGACCCCACTGCCATGTTGTTGGCAGGAATCCAACGAAAAGATCCGCTGCTTTCAAAACAGAAGTCAGGAAGGTGATTGACCAGGAAAGAATCGTTCTGCTTGCCATGGTATCCGGGATGTTCATGGACAGGCATTGTTGCTGTTCCGATTGAAACTTCACTGCTTCTTTGCGAGCTTTTCAACCAACCACCACCACACTGTTACATCCCTGCGACTAAAATCATGCTGCGTCCTCCTTTTCATCAGACACTTGAGGAAAACCTGCAAGCAGGTCGTGAAAACCGACGACGCCATTATGCAAAGTAAGTCTCACTGCTTTGATTAATTGTCTCCGGTGGTTCCTGACCGGTCAACCAATTGAAGAAACAGAGACAGCATTCTAAGCCGGCGGAGGGAGCTTCGTGTTGAAAAGAACAACACAGGGCCGTCGGAGCTCAAGAAAGCTATTGAAAGAGCTCTGCATGGCTATGACTCGGATGAAGATGGTGATGAGTCGGAGACAGGCAATTCCAGCGACATTGAGGAGAATGATGACTCACTGTACGTTGTTTTCAATTAAATGAACATAAAATTAACATCCCACAGATTAGATCTTACAGGATGTCTACTCACGCTCAAAGGGATCAAAGACGAAATGTTATCTTTGATTACTGAACCTCGTGCATTTTCTGAGGGCGCCTTGCTTCAATTTGTCAACAGCATCGTGTATACAAATGACCGTGCCGATAATGGGGATCAAACCATTGTTACAAATATGATAGTCACGGTCCGAGGCTTGCTCAACCGCTCCATCCCCGTTCAAGATAAAATCCTTAATTTTTGTGGCGTCTCGGCCAAGTTTCGTGCTGCTGACACAGTCACTTGTTACCTCAGTACCACCCTTGCATACTTAGAGGACATCGAGTTTTTCATCCATGTGGAGGGAGTTTCGGAGCTGTGTGTTGCTCACTCGATGGGCGAGTTGATGTACCAGACCGGTTCTCGTGTTTGAGCAGCCTTCATGCAGTAATAGATAATGGTATAATGTAACTCTCTTGCGATGCATTTACTTCTTTCAGAGTACTCATTAAAATTAAGACTTACTTACCCAGAGATCTCATCATCTCGCATGGATGAGGATCGATGATCCTCCAGCACAGTAATAAATGTCCTCCAGTGTGGTAATAAGGATTAATTAAGGATTAATGAAGCTGAACCAAAGTTGTACGTTGAATGTTCAAACGATGAACGTTCAAGATCGGCACTGATATTACTAATTGTGCGCAGGAATTTTGACTTCTCAACAGATTTACTAAATTCTGACTGGGCACGACATCGATGAAGCCTGTAAGGATCAATGCTTCTGTCATCAATGTCGTTCTCCTGGCACTATCACCTTCACTTGGACTGGCGCCTTCTCAAACTGTACTGCTTCTTCTTACACAAAATTGTCCACATGGATTTCACCATGGATTTCGCCAGACTTGACTCCGTTCTTGATTGCATCGCTTTGCAGCGTGGTGTAACAGCAGATACAATATTAGCAGGGTGGCTTGAAAGGCGGGAAAATGGAGATTCTGAGCGTTGGAGGCAGCTCGATGGGATCCCTTGCATTATTGGTGGGCTGACAGCACTTCTTGGTAAGTTTTGATGAGGAATTAAGGATTGATCTGTAGGATTTCTGACGATTTCACAGGCACACTCGATGGTCGAGGGGGGACATTTCCATGGAAGAGACTACCTGCCATTCTAGCCCACCGTGGATACACCCTCCATCACTACCCTGAGAATGTTCTCATGCCCGGCAAGAAACGCCCAACGCTTGTCAAAAGCAAGGGTATCCACGACCTTACACTCCGTGAGCGGGACCTACTTGCTGATGCCCTGAAAACAAACACCATCATCATTCAGGTGAGTGGGATCTATTCCTATTTGCTGATGCCCTGAAAACAAACTTCATCATCGTTCAGCATGTCACCACTGATAAAGCCCGCCGGAAAATCATGACTTCCCGTGAACCGATCATCTTTGGAGAGGCACCTCAAAATGATTCACGGAACCCACGTGGCCGGCGCACATTCCTGAATGGTCGGATCGATAGGAGGGGACTTCCTCGTCTCTCAATGGCCAAGACATCTCCAGAGCCGCTGTCTCCACCTGCACCTTCTCATCGGCTTCATCGGCGAAAACCACAGGTATTATCACCCGAGGATTCTCCTGTGGTGTCGCCCGTACCTTCTCGTCACCATTCTTCTGTGGAGTCTCCTGTACCTTCTGGTTGCCATTCTCCTGTGGTGTCTTCTGCGCCTTTACGTCGTCCAAAACTGCAGGTTTTCGTTGAGTTACCCGTCGCCCCTCCATCCTGGAGGTTGAAAGCAGCACGGCAGCACTCTTTGCCTGTCAGTAGACCGGAAACCAGCTCGCTCATCCCACAGATTAGCTGCCTCACTCAGCTTTCGGCTACTACGGATGTTGTTGATGAGGAGGGAGAAGTTGATGGGCTACTCACACAGCTTTCAGCGACTGTGACTGCAGTTGGTACCATCAATGAGGAATAAGTAGATACTGGGCTTGTTGTTTTTCCTGGATGCGAAGTATAATCAAGGGGGTCTTTTGTTCTGTATCTTGGTAGAAATTGTCACAAAGTCAACCAGATTGTACTGACCTATGTGTACCTCGCGGGAATTAAGAATTTGTACTCAAAGGGAAACATTTGACAATTTTTAGCCTAAGGGAGAGGAAGAGACCAGAGTGCCTTGTTACAATCTTAGATCCATCATGCTGATCTCCTGTTTAGGCTCGTAGACGCACCTCCCGAGAGGTATGATAACCAATCAAGTTGCAAATAAAACTCCTATGAAACAGAAAACATATCTCTGGAGCATGATATGGAACAATCTATGGCTATGAATAGGCCAGAACTAAGGCCCTCACCAGCCCGGTTCGGATGAGATACATATCTTGAGTGCTTTATCATGCAGAGCCACCTTACTTCGTGTAACACTGGTATACGTTGGATTGCTTCATCGAGTTGTAAGTGATTTTAAGTAGCTCGTATGGCATTGTATGGCAATTCGACTTGTTCGTGAGTCTGACCTTGGGCTATCCTCAACTACACGATTGTAAGTAAACACACCATTATCAACCGGTTTCCAGGTCAGCATGGATGTTTTCCCGTCCTTGACTGGTATATATCTACAGGAATCGAATCGTAGTGACTCTAAGTTGTTCGTATGTCAAGTCGACCTGTTTGTGAGTTTTGACAATCCTGACCTTAGCGGGCCATCCTCAACTACATCATAGTAAGTAAACACGCCATTATTAAGCAGTTGGTTGGCTTTACTTCATGAATGGTTTCTCAACTGAAGTAGTATATGTCTACGGGCGTCAGGAATGCCTGTCCTTATTGTCTTAGCATGCTGCCAACCAGGTGTGATACTCAATCCTTTTTGTGTTTTCGCAGTACTCAGCACATGTCTTCGGGAAAGTTGTAGACAACTGTATGTATCGCATGTCACGGAGCAGGTATTGTATCTACAAGTGTACATAGATAGTGTCTGAAAGCTATCATATCCTCCTCGCACATCCCTGGTCTATGAGCTCCCCGCAAGATGGCTGCAATTGCCGCTAGGACCCAGAGACCGCAGTCATAGCCATTCGTCTGCAGTGGTTTGACTATTAGTGGCCGGGCTACCCACCCTCAAAGATTAATTTTACGCGAGCTGCAACGTTGGTGAGCGATGGACGATAGACGTGCAATAAGATGCATAATGTCCTGTTATCAGATCATCGTCAGTTTACCAGGGGACGACTGAAACTATCACTCACGTTCACGTCATTTTTCCATGGCTGTCGCTCAGCCAGGCTGTCAAAAAGGTGAAGCTCCTTCGTTTGAATATAAATCGCACAAAATACCCAGTGTCCGACTGGTGAGGGGCGATGAATGGGTAAGATCCAAACATCTTTCTCCCAAAACAATGTCCACGAAGTATTTTGCCACAGTACTTCATCCGATGCATTGTATTGGATACGTGGGAGGTCGTGCGTGGAAAGAACTGCACAAGGCTGCACACGTGAGGTTTTGAGTATTTCAAAGTATAGTAGTGCCGTGCAGCCATTAATACATGTGTCGTTGAGATGGGCAGTCGGCTGAGCCAGGAATGACTGATCTCTTGGGTCGAATACTTGACTTGGAAACCCATCAACTGCTGGTCATACTCGGGTCATGGGAGTACATGCGACTGATACTATTGGATAATCCTCTGGGAGAGGAGCTTTGAAAGGATCCGTGTGTATATTCTATGACATTTGATAAATGCAGGTACATATCAAGAGACGGGAACATACCTCTGGCAGTGTCCAGGCAATCACAAATTCAGGTGCTTCCACAGCTTCATCATCTTTGTCATCGCTAATGATACCATCGGGCAAAATGTCCATGAGTACCGCTTCTTCAGTAACTTCTTCGAATGCAGGTACAAGATATTCATCAGCGTCATCCTCAGGGGAGGGATCAGTGAGCGAGGTTGGTACAAGCCTATAGAGGCCATCTTCCAATGGTCCCTCGCTGTCAGATAGACTCATCGCAAGATTAACCACTGCTGTGGCATTACTGACGAAGCGGATGGAGGATACAAGTGGCGTGACCCATTTAGTTTGCAGCTGGAGAATGTGATCCCGCCGTTGCTGCAGGGAAAATATGAATGCGTGATCTTCTAGGATCAGTGCTACTCTTCAATATACTAGTATATCAAACAACTCACTTGCGGGAGAGCGTAGGGCAAGTTCTAATGCGGCCAGCTCATCTCCGAACCACCGACAAAGGTTATCTGCCTCGATCCCAAGGCGGCGCTGTCCTTCTCAGCAACGTGTTCGTTTGAGCAAGGCTCGTATACCATCTCTGACGTCGGCATCTTGCATCCAACGGGGGACATCTCCTACCAATGGAGTGATCCATATGTCCTCCATCAAAGTTTGATCATTTCGGAGGTCAGCAAGTTTGGTAGGCAGAGCAGCAGGGAGCGGGACACCCCAAGATGGGTCATAGAGATTCTCCAGGCGCTCACAATATGAATTAAATTTGCGAATCGCAGTCATTAAAGCAGGCTGCCGCTTCGCAATAGCTTTACGTGTTTGCTGATGTAACTTGGTGCCTGTTAGAATAAGTCAGAATGTGGCAATGCAGAAGTAGTTGACATCACCAAGGGCTTGATTTGCTCCGCCGACAGCACAGTCAAGTTTATCCCACTCGAAGAAGCTGCCTATGGCTCGCTTGCGGATATTTATTTTGAGGTCGCGGGCCATGAGTAGTGTTTGGATGAAATCTAAGTCGACACCTTGCAGTTCTGGAAACCTGTCATGGACGTTTAGGGAAGAATACAATACTTCAACCTTGTTCATCAATCGGTCATGGCTGCGCTTGAGGCTCTCCAGAGCATCAAGTGTCTCCTCGGTGACTGAGCCCTTCTCTACTACAGTGCGTGTGGCTTGCAAGGCCTTGTCTGAAGTGTCCAGATCAGACTGTAGAGCAAGGACGACATCAAGCTCTTTCTTCAATCGTGCAGGAGCATCTTGAGATTGCGATGTGTAATGTTAGTTGTGATTTTGAATGACTGACATGGACGTACATGCACGAATAGAGAGTTGTGATTTCTTCTGATCCTCCCACTGAGCCTGGAGGTCGTCAGCTTCGATGCCGCATTTGGTCAGCACTTCCTTGGCTGCTGCACCCTGAGCATTAACACCACGTTTGAGCCTCCGCTTGATCCAATCACCGAGATCTACTCGCATCTCCAGACCAATGGTGCTAGCTTGTCGGTCTATCAACCAAAGGCGTCTTTGTCGCTATGTAGTGGATTACTATCAATGTAGGTTCATTTGAATACTGTTAATTCTTACCGATGAAGAACGTTGAATTCCGATCAACTTGACAAACCTGGACCAAAGTCTCTCTGTACCCTCACCATTGGACAGACCAAGGCCAGTGCACAACCGAGGGTTGTATTTGAGCTGACATGCCCACTCATGGCCATATGCGTGCATAGTGGTGGTCGCGAATTGAAGACGGGAAGTCACAGAATCAGGTAGGATGTCATACTACATAGTCAGACGTCAGACTGAGATAGGATTGATTAAATGATTGCTTACCTGAGATAAAGAGTGTGAGAGGACGCAACCAACATCGTACAGTATGATGACAGTAGCTTCCTGCGGTAACAGAGATAATAAATGTTCGATTAGTGCGACTGCATACTTCTGCTGCTCGCCAGGTGAGTCGATATTAGCGAAGAAGAGTGGGATGTCATGATGGCAAATAAGGGCCATGACACCGGTATCATCAAATGAATCCATGGCTGCCTTTTGCTTCTTTCCATCTGCGGCTTCATATGAATGCTCGCATTGGTTGATGGCTTCGTCCGGGACTACATGTTTACGATTCTTGGGAGCACGCTTATGCTTCGAGACGATCCGTCATCCAACTTCGTCAACCTGGGTCTTTGGAAGGAAATACGAAGGCTCATAAAAGCGCGGGCAGTCACCCGCAGATCGTTGATGGCGATGATGGAAGTTGCCATCTGTTGCAACGTGGATATCTCCGCCATCGCTGAGTGGCCTGCCGAAGACGACACCTCCAAAACATGCAGGGCAGCGCTGCATGAGAACAGAAGCACATTGTCCTGGGAGCAGGGAGGGCATGGGAGTCGAGTTGCTACCATCCTCTTGATATCGATGTCTCCGAGCCTCATAGACCCGCTCTCGACAGATTTGTACCGTCGCCTCAGTCTGTCATTTGACCTCGGTCTGCAATATGTCAAACCACTGAACAGCTTGGCCAAGGCCCCATCTGAATGGTTCTTGAATGACTTGTCCCTGTAGTGCAATGAGTTAAGGTTGAAAAAGGCAGATGAAACTCACGTCTGCGTTGATCATCTGAAAACCTCTGCGAGCGTAATGTGTTTTGAGGGCAGAGGCGAGAGCATGCACAGCATCACACGAGCGCTCAAATAAGGCATGATAAAATGCAAGGAGATCGACAGAAACTGCCATACGTGGTTGGGAAGGTGCAGTGGGGAAAAGCCCATGATGAACAAGGACTTGCGCAAGCGTAGAGCATTTGCAGGACAATACATCGATAGAATTGAAACCTGTAACTGTCAGTTGGAGTGATACGTGACGAATGAACTACCTACGGTCGAAAAAGATACAAATAACAGAGAAACACCGTTGTGCACAAGCCTGGCTTGCACAGGCAGATATGACAGGATGGGGTGAAGTGAGAGGTTGCCTGTGGGTTCGTGCAGAATACTTGAGGTGCGCATCCACCAAAGTGGGGATAAGAGTTTGCCAAGCACTATAGAGGTTGTAGGCCATCTTGTCTGTTAAGAGACGGCGGCCTGTACCCTCACGCACCACAGGTGGAGGACAGGGTACTTGTTGGTCATGCTGGTCGTCATTGGTCGCGTCGTAGTCTTGCTCATCGTAAGTGTAACTTATAGCATCGTTAACACTCATTGGGGTTTCGGAATGAGCTGCAGAACTAGAACCGGGGGCATCAGTTTGGAATCCTTGAGGATTCATTAGGGCAGCCATTTGGGCGAGGAGGCGCTCGCGTTTAGAGCTAACGCCTGGAACATGAACAATAGTTTGAGTTTTTCTTGGGTTTCGAGCCTTCTTAGGGCTAACACAGTGGTGACCTAGCCCTGTAGACGTTGGCTGACTGCCACGCACCGAGCGGACAGGCACCATAATGAATGACTGTAGTAGCGTAGAAGAAAAAAGACAAGAGGAAAGAAAAAAGACAAGTGAAAAAGGACTTAGCAAGTCAAATAAAATTGGTCGGTGCACCATGGACTCTACCCAGATGTTCAGACAGGGTGTCGAGGAGGATTTATTTCAGTGTTCAGAGGACGTGCAGAAGAGGATCGCCACGATGATCCAAGAAGGGTAGGGAATAGCACGGGTGAACCCCGGGGTACGAGCGGCGCAACCCCCACCCATACCCCGCGATATACCCACACCCACGATGTGGGTGTGGGTTTTTTGGTGGGTATGAGGCCAAACCCACCCAGGGTATCACCCACTGAGGGTATACCCATGGGTGGGTACTGTCAATTGTCAAAAAACTACGAGATACACACAAATGTAGTAGCTACTTGATGATAATGCGATCCCACCCATCCTCCAGCTCCAGCTCCTCACCCTCCACATCAGCGAGCATGCTTACAGACATTACGTCCTAGGTCTTGACGAGGTTTAAGTGGCTCCAATAGCCAAGACATAAGAGCGCGCGAGTCGATTGCACATTCAAGCAGGAACGGATATGGGAGAGAATGAGCCGTCCACGGCTGAAAAGCCGCTCAACGTCGACCAAGGTAGCTTTAGTCAAAATTTAGATATCAATTTAACTGAAAAAAAGGTTGGCACGTACCAGGAATAGTCAGATAATCTAATGCCATGCGGGAGAGTCGAGGAAAGGTTGCGTGGTGCTCATGCCACCACATGAGGGGATCATCAACATGTTCCACATCGGCATTCAGATAGCGGTCGAGTTCGTTGTAGGACACGAGCTGGCGCTGGGCTCGTATCGAGCTATTTTACAGTACACGTCAAATACCCGTCACATGCTAATCACTTCCCAATGTTATCCGACGCTAACCCGCCAACCCGACGTTTAGGCCGCATCGGACCCGATGTTTTCCCGCGCACTTGTCCTATCCGTGTCCCGTCCCGTCTTGCTAGCCCCACTAGGTGTGTAGTTCATTATTTCGCACATTACTCACGTCGTAGCCAGCGCTATTACATGTTTTCCCATAGTCCACAGTGCCTCATGTTTATTTATATGTACTTCGGATCCGAAATACTCCGCCGCTACTTTCGCCTACGGGTTCCGCATTTCTACGTACTTACATATATATTGGACTGACCTCGAGCATTATTGATTATCCAAGTAGAGGGGAGCAGTTCCCCGACACTTAGTGGTCAAACCCGATATTTCGTAGTTCTTAGTTGATATTGCGAATATCATCGCTCTTTCATTATCCGTATCAATCATTGTTGTCATTACGCATACCGCTCGCTTTTCCGACGCTCGCATAACGCGTCACTATTAGTTTCCGCATACCCGACCTGAATCCGACTACCCGACCCGACAAACCCAACGCTTTTGCATCGGACATCGTAAATATACCTTCGGACATTGTTTCCCGCGCTCGGACTATTGACCCCACATCACTCACTTACCCCCAAGACTATTCCCAGACCGCAGACCCCTGGGTCGAACGCACTTGTCAGGCAAGTATAGCAGACTAGGCAGTGCAAAGACCACAACACAAATATATCAGTTTGGAGCCATCTTCGTATAGCCCCACTCAGTATTGTTGTTTCTACATCGTCACCAAGGTCGGTCGGTTTTGGAGGTGCGAGTGCAGGTATGTTGTCGAATATATTGTCCTATTGTTATAGTTAGTATACAAGTTAACTTACACAAAATAACTCACCATGGCGCTTTGTTGAGAAGATTCAATCAAGTCCGTATCGTCACCGTCAGAGTCGGCATCTGGTGTGACTAAGTACGAGCGCCTGAACTCATCTCTCACAAGTGTCTCGGCAGTTTGAATCCAGTTGTCCTCCCACCCCACATTCTTGAAATACGCGAGTTTATGACGGGGGTGAAGCACTGAATGATAGTGAGCAAGACTACTTGAACTGCAACAGAGCACTTACCCATAGCAATGCGGTACACTTCAGAATGGTCCATGAGTTGATAGTAGCGATCCAAGGTTTTTTTAGCAAGTCCAACGGCAGCACGAATTGAGGGCTGATAGTCGGCGTTATTAGAATACAGTGTGAGTTTTTCGTCAATTAAATCCATTGCTGGAATGACGGTAGGGAGATTGGGTGTTGACCGCGAGAAAAACATAGTTGCGTCTTTGAGAATCTAGTTAGAATTCCATTTTGGTGCATTAGTAAACAATGAACAACAACTACACACCAACACCACGCACCTTCAGAACATTTCGCAGCTGGTCTACAATTAACCATTCATGATCCGACAACTCGAGATCTCTCAAACCCAAGTCCCTTTGCTGTGTCATCGCATCAACTGCTCTTCGGTGTTTCAAGACATATGCAAGCATGTCAAATGTGGAATTCCAGCGTGTAGCCACATCGCATGGGATGTTGGTGACTGGCCTTCCCTGTTCTTGAAGGATGTTGTGCCATGCGGGCAGGAGTTTGGTCGTGGAGTGAATGACCTTGAATGCGAGCTTCCGAAGCTGTGTGATATGTTTATTAAGGTATGTTTTCGATTTATTCTAATGTACAGACCTTAACAAGTACCAGCTTAACTGGACAAATATTCTGTTGCAGGCTCTTGCGCGCGTCATGCGTCAAGAATTCAGTTTCGTCAACAAACCCATCAACGTCATCACCAGGCAGTACGTCAGAATCCATTCGCTCGTTCTCACTGTGGCCGTCAACATTTGGCTCATCATCATCGCTCTTCTCGTGATCGTCATCACGGCTCTTCGGTTCATCAAACTGTCGAAGGAGAGATTTTGCTACCAAATTGACCGTATGCAGGAAGCACCTCGTGTGGGCTGCTGTACCACCAAAGTCAGGGAGTATGACTGCCATCTCTTCGAGCATGGCAGTATTATTGGCCGCATTATCGCATGTGACGACGAGGATCTATCATTTGGTGAGTCCTGTGAGTATACGCAGGGATTGTGTACTGACCTTTCTTGTTACTCCATAATCTTTCAGCACTTGTTCGAAGGCCGCTGCAAGCTCCTCCCCCGTTTGGGACTGATAGTGTCTTAGCACAATGTCCTTCTCTAACTCGGTGAGTCGAGTACTTACTTTCGGCACCTCAATAATGTCTAACGGTAAACTTAGAGGCACACCTTTGTGTTCAAGATGTGCCGAGAATGCTACAAGGGCACGGTGGTTTGGAGACGACCATCCGTCCGTCGTAAAATTGAGTTTGCCCTCGTATTCCTGGTAAGATTCATTAGTCTTCCTCTTGCATCCAACTGATCTACATACATTTATCATTTTAGCAATTCGTTGTCTTGTCTTCGCAAAGACCAATCTAACATCGCGCGAGACAGTCGATGGAGACGGTATGTAGTATTCCGGTCTCCCTGTCTTCATAAGTGACTGAAATCCCCTGTCTTTGACAATGTCAAATGGCCGTAGGCTTTCCGCAACCCAACGAACAAGTTCGGCTCTGAATGCAACTATATCAGCCGCAAGAATTCTCCGTCTCATTGTGATCCTACCTTGTCTTGGTCCGGGTATGCTGACGATGCGAGTAAGTGACCTTCCCCTTGCCTTTACGTTCGAATGCGGTTGTAATTGATCCATCTTTCAGATATCCTGCGACGATCTTGGTCCGAACTTCGTCTGCATTCCTGGCTTCATCAGCAGCTTGCAATACATCATCGCCCCAGCAGGACTTGACGTGTTTCCGCATATTTCCCGTGGATCGTGCATCTTTTTTGTTGAGGAAGCGTCGAATCGTAACCTTGCATCCCTTGCCCATACATTTGAAGGAATGTGCACGACGGCCATCAATGGACTCTATAGCAGGTGTAGGGTCAAAAAAAGCATAGATCGGTGAGATCCATTCCTTCATTAACTGTTCTTTAGCTAATATGAGCTTGTATTACTTGGACTAGTGAAATCGGCCTTACTGAGTTCATCCTCCGCACACTCTTCCTCATCCGCACTCACTTCATCCTTGTCCTTGTCAGTATTCATACCCGCTCCCTCGTCATCGCTGATGACAATAGCATCATGATGTAACACACTTTCTTCTTCCTCGTTACGAACTACTGCCTGGTTTGACTTGGCCTTCTTGGGATGTGTACTAGTAGCAGCACTTTCATTATTCTTTCGTTTGTTTGAGCCTTCCTGCTTCTCGTCTAGCGCAGCTTTAGCTTTGTCCGTGAGTTTTTTAATATGCTTGGCAGCGCCTGAGAAAAATGTGGGATCCATGCTGTGATGATCGTAAGGGCGCTGTGTTTAGGTTTAGAGTTTAAGGTTCATGTCCAATATTAGCTTAGTTTTAGAGTTTAAGGTTCATGTCTAATGTGTGTTACTAAGTTTCAAAATAAGTCATGTTTGCTTACATACCCACCACCAGGGTGTGGGTAGGGGTATGGGTACCCAAAGTACAGACCCCCACCCACACCCCAGAGGTACCCACACCCACGACCCACGTGGGTTGAGGATACCCATGCTATTCCCTAAAGAAGGGCCACAATGATCCAAGAAGGGCCACAATGATCCAGGCAGTGCCACGAGGATGTGCCGAGGTCCTGCCGAGCATTTTAGGGATGGTTTCATAGGTGCTATTTTTAGAACATCCGGGAGGTTGGGTCTAAGAGATGGGGTTGTACCTAACATAATAATACGGTCTCATAGACTTTTATTGATACCGAAAACTGATGCCTGAGGTGGTTCAACCCGCCGTGCAAACTAGGAGATCATATGATCTGAGTCTAAACTTGGCATGTGATCGGAGCATCAAAGTACATGTTGGGCATCACCCCACCCCCATTACAGCTGTTTTCATATCGATAGACCAGAATTTCAAAAATTCATTCAGCCGCTTTTGTTTGTTGTGGGAGCCACACCAAACAAAGGCGCTCACTACTAAGCTACTTTTGTAAGTCTCTAACCCGGCTCGGACATGTGGGGCCTGTGTGGTGTATTATAATCATCAAGTAGTAGTATCTGTAATTGTACATTATCTTTGTGCTTTCACTTACTGCAACGTCCTGTGCTGTAAGTAGACGAGGACGACCACTTTCCAGAGGGTTTCGAACCACAGAACCTGTGAGTTGCGAGAGCCGAAGAACGCGATCAATTGACTGTTCGATGGCTGCATCCCATCACTTGTGCTATGGCCTTTGATGTCATGCGGTGTGTGGACATGATAAACCACTGCTGTTTTGCAGCATCTGGTACATATCGATGGTCTCCGTTCATGATGATTAGTGATGTGCACGGCCCGGCTTCAGGCCGTGGGCCAGGCCAAGCCGGGCCTGAATAGGCCAAGCCAAGCCGGGCCAAAGTCACGGCCTGGTGGCGGCTTTGGCCTGGCCTGACATTATGAAAAGCCGAAGCCGCCGGCTTGGGCCACGGCTTTTGGAACTGTGCCTGAGGCTTGCAGCGCCCCAAGAATCTGGCTTCTATCTCGTCTTGTTTTAGCTTTTCAATCACTTCCATTGTGCTTCATGTCTCTTAACTATACCAACTAGCTGATCATACGCATCAGATGACTGGTGAGCCATAGATATTGTCATATATGCTGATATTATGATCATATATAGAAAAGGTTTTCGTATTGCTGATACAGATTACGAGTACCTCGATCCCATCATCGGCGTGAGTATCTTTTTGAGTTATGCTCATGTTCATTATGACCCCTCACAGACACCTAGTACTTTTCGGACGTTGTGATCTAGCCTGGACATTATAATGTTCTCCACGGACAGCGGCAGCGCGGACACTAGACCTTACGGACCTGAAACTCACATTACCCCACGAATCTAAACATTCCTCATTTTCATTCCCTGTCACGCCGAATCGTAATTATTACTCTAGTTGATTGGACCGTTGTTCCATATCCCAAAAGTGCGGATTCTTTGTCTTCGAGTGCACGGTGTTCGCGTTGGAGCTCAGACTCATGCATCTTCTTGACATCGTCGAACTCGCGCTCAAGACTCTCCCAAGCTTCCTGTTCATGTTTCACTTGAGTTACTAAGTCTTTGATGTGCCCTGCTAGTTCTTCCTGATGGGCTCGGTTTTTGCACATCTGTGTTCATTTTGCGCGAGCTCAAGACGACACTGATATACTTCAAAAAGGCAACTGTCCTCCTCGCTACAAGTGGTGTTTTCGTCAGTACGGGCAATGTATATTCGCGCATGTAGACTCGACTCTGGATGGGGGGCTGGAAGCAGAAACATGACTCGCTGTCGTGACGTGCCGCTCAGGCTGCCGCATGCAGGACAAAACTACATTCTAAGATGTGCAGGTATGTCATATGGTCGAATCCCGGTTGAACAGCAACCTGCTCATACTCACTTTGTCAGGACCATGAATTCCCTACTCGAGCCGCGGCTCAGGCCAGAGCCGGGCCAAAGCCAGCCGTCATTGGCGGCTTTGGCCCGGCCTGGATTTTTTGCAGGCCAAAGCCGTCTGAAGCCAGGCCAAAGCCGCGGCTTTTGGGCCAAGCCGGGCCGGAACATCACTAATGATGATGGCCGGTACTAGTACTTCCCAAGCAACTTAGTTGGACAAAAGTAGCTTAGTAGCGAGCACCTCTGTTTGGTGTGGCTCCAACAACAAACAAAAGCGGCTGAATGAATTTTCGAAATTCTGGTCTATCGATATGAAAACAGCTGTAAAAACATGTACTCACCGCTTGTAACTATCTACTACAAGTCTTAACCACACGACTCTCAAAAAGCCTTCTTAACCAAGCTTCAAATTTGGTTCCTCGCGACATTTCAAACCCGCGGTAGTGCTTCAAAACATTAGTCGCGCTGAAATCCCTGCTCCCCTGGATCAGACGAAAAGTTTGGGCGATGGATGAGAACAAGGTGCATCCGGGGATTCTCAGCATTTTGTGCAGTGATTTAGATCTGATTTTGAAGCGCAGAAATTGAGGGTGACTCCAGCAGGCCCTCGTCTCTGAGTCTCACCTTCTAACACTATACCATGGCCGACCAACTAACCTCAAATTCAACATCACGTCTCCTCGTTCCTGGGTGTTCTTACTTCATCACCTTCCGAACATCTATCAGTGAAGTACTGCATGTGAGTACTACATTTCGAGCACGTTTATGCAGGCTGTATGCTCAGTTCTTAAACAGTATATCAAATTTGTTCGATGCTACTCCTCGTAATCCAGCCCTTCGCCTACCTATTTACACCACGTTACGCCGCCAACAATGGAGAGCTCGAGACTTTGTGTCTATCCAGAAAAAATGTCGAGCACGGGCCTGCAGAACTCGACCAAGCACGGCTCGAACGGAAGATACATCTTCTGTCATTTGCGTCACTGAGTTTTGCACGCGTCGGGCATGATCTGCCTTACTCAGAGGTCGCGTCGATACTGCATATTGAACTGACTGAAGTGGGCGATCGATGGTATGTCCTATTGACATCCTGTCGATTATACTTATCTCAAATGATCTTCGAATAGTGATTCATACCAGTTTTCTTTGGGGGAAGCTCTCGCAGACTACTCAATCTCTACACGTTTGCCATTCGTCAGCGCGCACGTTTGAGCGAGAGCAATGGGAGGCGTCTTGTTACGTGGAAGGCGGGCCTAGCGAGCGTGCTGGAGGTTGTTACTAGTGTACAAAAACGCGGTAACGGTTCACTGGCTGTGGGTGAATCCATGCAGCAGGTCACGCAGACAGGTGAGAACGTTCAGGTTGATGCCGCATAGCCTACATCAGGGTTCCTCAGGTCAATGAATCAAGGTCACGGTTGACTTCAATTTGTGGGAAAGCTGATTGTTGTTCGTCTGAAGTTCTGAACATGACTTCGGCTTTGATGTCGAACTCTCCGCTTACTAAGACAAGAAAACACTATGAACACCCAGGCCTTGATTACAGCGATATTGCGCAGCCAACATCAAGATACGTTCCCGTCGGTCATGTAATCATGCAATCACTTGGCACTACTGATGGTTGGCTTGGGAGTGCTGTTACGTACTATGCAGCGTACAGATTCGATGTGTGTATGCACCCGCTCAAACAAACATCATATAATTCCACTCGCTGACGAGACGTACATAACAGACCAATGGACATCGAACTACCTCAAAATTTGAACCGGACCAAGGTAAGTACTTGATCCAGTGGTTTTTTTTGTTTCCAATTTCTGTCCATTGGGGTAATGTACCCTATGTCGGACAGTCCTATCTAGTCTGCAGGTTACATAGCCATTGACATGCGGTGTCAGCACAGCACCTGCAACCACGGCATGCAAAACTGACCCAAATAGCAGGTCTCTTGAATCTTGATCACTTTCGCCCCGTATCTCTCCTTCCTTTCGATTACTGACTTTGCGCAGTATTTCACTGTCCTGTCTGTCTGTACAACGTGATATCCTTGTCATGCAACACGAAGAAGCCGAGTCAAGCATGTCGGCGAGGTGAGGAGAAGCGCCATTGCACTCATCGATATATCGGACGAGCGCGAAATATTTGCCACCATATGGCGCACAGCACCGCCAGGATGCACTTTGGGAAGGTGAGCAGCTACCTTGTGATACCCACCAGCCTATTCAATTAGAAGCAGGCGGGAATGAAGCGCTTCCTCCTATGTGGCGTCAGTATGAGGCGTCCTCGGATGGTGCAACACTATATCAAGATGACGCGCTGATGATAGTCTCGTTTAAGCGACCTTTACCAGGAGTGCGACTAGGTGAGGGATGAAATTGCGACAAGAAGTGACGAACTCACCGTTGAACATAGATTATCCTAAATATCTCGCTGTTCCTGGATGGGAATGGCACATCTCACCACTGGGTCGGTCCTACTTTGTCAACCACAACACTCGGACAACGTCGTGGAAGAAACCAAGTCCAGAACGTTCGGCAGGAAGCTTGATGCCGGAGTGCGTCATCGAGGGTCACTCTCGATGCATATTGAGCCTTGCCTACTTGTCTAACAGTGGCAATATAATGAGCGCGTCTGACAATAGTTCGATTCGTCAGTGGAAAAGAGATGGAGAGGCAGTGGGAAAACCTTTGAATAGTGATGGGGGAGTGATAGGTTCGATGATAGTATCCCCGGATGAAACGGTGGTCGTTTGTGGAAGTGGAGATGGCAGGCTGCGGCTTTGGAATATAAAGGAGGGCAGCATGATCGGTGACCCGTGGGAGGGGCATGATGCTGCAGTGAGGTGCCTCGATTGGTCTCGCAATTCCCTGGAGATGGCAAGTGGATCTGAAGATGGCACGATACGACGCTGGAACCCGAATACTGGTCAACAAATAGCACCACCCATAGAGACCAGTCACGGTTGGGTCAGAGCTGTCAAATACTCCCCAAAAGGCGACAAACTCATGAGCGGTGGGAATGGTCCAATCTGCATATGGTCAAGGGACGGCAAGCTGCTTATAGAGATCAAGGGAAATGATGATGCGGTGTCGTCATTGTGTTGGTCCAAGGATGGCGAACACATCTTTTCTGCCTTAGTTGACAGCACCATCCGAAAATGGCGGGCGAATGATGGACAGGAACTCGTCGTTTTTCGGGGTCACACCCACGCTGTCAGATCACTCTGTCTTACTCCCAATGACAGGTATATTATTAGCGCATCAGCTGACTTCTCCATTCGTATCTGGGATCTCGAGACCAATCAGACAGTCGGAGATCCACTCTTGCATGATGACCAAGTCTTCGCTGTTGTCATGTCCCCCGATGGAAAATACATTACCAGCGCTGGACTAGACAAAAAAATCTACTTGTGGAATCTGGAGGCGGCACTCAAAAGCGTTCTGGTACGTATATATATATATATATATGCGCTTGGTTGACTAGTTTCCTCCCTAACGGTTTTCACTATCTAGGACGCAGATGATGAGAATGCAAAGCTCCAGGCAAGTCATCTCTGCCTCTCTTTCACACTACATCTCATTTTTTACTAGGGACGTCCAGCCCAACCAAGAGTTGTGCGCCCACCAATCGTGAGCAACCCCACCTTTTCTCATATATCTCGCTAGACCTTTGACCCCCATCTTGCGTCTCATCAGCAGCCAAAAAAAGCAGGACTGGTAAGATATGTTAGTGTAATTTCTTGTTCTTGACTTTTCTCGCCTGAGACCAAGATACAGGGCAATAATTTCTTTGGCGACGAATCAGACCACGCTTCTCGTCGTGCAGCTCCTCCTGCAAGCCCATCGTCCCTTGTTCGTTGGAGTCATTTGCTCAGTTCCATACATTTCGGCACACGACCTGTAAATGCATCCCAACCAATCGAACGACGGTCCCGACACTGGAATTTCAACTTCCAGTTGTTTTCTGGAGGACATTCCATGCGCACCATGTACCTCTTGCTCAAGATGAAAATGTGAGTCACTCGTCGTCCCTCTAATTTTGTTCCATTAAAACACACTGCAGAGAATTGGCATTGTCTCCGAAACTGATGCGGAAGCGGCTGCAGCTATGCAACGTATGAACAGCAACCAGACCAACAGTGCAACACAATCAGGTCAACCAGCAGGGGCACAACCAATCCAAACACAAGCACAAGACTCAACTGGCGGAGCGGATGACTTTGTGTATACAGGAGTGACCTGCTGTGGATGGTTCTTTGGTCTCCGTCGTCCTACTTCGAATCCTGCTTCGCATCAGTCATGAAGAATGGAAGATGTGTGGCACGCGCACACTCAGTTCAACTCTCTTTCCCCTGCACCTGTGTCTAACTCCTCTCATATCAATATTCGCCACCATAACCGTCACCCACGCATTCGGATCCATCTCTCATCGCGCACCTCCTTTCCCTTGCGCTACTTTCCCTGGAACCACACCACCGGGGAAGTGGGCCCCGTTTTCTGGAATGCAGCCCTTGGTGATGCAACAACCTTCTGTGCGGGGGGTGTAATGCTTGTTTCCCGTAGAATTGATGTTTTGATGGTCTCAATATTCAAATCTAGACTTCCGCGTTCCTATTTTCTCGCCAGTACTTACTATTCATGGCAGCCCAAGTACCTACTCTATCGCCATTTGTAGATCACTTAAATGGTATATCTTCAAACGATTGCATGCAAGAGAGCCGAATTTGAGCGTTTTTATAGACCCTAATGATTATGATATAACGGGACAAGCTATATCAAAATACATGATGCGTCGCCAACGGTCAAGCAGCTAAAGGATGGGAAAACACATTAAGTTGATAATCGCGAACACAAATGTAAGCTCTTGAAAAACACCAGTATAAGATGACATCTACCTCAGCGTTACAAAGCAAACAGCTCTGTATGAGCAATCCTGCCCACATAGTCAAACCCAATCTCGCGACTGCATTCTGCACATCTCTCAACAAGCTCTCTGAGCCACTAGCGCAGACCGCGACTCCCCCACCCAAGCCCATCATTTCCTGGCTTTCAGCACATCGGATTTCAATCGAATCTTCCTTTTCAGACGATGACAGAAGACTGATGAAGTCCTTGAGAAGATTCTGAATAGACGGACGCGAGAGAGTGGTGATGGAGTTAGGGATGAGGTACTGCTTCTGGATCGCAAAGGCATGTCACCAAAATAGAAATGTGCAGGTTGATGGTGCTCTTAGACGCTGCTGTAGCAATATCGGGGCAAACCATTCTATCTGACCTGTGAAAATATATCAGAGTGACCTAAGGCCGTGGTCAAGAATGACATACCAAAAGATCCAATGCACCAGGTGAACTCGATTCTCCCCGCTCGTTCCTCCTGACTGCGGCCTGGTTTGATACCCACCAATTCGAACACGCGAAGGAGAAGAAATGGTATGAAATACCAGAAACTGGTCAAACTCCGCTAGCACCCTGTGATTCCCGGGATCGGGCTAGTCATATCTGTGAAAGGGAACAAAATGTTTCAGTGGTCGTGGAACACCAGAGGGAAGGTAAAAACAAGTACATGCTGCAGGGATGCCGATACCGAAGACAATGATGAAGGATGCTACGAGAAAAGACTAGCTGATGCATCTGTCACTAGCTCGGGTATGGTAAGTAGATCAGGAGCTCACCAATGAGGTCGACAGCATGGCTGAAAGCAAGATTCTATTATTGTTCCAGAGCACATATGTTCTGATGATGCAAAAACCTCGATTAATCACATCAGAGATATACATTCGGATAACGTGGCATATGTGACGCGGCAGGCGCAGCAGGGCCGTGTCAATTTCACCTGGCCCGAAATTACTGAAAAATAAATGTTAATTGATCATCGGAGGGATGTGTGCTGGAGTGGAACACTGTGGTACTATGTAGATCCATGATGAGAATGATAAAGGGCAGGTATTGCGCAACAGTATACAGACAGACCTTTCATCTTGCTCCAGTGCGATCGAAGCAAAAATGTCCACTTTGCACAGCATATTGTGAGTGTCAAAACCGAAGTATGTCATGGAAAGAGTGTATTTGCATTACCTCCTAATGAAATGAACACGCGTCAGACTGAATAGGGGAGTGTTCAACCCGCCGTGCAAACACTAGGAGATCATGTGATCTGAGTCTAAACTTGGCATGTGATCGGAGCGTCAAAGTAGCCCTCCCGCTATTCCATAATCGCATTAACCCCCACCCCCATTAAAAACATGTACTCACCGCTCGTAACTATCTACTACAAGTCTTAACCACACGACTCTCAAAAAGCCTTCTTGACCAAGCTTCAAATTTGGTTCCTCGCGACATTTCAAACCCGCGGTAGTGCTTCAAAACATTAGTCGCTCTGAAATCCCTGCTCCACTGGATCAGACGAAAAGCTTGGGCGATGGATGAGAACAAGGTGCGTCTGGGGATCCTCAGCATTTGATGCAGTAAATTAGATCTGATTTTGAAGCGCAGAAATCGAGGGTGACTCCAATAGGCTCTCGTCTCTGAGTCTCACCTTCTAACACTATGGCATGGCCGACCAACTAACCTCAAATTCAACATCGCGTCTCCTCGTTCCTGGGTGTTCTTACTTCATCATCTTCCGGGCATCCATCAGTGAATTACTGCGTGTGAGTACTACATTTCGAGCACGTTTATGCAGGCTGTATGCTCAGTTCTTAAACAGTATATTTTGTTCGATGCTACTCGTAATCCAGCCCTCCGCCTACCTATTTACACCACGTTACGCCGCCAACAATGGAAAGCTCGAGACTCTGCGTCTATCCAGAAAATATGTCGAGCACGGGCCTGCAGAACTCGACCAAGCACGGCTCGAACGGAAGATACATCTTCTGTCATTTGCGTCACTGAATTTGCACGCGTCGGGCATGACCTGCCCTACTCAGAGGTCGCGTCAATACTTCATATTGAACTGACTGAAGTGGGCGATCGATGGTATGTCCTATTGACATCCTGTCGTTTATGACGATCTCAAATAATCTTTGAATAGTGATTCGTACCGGTCTTTTTTTTAGGCAAGCTCTCGCAGATTTCTCAATCTATACACGTTTACCGTTCGTCAGCGCGCACGTTTGAGCGAGAGCAATGGGAGGTACTGGAAAAGCGTCTTGGTGCGTGGAAAGCGGGCCTAGCGAGCGTGCTGGAGGTTGTTACTACTGTACAAGAGCGCGGTAACGGTTCAGTTGTGGGTGAATGGAATGGAATTTTTATATTTGGCCATCTACGCTCACATAAGCTCAGGTAACTAGGGTGAGGTGGTGCAGCTGGTCACGCAGACAGGTGAGAGCGTTCAGGTTTATGTCGCGTAGCCTACATCGGGGTTCCTCCGTTCAATGAATCAAGGTCATGGTTGTTGACTGCAATTTGTGGGAACGCTGTTGTCGTTCATTTGAACATGACTTCGGCTCTGAAGTTGAACGTTCAAAACTCTCTGCTTACTAAGACGAGAAAGGCTTTGGTTTGGACACTATCAACGCGGCCCGGGGATGTTGATGATAGCAAGATTGTGCAGCCAACATCAAGCGACTCCTATATATATACATCCCTATTCCTGTCAGTCATGCAATCACTTGTCACTGGTAGTGCTTTGCTTGGGAGTGCTGCCACGCGCTATGCACAGCGTACGGATTCGATATGTGTATGTACCTGCTCTAACAAATATCATATTATTACACTCGCTGACGAGACGTACATAACAGACCAATGTACATCGCCTCGAAATCTGAGCCGGACCAAGGTAAGTACTTGATCAGGTGGTAACACAGCCTTTGACATGCGTGTCAGCAAGCTGCAACTACAGCATGCAAAACTGACCTAAATAGCAGGTTTCTTTATCACCTTTATCTCGTATCTCTCCTTGCTCTCGATTACTGATTCTGCGCAGTATTTCACTGTCCAGTCTCTGTACAACGCAACATTTTTGTCATGCAACACGAAGAAGCCGAGTCAAGCAAGTCGACGAGACGAGGAGAAGGGCCATTGCACTCATCGATATATCAGACGAGCGCAAAAGATCCACCACCATATGGTGCACAGCAGCGCCAGGATGCACTTTGGGAAGGTGAGCAGCTACCTTGTGATACCTACCAGCTTACTCAATTAGAGTCAGGCGGGAATGAAGTACTTCCTCCTACGTGGCAACAGTATAAGACATCGTCAGATAGTGAAATAATATACCAAGATGACGCGCTCACGATGGTCTCGAAGAACCGACCATTACCAGGAGTGCGACTAGGTGAGGGATGAAATTGTGACAAGGAGCGACGAACTCACCGTTGAACATAGATGATCCTGGAGATCTTGCTGTTCATGGATGGGAGTGGCACATCTCACCACTCGGTCAGTCCTACTTCGTCCACCACGACACTCGGACCACGTCGTGGAAGAAACCCAAGCCAGAACATCCGGCAGGAAGTTCAAGTTTGAAGCCGGAGTACGTCATTGAGGGTCACTCTCGATGCATATGGAGGCTTGCCTACTTGTATAACAGTGGCAATATAATGAGTGCGTCTGACGATAGCTCAATTCGTCAGTGGAAAAGAGACGGAGAGCCAGTGGGAAAACCTTTGAATAGCAATGGTGGAGGGATAGGTTCGATGACAGTATCCCCGGATGAAACAATGATCATTTGTGGAAGTGCAGACTGCAGACTGCGGCTTTGGAATATAGAGGTGGGTAGCATGATCGGTGACCCATGGGAGGGGCTTAATGCTCAAGTGAGGAGCCTCGATTGGTCTCGCGATTCCCTGGAGATAGCAAGTGGATCTGAAGATGGCACCATACGACGCTGGAATCCGGATACTGGTCGACAAATAGCACCACCCATAAAGACCAGTCACGGATGGGTTAATGCCCTCAAATACTCTCCAAAAGGCGACAAATTCATGACCGGCGGCACGGACAATATGATCTGCATATGGTCAAGCGACGGAAAGCTGCTTATCGAGATCAAGGGACATGACGATTCGGTGACATCATTGTGTTGGTCCAAGGATGGCGAACACATCTTTTCCGCCTCGTATGATCGCACCATCCGAAAATGGCGGGTGATTGATGGACAGGAACTCATTATTCTTCGGGGTCACACCCACATCGTCAGATGCCTCTGTCTTACTCCCAATGAAAGGTATATTGTTAGCGGATCAGCTGACTACACGATTCGTATCTGGGATCTCAAGCTTCAGTGATGACATTGATCAGTGTTTCACTTACCTGATGTGCATTATTTCGACGTTGTGCAGCGTTAGTCGCGCTGACGCCGAACAGAGATGTTGGCAGAATGGGCCAATCGTCATCTGAGGATGGGTCTAGACCAGTGCGAAAGTTCACAAGTTAATCCATATCAGAAGTCAACAACACAAACAGCGATCCTATACGTTCTAATAAGATACGATAGCAGGCTACAGCCTGAAGGTGGGACATGTGCCTAAATCATCCTGACGTGCTCCACTGAAATCGCATGTAGCACGAGACACTAGGACGAGATAGAAGTGCTCTCCCCAGGGAATGAGGCATCGCCAAAGGTGGAACAAGTCTTTGAAGAGCCAATTTGACTGGGAGGACAAAAAATGGTCCAAACGCATCAGAGGAAATGAGCATTGCATAAGACGACTTTTAAGTAACAAAAGGGTATGCTCATTACTAGTAGGAATGTGCCGTTCATATACCGATAACCTGTGAGACAGATAGTAAGCTTCGAATTTATGGAGAGACAGAGGCAAGGATGATCAGTGGTGCAAATATTTGGCTTATGCTCTACCGTTCGTCAACGCTTATAGCTACGACTGGGGCGGCAAGCGAAATCATCATGGAAAAAAAATAGGAACGTCACCCACCTGTTACATAGATTTCGGTCTGCGTCTTAATAGACGAAGGCCACCCAATCGAATCGGCTCTACAACTGTCCGAGAGAACATTGGAGAAAGATATAACGAAAGACCAATGCGGACGGGTAAAAGTGCCTGTACCAATATCAGTCACTATCTCAACCGTGGTAAAGGAAAAAAATACCTTGACTGCACCATAAGCCAGAACCGCATTAGCAACATCCCCCGCTAGCTTACCGGACAACTCGCTCGTCTGGGTCTGGTCAACAACTTTGCCTTTTTCAAAGCCGAAGATGCCATATCGACGTCCAACGCGACCAGCCCATTGCTCGCCCTCATCAACCCACGATCTCAGCCGAGTGGTCACCCAATACTGGTCGTCGATAGAGCCATCCCGTTCGAGAGCAACAGCATTGACAACGCGTTCACCTGCGTTTAGACTGCGTGCCGTGTAAAAAATACCCACGATGGGAACGATGGCAGTTAATTCATGAAGGATGGCAAAGGAGATTATGAGAGAAGGTAGCGGTGTTCCTGTCCTCCCAGAAATCGCGGTGAGGGCATTTCTGTAAGGTGCAAATCGTCCTCCAGAGTTCGACATGCAAAAATTTATAGGCAGGATGCGGCTTAGGTAATAAGACCTGTTAGGAACTGTACCTGCGATTCGACCACCAGATCAAATAACCACTGTGTTGGCGACAAAAATAGCGCACGTATGGCACGTTGCAAGTATTCGTTTGGCAGGGCAAATCTGGGGGATGTACAAGCGTACTACGAATCCAATGGTCGGGAAGGCTGAACGTGTGTTTGATTTGCCTACACATTTGCGGCATTTACAGTCACATTCATAGTGGCTTATTTTTCGAAGAGCTGACGAGGCACTTCTATATGTAGTACCTGAGTTACATCAGTAACGTAGTCAGCCAATAAAAGATCGATTATCGATTATCGAGTGGCTGCGGCCGTGATGGAGCGTTTTACCGTGCACTGGATGTACCGGCCAGGGAGTAACTTGATATTGGATGACACATCGGCAGTTTCGGAATTTTCACACAAGCAAGATTTGGGATTGATATACTACTCCTCCCACCTCCGCGACAGACTCATCCTACAAGTCAAGTACGTAGCAAACTCTACCAAACTCACTCAGCAGTCATCTTGTACGATCCAAGCACCGCTCCACGAACGACATCGAATAAGCCACAGGTCACGCCGTTGAATTTACAGATGGCACGTCGGACATTGGAATATGCATGAGGGTGCCAGAGCCGTGTGCACGTTGGTCCGTTTGCCAGAGATGGAGGTGCATGCGTGTGGCAAGGATTGCAAGGGTCATAAACTCGAAACTATACGTGGGTGTACGTTTCGGGTATTATTAGTAGGAATACGCAGCGGGATGTGGAGGTGCGTACTCATATAAAATGTTCTGATAGGAGTACTGGGATGCAGAACATGAACGGCTCGATCATAAAAGGGATTTAAGATATTCACATACCTGGAGGAGCAGCGATGCGAAGACGTTCGTTAGCGAGAGCACTTCGGGAAAGACAGTGATCGTGGATGAGTACAGGAAAACAGCACGAACATGTGTAAGCTCACGAAAACTGCATGCATAATAGGATATGTTATGGTTCACCAAGGCAACGTACAGACGGCTTGAGTTTATCCGCCAGTTCTGTATGGCGCGTATGAGCGTGAGCACCATGAGTCCTGGGGAGAACACCTGTCAGCGTGTGTTTGTACAGATATATGCCCCTGGCCCACCTAGTTCGAACACAGAAAGGAGAAGAAATGGTATGAAGTACTGGAAACTGGTCGAACTCTGGTAGCACCCTGTGATGCCCGGAACCCCACTAGTCGCATCTGTGGCAGTGAACAGAATGTTTCAGTGATCATGGAACGCCAGAGGGAAGGTGAGAGCGAGTACATGCTGCGGGGACTCCAGTGGTGAAGGCAATGCTGAAGGCTGTTGCGAGAACAATCTGGCTGATGCATCTACCACTAGCTTGGGTATGGTGATTGGATTGGGAACTCACGAAAAAGGTGGACAGCATGGCTGTGAGTAAGATTATATTCTTGTGCCAGAGCACATATGTTCTGAGGATAAAAAAAACTGGATGGATCAGATCAGAAAGACACATGAGATGGGGGGAACGAGAGATACTTTCAGAGACAATGACTAATACTATTCCAAGACCTAGTAGCAGCCTTCAGAAAGTATGTGCATACATGAAATCACCACGCACGCACCTGATTCAGTATTTTCCAACACCCGGCATTTCTAGCAAATTCATGCAGTAAGTCATTCGTTTTCATTAGCTTCTCACCCTATCACATACACTTGGGTTCTCATTCGGGGTACAATACACTAAAAACAAGTGTTAATCCATCATCGGGCGATGTGTGCTGGAGCGGAACGTACGATATAGATCCGTGGCGAGAAAGATGAAGGGGAGGTATCGTGTGACGATATAGAGGGCTTTCATCTTGCCCCAGCGTGATCGAAGTAAAAATTTCCACTTTGCACATCAATAATATCGTCGATATCAAAACCGAGGTACATGATAGAACGAGAATATTACCTCTTCATGAAGTGAACATGCATAATCATAAGTCTCGATAAGCGAGTTTGACAGCGGACGTAGATAGATCAGAATAAGCCTACCCAGAATGTAGCCATCGATACTGAACTTTATTAGGACAAATAATATGAGGTTTAGACAATACGCACTGTGTATGTACTGATGCGTAGATGACTTGTCAATTGTGATTCGCCCTCATATCGAGAAAGGAGACACACCGTAGCGAGCTGCAAGCTCCTCGCTGCTGCGAAATGATCGGTCGAATACTCCATCTAGAGGTCAAAGAATGTGTTTCACACACACGTCATGGGCCTTATGAATGAGTTGTGAACCCATCAGGGTGGCGGCGCAGACACTGGGATACCATCATTGGAGTTAGTTCGAGTTTAAACTAGCCTCTTGCTGCGGTCGTGATAGAGAGTTCCTCCGTTCACTGGATGTACCTGCCGGGGAGCGACTTGACTTGATAAAAGATACAGCTGCACCTCCGATGCCTAGGCGTGAGGCACTAAAGTCTAATAGTCATACTTCAAAGTTCAAACTACACAATGCGGCCAAAATTGGCAATCGATGTTGATATTTATTTGGCGTAATGACGGTTTTTTTATAGCCAAGACTGTCCTTGACAGCTACGGAGTTACGCCAAGAGGCAGTGATAATCACGCACCCTTGATTCGATGATCGATGACCTGTGTTGTGGCTATTCGATGGATGAGACTATCTAAGAAGAGGCAAATTTGGGAATACCGAGGTTGATGTGAAGCGTTATGGTATGAGCTTTAAATTTCAAATTTCAAGGTTCGGAATCTGGTCAACTTCCTTAGCGCAGCGCTCGCCACAGTGAGCTATACCATCACTAATAAAATCGATTTTTTGACTTGTAAAAACAATTTGTCAGTACGATCTTCCAATGGCCCTCATCACTATCTCAGTTTACCCCTCCTCTGGAAAATCAACCCGCGCAGCACAAATCCACGACTTTCTCTCATCAGCTTCAAGTCCTCAGCTCAAAGTAAAAGTCATCTCAGACGATGACTTAGCCGTTGACGTCCCATCTTCTTCCTTCCCTTCAGACCAGTGACCCCCGAAAATCAGACTCCCTTCAAGAAAAGATCGCCCGTGCAACTCTCTTCACCGCTATCACAAGGCACATCGCCAAAGACATGATCCTCATCGTAGACGGGATGAATTACATCAAGGATTTCAGGTATCAACTGTATTGCAAGGCCCGAGAGGTTGGAGTAAGGGTCGCTACGGTGTGTAATAAATATTCTCACTCGCGCAACTAACGTAGTTGAGAAAAGTAGGTCTACGTACTTGCCACGCCTGATCAATGTCGGAAATGGAACGATGAACCAGGAGATGGCAAGGAATATAAACCTCAAACGTCAGTCTTTCCCCTTTCTATTTCCCCACCCATTCCTAACCTCGATACCCTCATCCAACGTTTTGAAGAGCCCTCATTCATGGTCCGCTGGGACGCTCCACTCTTTACCATCCCCTGGGATGACCCAACACGCCCACTCGAATGCATATAAGATGCAGTCACAACTGGCATCGTCAAACCTCCAAACGTCGGCACCCAGATCACGCCAAAAGCACACACAGACGCCCTCCGCACTCTGGAGCATACGACAAACGCACTGGTTTCTGCATTCATGGCTGCTCAGGCTGCCGGCCCACTCGGGGGACCTATCGGCCTCACCATCGATACGCTTGAGCCTAGTTCGAATACCAGTGCCAATGATAGTTCTGTTCTTCGTGTTCGCTTAACATTCCCACATCGTGCACTGACGTTATCAGAGCTGCAACGGCTCAAGCGCCAATTCGTGGCTGCGCGCCGGAAAGCTGTGACATTGGGAAGCACGGAAAAAGGGAGCGTAGATTGGGGAGAGGAGGGTGTGGGACGTGCGTTTGCAGAGTTCTTGGAGGAGGGGTTGGGTATTGCGAGGTGACTTGCATGTTGAGCATCCCAAACAAGAGGGTTTTAGAATCCCGGGAGTAATATAATACAGGGCTTGTAATATGTGGTACGCGCATCCAAGATCAAATGATTAACTCAGGTGAACACGATCTCTCATACAGTCTCACTTTCTCGTAGAATTTTTATAGATGAATACCAGCATTTACCTTCACGAGGAAGTCTTCTCCTTGGTGCTGCGCAGGATCAGGCTTCACCTAGTGACAATATTTTGGTATGAGAATATGCAGACGTCACGTTTTTTGTTCACCTTTCATTATAGAAGGCTTGATGCATCATGCATGACGCCACTATCAGGTTTGTTTCGTGGTCTCTTCTCTCATATCGGTCTTAAATACGACTCAGTTAGTACATGTTTAAGATGCGGTCTTTGATTTTCGTGACAATCATGCTTGTGATGGGTGGACAGCAAATCCGGGCAATTGTCTTTTCTTTGGTGGGAGGAATAACATCTTCAAGTACGTCGCTCTGCTACTCTATGAACTGGGTCAGTCGTTTTTTCTCTTTTCGAGCTCGTGCATCAATAAGTCTTCTCTTGCTTGATATTGTACATCAGATCCAGCAAGTACGTCGTCAGACCACTCCAAGAAACGACTCAGTGAGATATATGATGTGCATCACAAGTAAGATAACTTTGTTTTCCCGAGCTACCGCCCGGGTGTTGATTTCTATCATTTATCAAGTTGTGTCTTCCTTCAGCATAATTTTGACCACGGTTCCTCTGGTGCGTTGCAGTGGACCTGACCAGATATCCATGCGCTTACCGTTGAACACGATAACATGAGTTTTTATCGTAGACTCGTGAGTACATCAACTTGAACAACTGCATCACCAACTGATCATATATCGCGTCACCAGTCCGCAAATCGTCATTTACAGTGCCCCAGCCTCTTGGATCCTTATTGACTCACGAACGAGTAAAGCACGATTGCGAATTTATACAACATTGGTAGATGTATCTGGGACCTGGTTTGGAAGAGGCTGATTTTCGACGCTGGTATTCGATTTCATCAAGGTCATGTGTGCAATGCAAAATTGGTGCTACTCTGTATGTACCCCATGCCACATTCTAATTGTGCTTATAACTAATTGCGACTTGTCTACTCGAGTCCATTATCAACGGCGTTTGAAAAGCGCTGAGCAGATCTCAACTATGTTGAACGGCAGTCTGTGTCACTTTCCCAGGTGTTTCAATATCTAGGCAGGACACCAGCGAATTCTGAAACGTTGTACCTCAAGAACTGTACATAACCATGGAGGCTCTGCATGTTGTACGTTCCCATGACGAAGATGCTGATGTTGCTGATGTTGTGCTCCTTTCAGAATGGTATGGTTCTTACGTCTTGATGGTGGTGCGCCACCAGGCCACCAGCTCTGCTCCACCCTCGGCTTAGGGTAAGCGTACTTGGTCAGTCGTCCTACTCTTATACTTGGCGCGCACTGTTACACCTGAGTCCTCGGCCCGGTGCATAGCTTTAGCCCTGGCTCATCATAGATGTTGAGACAGAGCCTGGCTAGACAGGCAAGCATACGATTTCTTACGGCGACAAACTTCGCCAATCTCTCAATCTTCCTGTCAGAAACCATGATCAGATTAAGTGAGCCTAGAATATCAATACATGCTACATTGTTGACATTACATCGCACCACTCCTTCGTGCCCTCTGGCACGGATCATGCTAAGCGAGTATGAGTATGTCAACACTGGGACTCTAATGGCAGAGGAGAATGACGGGCTCACTCGGGCTCACTAGCAGCTGATGACGCCATCGGTTACCACACAGCAATTCTTGCACCAGCATGCCTCATAGGCATCAATTACGCCATCAGGTCCACAAATATAACCAAAATCGTTGTCGTCGTTAAAAAATTTGATGCCCGTTGAGCACTCTACCGAATCTGCGAATACCAGCCGTAAGCATGTAGTCTAAGGCATGCAAAAGTGCTTACTACGGTTGCCGCAAGGTAGCCCCAGGGGAGTTATTACCAGGTTGTCGGAGGCGACAGCTACACTAGCCATCGCTGCAACAGATATGATGATGGTGGTGAGTGAGGTGAATATCATCGCTAAAAGCTAATGGTGTTGTCTGAGTCAAAAGCTAAGTTGGCTTTTATACACAAGTAAGGCCGATCTGCATGTGGCCTGCACTATTGGATAGACAGATGCCAGCTCACGCTCTGAAATAAAGGTCCATCATGAAAGCTCAGAATAACGTAGCGGACGCAGTTGGCGAGTTCGGTCTATGATCATAATGATTCATTCAGCAGATTTTCAGATTTTCAGTCTCTAACTAGATTTCAAACCTAGTCCGTGACCCCAAGCCAGCCGAAAGCTGCCTTTTTTGGCTGCAAAATGCGAAGGTGACGTGGCGGGCGCTGGAAAGCACGTGGATGAGGGTGAATGGGAACACGAATAGATGACAAACTTCCAGCTTGGGCTTTTGCAAAATTCGAGCCCAAGTCTTGTGCAGGCCGTGACCTGGGGGCTCGGCTCGACTTGGTGAGACATGGCTCGGGTTGCAACACCGGTTCATACATGCAGGTATGTGTGGGCGAGAGTCCTTCAAACCTTGCTTGAGTGCTATCGCATTGAGGATAGACGCCACCGCTTGCAGTGGAAAATACAGGTGTTAAATAGATCAAGGATATTCAAATTCCCCTACCACCCGCGACAGACTCATCCTATAAATTCAGCACGTAACACAACTCTATCAAGCCCACCCCATCAGTCATCTTGTACGGTCCAAGCCTCGCTCCACGAACGACACCGATAAGCCACAGAATAAGAAATCACTCCATGGGATTTGCAAATGAAATGTCGGACATTGGAATATGCACGAGGGCACTAGTAGAGCCGTGTGGATGCCGATTCACCTGCCAGAGATGCAGGTGCATGCGCGTGGCGAGGGTTGCAAGGATCGTAAACTGGAAACTGTATGTGGATGTACGTTTCGAGTGTTAACAGTAGGAATACGCAGCAGGATGTGGATGTGCGTACCTATCCAAAATGGTCTGGTAGGTGTGCTTGGGCGCGGAACATCAATGGCTCGATCATGAATTGTATTTAGGACATTCACGCACCTGAAGGAGGAGCAATATGAAGACGGTCGTCACCGAAAACACTTCAAGAAAGAGAATGATCAGGGATGATTACGAAAAAACGGCGCGAATGAATGTTAACTCACGAAGACTGCATGCATAATAGGATATGTTGTGGTTCAGCAAAACAGCATACAGATGGCTTGGGTTTGTCCGCGAGCTCTGTATGGCACGTATGAGCGTGAGGATCATGAGTCCTGGGGAGAACACCTGTCAACGGGCATTCATACATATATGCTCCTGGTTACCCACCCAGTTCGAATACGGAAAAGAGAAGAAATGGTATGAAGAGCCTGTGACTGGTCGAACTCCGGTGGCACCCTGTGATTCCCGGGATCGCGCTAGTCGTATCTGTGAAAGAGAGCAAAGTATTTCAGTTGTCGTGAAACTCAGGGGGAAGGTAAGAGCATGTACATGCTGCGGGGACGGTAGTGTCGAAGGTAACGCTGAAGGATACTATGACAAAAATCTGGCTGATGGCATCTACCACTAGCTTGGGTATTATGAGCTATTGGGAACTCACGAACAAGGTGCACAGGATGGCTGCGAGCAAGATTCTATTCTTGTTCCAGAGCACATATGTTCTGAGAATAAAAAAACCTGGATGGATCAGATCAGAAACACACACATAATACGGGGGGAACGAGAGATACATTCGGATAAAATGACTAATGCAATGCCGAGACCTGTGAGAAGAAAGCAATAGCCTTCGACAAGGACCTGTATGGATGGATGTACCTGATTCAATATTTGCCAACACCCGGCATTTCTGGCGCGAAGTCATGCAATAAGTCGTTCATTCTTATTAACTCGCCACCGCATCACGTACAGCTGGGTTTTCATTCGGGGTAACGCTCACTGAAAAACATGTGTTAATTCATCATCGGAGCGATGTGGGCTGGAGCGGAACGCACTATATAGATTCGTGGCAAGAAAGATAAAGGGGAGGTATCGTGTGACAATATACAGGCCTTTCATCTTGCTCCAGTGCGATCGAAGTAAAAATGTCCACTTTGGACAGCATGTGGTGGATATCAGAAGCAAGGTGTATCATGGAACAAGTGTATTACCTCTTCATGAAGCGAACATGCATAATCATAGGTCTAAATAAGTGAGCTTAACAACGGACGTGAAGAGATTAGAAAAAGCCTACCCAGAATGTAGCCGTCGAGGCTGAACTGCCATGTTAGGACAAATAATGTAGGGTTCAGACAGTACGCACCAAATATGTACTGATGGTAGATGACTTGTCAATTGTGATTCACCCTTATATCGACAGAGAGACGTACTTTAAAGGACTGCAAGCTCGTCGCTACCACGATATCGTCAGTTGAATACACCATCTAGAGGTCAAAAATGTCAAGGTTGAACAAACATATGGGAGATTACATAACCCGGCGGTAATACAAAGTATACAACCTGCACGGACATATCCGAATCAAAAAGCAATTCTAGCGCCAACCGTCTCGTGTATCTCTAAGTCTCATATTTTTCATATTTGCTTCTGCCAGCTATAATCAAAATCGTATCTTATCATAACCTTAGAGCCCTGCTGTATCGCATATCGAGCCTCAGAAACCAAGAATAATCATAACACACTGTAAATACTACTCAAATGACTGGTTCTAAGTTACAACAGGTCTAACTTCTATAAGACGTTGTCATCTTTCACTCCACTGGAAGAACAGCCGTTCATTCCAGACCACCGTCTCCACGACTGTGCAATGTGCTGAACCATTGGAGCCCGACCCAACCCTTCGTTTGCACAGACTGAGACTGCAGTCAAAGGCATGTACAGAAATCGATTTGAGGAGCATACAACTTTGTCGGGGACTCCTGGTTCTCTATATGAGTGATCATCCTTTGATTTTGGGTCTAGCACACTCGAGAGTTGGATCCTTGCGCCGCCACCGCTTACAAAATACAGATCAAGGACATCCAAATGCTCCTACCACCCTGCGACAGATTCATCCTATAAGATAAGCACGTAACGAACTCTACCAAACCCACTCCCACCAGCCATCTTGTACGGCCCAAACCTCGCTCCATGAACGACACCGAATAAGCCACCGTCGGGATAAGACAATCACGCCGCGGGATCTGCAAATAAGATGTCGGACATTGGAACATGCACGACGGTGCTAGTAGAGCCGTGTGGGTGTTGATTCACCTGCCAGAGATGGAGGTGCATGCGCGTGGCAAAAATTGCAAGCATGATGAACTGGAAACTATATGTGGGTGTACATTTTGGGTATTGTTAGCAGGAGGATGTGGAGGTACATACTTATACAAAATATTTTCGTAGAAGTTCTGTGGCGCAGAACATCAACAGCTCGATCATAAAAGGCATTTAATAGATTATCGCACCTGGAGGAGCAGCGATGTGATGATGTTCGTAACCGAGAACACTTCAGGAAATTGGCTGAGTACGGGAAAACAGCTCAAACGATTGTAAACTCACGAAAACCGCATGCATAATAGGATATGTTATGATTCACCAGGACAACGTACAGACGGCTCGAGTTTATCCGCCTGTTCTGCACGGCGCGTATGAGTGTGAGTATCATGAGTCCTGAGGAGAACACTTGTCAGCGCGTGTTTGTACATGTACATGCTCCTGGTTACCCACCCAGTTGGAACACGGAAAGGAGAAGAAATGCTATGAAGTACTGAACACTGGTCGAACTGTAGCACCCTGTGATGCCCGGAACCGCGCTAGTCCAATCTGTGAAAGTGAATAGAATGTTTTAGTGGTCGTGGAACGCCAGAGGGAAGGTGAGAGCGAGTACATGCTGCGGGGACGCCAGCGGCGAAGACAATGGTGAAGGATGCTACGAGAAAAGTCTGGTTGATGCATTCACCACTAGCTTGGGTATTGTGAGTCAATTGGGAACTCACGAAAAAGGTGGACAAGGTGGCCACAAGCAGGATTCTATTGTTATTCCAGAGCACATGTGTTCGAAGGATAAAAAAACCTGGATGAATCAGATCAGAAACACACATAATACAGGCGGAACGAGAGATACTTTCGGAGACAATGACTAATACTATTCCAAGACCTGTGAGAGGAAAGAGTAGCCTTCAGAAAGGATGTGCATACATGAATGCACTATAAAGGGGAGGTATCGTGTGACGATATAGAGGCCTTTCATCTTGCTCCAGCGTGACCGAAGCAAAAATGTCCACTTTGCACAGCAATGATATTGTATATCAAAACCGAGATACATCATAGAACGAGGGTATTACCTCTTCATGAAGTGAACATGTATAATCGTAAGTCTGGATAAGCGAGTTTGACAGAGGACGTGGATAGATCAGAACAATCCTACCCATAATGCAGTCATCGACGCTGAACTGTGTTAGGACAAAGAATTTTCGGTTCAGGCGGTACGCACCCAGTATGTACTGATGGTACATGAGTTGTCAATTGTGATTCACCCTCGTATCGACAAGGAGACACACCTTGAAGGACTGCAAGCTCATCGCTGCTGTGATATCGTCAGTTGAATACACCATTGGAGGTCAAAAATGTGTTTCACACACACGTACACACATCATGCGCCCTATTAGCTCTTATGAATGGGCTGTGAACCCATCAAAGTGGTGGTGTAGACGCTGGGATATCATTGAAGTTAGTGTAAGTTCAAACTTAGCTAGCTTGCTGCGGTCGTGATGGGGCGTTTTACCGTTCACTGAATGTACCGGCCGGGGCAAGGCCGGGGAGTAAAAGATACATTGGATGACCAGTGCCAGATGAATTCCCACAGTTTTTAGAACGATGTTCTGGTTCTAAACGCCTCTTGCCAAGCTGAGCACCCGTGTTTGTGGCTATCCATTTTTATTCGTGGATGAAACTATCTAAGAAGAGGCAAAGGAATACCAAGGTTGTCAGTATCGACCACAGCCACGTGACACAGCTCCATCTTCACCTGATACGACCCCTCGGGATGTGTACAGATCATGACGATAGGCTTCGACACCTATGGTTTCGCGTACGAGGTCCGTGCAAGGGAGGCCGATCTCTGGAATCTAGATTCAGAGATCCTGAAGGGGAGCGTAGAGGTGCTCTTGAAGTTGACGCAGACTTTCGAGTCAATAGGGAAGGAAAGAAACCAAGCCGTTCCCACGAAGGAAACCCCGGGCCCTGCCACGGGGAAGTGGTCGATGTTGGTAAACATGATGAAAGCGAGAATGCCCTGTTCTTGCCATTCCCTTCACAGAGTTGTGCTTTATGTACAAGCTTCAATCCATGCGTCCTCCCCGTCATCAAACCCTTGAGGAGCGCTCCATTTTGTAGCGCTACTTTAAGCACTGGAACAAGCTGAAAACGAGCTCCTGGGTCCTCGGATCGGAGGCTGTGTAGTAAGACTGTTCTTCCCTTGCGACTCGTTGAAGAAGTTCTGGTGACTTGTCGACGAGTAGATCTTGGCTGTGTGTGCCTGTTTGTTACCGAGTTAGACCTACTCTGTGTCGCTGTTTCTTGTCTGACTTCTCTGGTGCTATGCCGCAGAATGGCCCTTTTTCCATAAGAGTAATCGGAGGGCAGTTACGCCTCGGGCTCGGCCTTGCTAGCTGAAAAGGGTGTTCACATCATGCCCCAAGCTGTGTACCATTAGATTGATGGTTACATAAAGAGCTGTTCGACTTTTGCAAGCTTGCAGCGAAAACGGCGTTGGAAAGAAGTTGCCGACATCACCAACTACTGGAACTTTCCTGGCGTCCGAGTAGTGGCGTGGTTCACAAATCAAATTCTACGAGGGGATTCCACGTGCTTTTTGTTTCTTGGGCTCAGCTGGCTGTTCCACCGTTTTGAGACGCGATCAAATATCCGGCACCATCATGCTGATTTTGGTGATACAAGGGCTAAAGGGGGGTATATCTAGCACGAACGCTATCGTCACACACCACTAACATTCCCCACTCGCTTACACCCATCTCTCGAACATGACCTTCGTCTCAAACGATCCTGCTTGGTGGCCGTTCATGAATGTGACCGTAACCAGAATTTTTGCCTACTGGACAGGTTTGTTGCATCAAGATGTCTAGGTCTAACGTTGACTTGCGGTTTTACAGTTGCCGCCGGCGTCGTGGTAGTATACGATTGGGGTGAGCAGGACGGTGTTCGAAAATCGCTGATATTCTCATGATATTTCCAGTCTTAACACTCGGACAAGAGGTACGTCGACGTTATCTCCGCAGCTATCCCACTAAGAATGGTGTCTTAGATTGAACTCATCTGGGTGAGTGAGAAGAATCCTGTATTAGAAGAAAACAAGAGCATGCAATGAATTCGCGACAGAGACAACGCTGGTCTTTCATGACTCTGCTGTATTTGATTGTTCGTACCTCGTGTTGTGCTTTAGCGTGATGGGCAACTTGTGCTGACTCCAAAATGTTCTAGATACGCTATATTGGAATACCATATTCTGTGTATGTGTCGAGACCAACAACTTCGCACTGTGGTAATGGCTCATCTCTGAAACTAGTGTCAATATTCTGCGTATGTCTCATTGTGCTGTATTCCATTTTTCTGACAGACGGGACACAGGAAATATGCCATCAGTATCGCTGACAGATGCAGTAAGTATTTTGCAACCATCTCAGTCCCATCCAATCAATACACTCATGTAGGGGTGAGTGAAATTCCAACCATCGAACTTGGCTCAACATAATGACTCAATAGGTGTAGGTCGGAGTCTTTCATACTAGTGCGAGGATGTTCACTAATTGGGAGTTTTAGGCGCTATCATGTACCACACAGTAAATGGGACAAATGTAGCCTTGAGTGCCATGTTTGGCGGTAAGTTACCCAGGTGCAATACCTCTGTGATATTGACCTGACTGACACACGATGCAAGTCATCATGATTGCTCGGTTGCATGCCATGTATCAAGGATCTAGAACGATGCTCATCTTCCTTGTTATTATATTTCTGGCTGTTATCATTGCCTGCGGAGTGATCTCGGCAATCGAACTCAAGTATACTGTATCAGGTAAGCTTCCCCTGTTGACTTGAAGAACACGGCTCATTGGAAAAATACCAGAGGAGGTGATACTCCCTGGCACGCATATGTGCGGTTATGGAGATGAAAGCGACATGTCGCTTCTGTTTTCAATGATTTGGATGCTCAACACTGTTTGGGAGGTCCTCGCATTGTGTCTTTCAGTCTGGGTGGCTGTGAAACACTTCCGTGACCTGCGACGACTCGGCCCATCGACAGGATCGACCATTGGGGGGTGTTTCAGAGTGCTGATACAATCTCATGTTCTTTATTTTGCAAGGTGAGCTTGTAATGTGAACGCGGTTATATTTTTCTGCTCAAGTTTCGTACATGTTAGCTTTGTCAGTGTCTCTTGCCTCCAGCTTGCCGTTATCTCTGCGAAAATCTCGGTGCGCTGACCTATCGCCAACATCTGCGTGTCAACATTGCTCATCATTCTTGTAGAATATTGTTGGTCTGATACTCGGTGGTGCTGTGCAAATTTTATTGGTCGTGCAGATGTTTGTGCTGGGACCACGCCTCATCCTGAGCGTTCGAGAATACCATGCCAAACTCGTGGCATACTCCGATGCAGAAACCAGCATGAATTCAATTGTTTTTCAGGAGCGTGTACATGTATCAACTAGCAGTACTGTATAGGGACACGCTTGGGTCTAGACCAGTACGAAAATTCACATTTTAATCCATATCAGAAGTCGAGAACACAACAGCGATGCCCTAGTTCTAATAAGATATGATAGCAGGCGCAAGACTCTTGGCTACGGCCTGAAGGTGGGACATGTGCCTAAGTCATCCTGATGTGCTCCACTGAAATCGCATGTAGCACGAGAAACTAGGACGAGATAGAAGCGCTCTCCCCAGGGAATGAGGCGTCGCCAAAGGTGGAATAAGTCTTTGAAGAGCCAATTTGACTGGGAGGAAAGAAAAATGGCTCAAACACATCGAAGAATGAAATAAGCGTTATAAGACGACTTTTAAGTGACAAAAGCGTATGCTCATTACTCGTAGGAATGTGCCGCTCGTATAATGATAACCTGTGAGACAGATAGTAAGCTTCGAGTCGATGGAAAGAAAGAGGCAAGGATAGAATCAGTGGTGCAAATATTTGGCTTATGCTCTACCGTTCGTCAATGCTTATAGCTACGACTGGGGCGGCAAGCGAAATCATCATGAAAAAAATAGGAACGTCACCCACCTGTTACATAGATTTCGGTCTGCGTTCTAATAGACGAAAGCCACCCAATCGAGTCGGCTCTACGACTGTTCGAGAGAATATTGGCAAAAGATCCAACGAAAGACCAATGCGGACGGGTAAAAGTGCTTGAACGAAGATCAGTCACTGTCCTACCCGTGGTAAAGAAAAAATACCTCAACTGCACCATAAGCCAGAACTGCATTAGCAACGTCCCCCGCTAGCTTACCAGACAACTCGCTCGACTGGGTCTAGTCAACAACCTTGCTATCCTCAAAGCCGAAGATACCATATCGAGGTCCAACACGACCAGCCCATTGCTCGCCCTCATCCGTCGATAGAGCCATCTCGTTGGAGAGCAGCAGCGTTGACAACGCGCTCACCTGCGCCTAGACTGCGTGCTGCGTAAAAAATGCCCACAATGGGAACGATGACAATTAATTCATGAAGGATGGCAAAAGAGACTATGAGGGAAGGTAGTGATGTTCCCGCCCTCTTAGAAATCGCGGTGATAGCATTTTTGTAAGGTGCTCCTTCGATATGCAAATTTGCAAAAATTTAGCATGCGGCTTAGATAATATGGTGTCGAGTGGCTGTGCATTTAAGCTGTTCAGGGGCCAACGATATATATGCCCGGGTACTTCCTCCACAACAATGTTTTAATGTCTTAACTACGATAGCCTCTCCCTAGTATCACGAAGTCGCAGAAGGCAAATTTTGCTTCACACACAATTCCCGAGTTACAACCACATAGCGCATACGCCGATGCTGCTGTCTCCACAAAGGCGGTCACCTGCCGTCGTCCTATCATAACAGAGACCTTTGTTAATTCGTGGAGCTTGGTGTGCTGTAGTATGTCTGTACTATATTACTCATTGTCGTCAGGCTGTGCGTCAGGCTCAACCAACTCTTTTACGATCCAAGCACCGCTCCACGAACGACAACGAATAAGCCACAGGTCACGCCATTGAATTTACATACTCATACAAAATAATCTAATAAAAGTACTACATCACGCCGTTGAATTTACATACTCATACAGAATGTTCTGTTAGGGGTACTACATCATTTGCAAATGACATGTCGGACATTGGCACGAGGGTACTAGTAGTGTCGTGTGGATGTCGGTTCACCTCCCAAAGATGGAGGTGCATGCGCGTGGCAAGGATTACAAGTATGATGAACTGAAAACTGTACGTTTCGGTTATTATTAGCAGGAATATGCAGCAGGATGTGGAGGTGCATACTCATACAAAACAATCTGATATGGGGGGTCCTGGGGCGCATAACATCAACGGCTCAAACATAAAATGGATTTAAGATATTCGCGTACCTGGAGGAGCAGCGATATCAAGATGTTCGTTAACGAGAGTACTTCAGGAAAGAGAATGATTACGGGAAAACACCGCGAACAAGTGTAAACTCACCAAAACCGCATGCATAGTAGGATATGTTATGGCTCACTAGGACAGCGTACATACGGCTCGAGTTTATCCGCCAGTTCTGCACGGCGCGTATGAGCGTGAGTATCATGAGTCCTGGGGAGAACACCTGTCAGCGCGTGTTTTTACATATACATGCTCGCCTTGTCACCCACCCATTTGGAACACGGAAAGGAGAAGAAATGGTACGAAGGACTGGTAACTGGTTGAACTCCGGGAGCACCCTGTGATTCCCGGGATTGTGCTAGTTGCATCTGTGAAAGTGAACAGAATATTTAGTTGTCATGGAACTCGGGGGGAAGGTGAGAGCATGTACATGTTGTGGTACTGTCGAAAGTAACGCCGAAGGATATTACGATAAAAATCTGACTGATGGCATCTACCAACTAGCTTAGATATGGTGAGTGGAATTGGGACTCACGAAAGAGGTGCACACCATAGTTGCGAGCAAGATTCTATTTCTGTTCCAGAGCACGTATGTTCTAAGGATGAAAAAGGCTGGATGAATTAGATCAGAAACACACATAATACGGGGGGAACGAGAGATACTTTCGGAGACAATGACTAGTATTATTCCAAGACCTGTGAGAGGAAAGTAGTAGCCTTCAGAAAGGACATCCATACATGAATGTACCACGCACGCACCTGATTCAATATTTTCCAACTCCCGGCATTTCTGGCGAATTCATGCAGTAAGTCGTTCGTTCTCATTAACTCTCAACAACATCACATACACCTGAGTTCTCATTCGGAGTAAAGTACACTGAAAAACTTCATTATCGGTGCGATGTATGCTGAAGTGGGACGCACAATATATATCCGTGGCAAGAAAGATAAAGGGGATGTATCGTGTGACGATATAGAGGCCTTTCATCTTGCTCCAGCGTGACTGAAGCAAAAATGTCCACTGTGCAGAGCAATGATATCAAAACCGAAGTGCATCATGGAACGAACAGGTGTATTACCTCTTCATGAAGTGAACATGCATAATCATAGGTCTGAATAAGCGAGTTGGGCAGCGGATGTGGATAGATCAGAATAATCCTACCCAGAATGTAGCCATCCACACTGGACTGTGTTAGGAAAAAGAATGTGGAGCTCGCACAGTACGCACCATATATGTACTGATAAACACATGATTTGTCAATTGTGAATCACCCTCATATCAACAAAGGAGGCGCACCGAAAGGAACTGCAAGCTCCTCGCTACTACGATATCGTCAGTCGAATACGCCATCTGGAAGTCAAAAAATTTGTTTCGGACATACATCATGCGCCTTCTTAGCTCTTATGAATGAGCTGTGAACCAATCAGGGTTGCGGCGTAAACACTGGATACGATTATTGGATTTAGTGAGGGTTTAAACTGGGAGCTTCTTGCTGTGGTCGTGATAGAACGTTCCTCTGTTCACCCGATGTACCTGCTGGGGAGCGCTTGATAAAAGATACAGCTGTACCTCCGATGCCCTAGACAGTAAATTTCAATAATAGCCATACTTCAAACTACATGATACTGGCCAAATTCAAAACGCGTGGCTGAGCGGGTACAAATAGCCAACCCCGAGTAAAGGGCCAAGTCCAACATAGGGTCTACCCCAGAGGACAATAAATACAAATAGCCAAAATTGGCAATCGATTTTGATATTTATTTGGCGCCATGGCTTTTTGTTTTACCAAGTAACGCTTAGGACCAACTTAGGACTATCACTTGACAGATACGCCAAGACGCGGCGATGATCAAAGCTCGCACGCACCCTTGAATTCATGCTGATTATGGGAACTCAGGTAAGCAACGAGCTTACAGCAGCAGGCAATTGGTATTGACGGAACGTTATTGCGTCCTGAGGCGACAAATTATATTTTCTTCCATTTTGCGTTCTGTCTTGTTATGACCACACTGGTATGGTGTGTTATGGCCGCCCGCAGGTACCGCCGCACATCGTTATTTGTATGGGTTGATTCCTACTGACGTAGTGCCTCGGACTTTCGTCCTTGCCTCGGAATGTGAGTGTTCGTATATGTGCTCAGATTAATTCTATTTGTTTCTCTGATAATCTTGCACCCTTTGCTGTCCGTGATGGAAATACTGCTACCCAAATGTGGTTCTTCAAGCCCAGTGAGAACCGGACCTCACCGTATCGACGGAAAACGACCAAAATATTGATGAGCCACAGACGTAAGATTTCCGTAGATGAGCGTAGAGAATGGGACTTATAGTCGATTTTCTAGCGACGCTGTTCGACGGAGATCTCACGATTTTGCACCAATTCTCGCATATGAGTTTTATCTTCGAAGAAGAGCACGTCTGTGACACCGTTCGCAGGCGGGTGGATCGTTGCAACACCGGTTTACTGAAGTGCTATCGCATTAAGGATGGAGAAGTGGACTCTTTATTACTAGATGAGTCAACTGTTAACGTCTTCTCCGGCGCTGCGTCCTCCTCCCAAGCCACTGAGTTTTGTTTCAATGCAGAGAATTGAGTGTTACAGCTGCACCAGAAGACCTTGCCGCCCAAGGGAGACCAGGCATCGAGCGCTCGAGCTTGAACGTCCGCATACTTTGTTGTTCGATACGATTCTCCTGGGTACTCAGTGGGCTCTGCCGAAATCCTGAAAGCAAGCTGAGAATGATAGAGCTCAATGTTCGGCGAGCCAGTACGTACTCTCCTATACTGTAATGCAATAGCACCTGATGCTGACGATATGGGTAGCAAGTAACTTGTATTTTCAAGGGCTCATCAAACCTTGCGAGGGTCACAACAGGTCTAACTTCTATAAGGCGTCGTCATCTTGCACTCCATTACCAGTAGAAGAACAGCCGTTCATTCCAGACTACTATCTCCACGACTGTGTAATGCGCTGAACAATCGAAGCCCGACCCAACCCTTCGTTTGCACAGACTGAGACTGCAATCAAAGGCATGTACAGGAACTCGAGTTGAGGGGCATACAACTTTGTCGTGAACTCCTCCTTCTCTCTATGAATGATCATCCATGGCTGTGTGTGATCAAGTCAAATTCTCGTAATATACATGATCATGTGTAGCGGGACTCCGGAGCAGAATTAGATCATTCTTTGATTTTGGGTCTAGCACACTCAATTGCAAGGTCTGGATCCCTCCGCCGCCACCGCTTACACTGAAAAATACAGGTCTCAAATAGACCAAGGACATCCAAATGCTCCTACCACCCTGCGACAGAATCATCCTATAAGTTAAGCGCGTAACCAACTCTACCAAACCCACTCCCACCAGTCATCTTGTACGGTCCAAACCTCGCTCCACGAACGACACCGAATAAGCCACGGGATAAGACAATCACTCCGTGGGATTAGCAAATGAGATGTCGGACATTGGAACATGCACGCCGGTGCTAGTAGAGCCGTGTGAATGTTGATTCACCTGCCAGAGATGGAGGTGCATGCGCGTGGCAAGAATTGGAAACATGATGAACTGGAAACTATATGTGGGTGTACATTTTGGGTATTGTTAGCAGGAGGATGTGGAGGTACATACTTATACAAAATGGTTTGGTAGGAGTACTGGGGCGCAGAACATCAACGGCTCGATCATAAAAGCATTTGATAGATTATCGCACCTGGAGGAGCAGCGATGCGAAGATGTTCGCAACCGAGAACACTTCAGGAAAGAGAATGATAATGGCTGAGTACGGGAAAACGGCTCGAACGATGCAACGGGGGTTGCCGGTGGGACGGGAGTAGCGGACAGGAGGAGCAGGCAGAAGGGTGCCAGGGGTCTCGAGGGTCCCAAGGGTCCCAGCCACACATAGACATGTAGCACGACACGTTGTAGAGCATTCCATTCCATTCCATTCAGGCATAGCAGCCTCAGGTTCCTCTTCCTCTCGTGAGCGCAGGGTAGAGCCGGGTCCAACGATTGTAAACTCACGAAAACCGCATGCATAATAGGATATGTTATGGTTCACCAGGACAACGTACAAACGGCTTGAGTTTATCCGCCAGTTCTTCACGGCGCGTATGAGCGTGAGTATCATGAGTCCTGGGGAGAACACCTGTCAGCGCGTGTTTATACATATACATGCTCTCCTGGTTACCCACCCATTTGGAGCACGGAAAGAAGAAATGGTATAAAGGACTGGTAACTGGTTGAACTCCGGTAGCACCCTGTGATTCCCGGGATTTTGCTAGCTGTATCTGTGAAAGTGAACAGAATATTTAGTGGCCATGGAACTCAGGGGGAAGGTGAGAGCATGTACATGCTGTGGGGATGGTAATGTCGAAAGTAACGCTGAAGGCTACTGCGAGAACAATCTGGTTGATGCATTTACCACTAGCTTGGGTATTGTGAGTCAATTGGGAACTCACGAAAAAGGTGGACAAGATGGCTACAAGAAAATTTCTATTTTTGTTCCAGAGCACATATGTTCTAAGGATAAAAAAACCTGGGTGGATCAGATCAGAAAAACACATAAGACGGGGGGAACGAGATACTTTCGGAGATATTGACTAGTACTAATCCAAGACCTGTGAGAGAAAAGTAGTAGCCCTCAGAAAGGACGTCCATACATGAATGCACCACGCACGCACCTGATTGAATATTTAACAACACCCGGCATATCTGGCGAATTCATGCAGTAAGTCGTTCGTTCTCATTGACTCTCAACAGCATCACATACACCTGAGTTCTCATTCGGAGTAAGGTACACTGAAAAACGTTAATTCATTATCGGGTCGATGTATGCTGTAGCGGGACGCACAATATAGACCCATGCCAAGAAAGATGGAGGGGAGGTATCGTGTAACGATATAGAGGCATTTCATCTTGCTCCAGCGTGACCGAAGCAAAAATGTCCACTTTGCACAGCAATGATATTGTCGATATCAAAACCGAGATATATCATAGAACGAGGGTATTACCTCTTCATGAAGTGAACATGTATAATCATAGGTCTGGATAAGCGAGTTCGACAGCAGACGTGGACAGATCAGAATAATCCTACCCATAATGCAGCCATCGACACTAAACTGTGTTAAGACAAAGAATTTTTGGTTCAGACGCCGGTACGCACCGCATATGTACTGATGGTACATGATTTGTCAATTGTGATTCACCCTTATATTGACAAAGAGACGCACCTTGAAGGACTGCAAGCTCGTAGCTGCTGTGATATCGTCAGTTGAATACACCATCTGGAGGTCAAAAAATGTGCACAACATCATGCACCTTCGTAGCTCTTATGAATAAGCTGTGAACCCCATATGATATGGCAGCGTAAACATTCAGCCTGGGATATCATTGAAATTAGTGAGTTCAAACTTGGCTGGCTTGCTGTGGTCGTGATGGAGCGTTTTACCGTTCACTGGATGTGCCGGTGGAGCGGGGCGCTCTGGCAGGACAGGTCGGGAGTGGCAGGAGTCCTTTTTTTTGATTCGTTTATTGTCCTGTGGGGCGGGGCCCTATGGTGGACACTACTTACACTGTTGTACTATGTGGTATATGTATCGTAACTCTGGTATATCGGTGCTTTGCAATGGTCCGTGCTGGCAGGAGTCCTGGCTCGTAGTCGGTGGTCCTCGCGCGTGTCGTAGTCTGTCCTCCATAGATAGAGCCGCAGCCTCTCACTATAGAGGTCTGAAGTTGGTTCCCCTTGCAGCCCGTGCCCGTCCCACAGGCCGGGGAGTAACCTGATAAAAGATACATTGAATGGCCAGTGCCAGATGACTTCGCACAGCTTTTAGAACGATGTTCTGGTTCTAAACAACTGTTCTAAACATCTCATGCCAAGCTGAGGATCCCGTGTTTGTGACTATCCATTTTTATTCATGGATGAAACTATCTAAGAACAGGCGAAGGATTACCGGACGTTGTTAGTATCGAGCACAGTCACGTGACAAAGCTCCATCTTCACCTGGATGTGCACACACACATCATGACGATAGGCTTTGACGCCTATAGCATGGTTTCACAAACGAGGTCCAAGAAAGGGAGGCCAATCTCAGGAATCTAGATTCAGAGATGCTGAAGGGGAGCGTAGAGGTGCTCGTGAAGTTGACGCAGACTTTCGAGCCAATAGGGATAGACAAATAAACCAAGTCGTCCCCACGAAGGAAAAGTTCTCAACTCTGTGGGGAGGTGCCAGTGGTTTGGTCGATGTTGGTAAACATAATGAAAGCGTGGATGCCCTGTTCTTGCCATTCCCTTGCCAGAATTGTGCCTTATGCACAAGCTTCAATCCGTGCATCCTCCCCAATGCCCATCATCAAACCCTTGAGGAGCGCTCCATTTTGTAGCGCTATTTTAAGCACTGGAACAAGCTGAAAACAAGCTCCTGGGTCCTCGGGTCGGAGGCTGTGTGGTAAGACTGTATTTCCGTTTGCGACTCGTTGAAGAAGTTCTGGTGACTTGTCGACGAGTATATCTTTAAGGCTGTGTGCACCTGTTTGTTACCGAGTTAGAACGGCCGACCGCCCTATACGCTGATGTCGATATTTTTACTTGGCATTTTCTCGCGGTATTATGCTATAGCTAGTAGTACTTATTCTTGTATATTTTGATCATCTCTGCAATGCTGTACAGATCACATTGATGTCTCCCAGTCTGTTTCCTGTGTACCTTCGTTCCCTGAATCACCACCACCGCCACGGGGGTTGCCGCAGTTGATGACCGGTGGTGCAGTTGTCTGATCGTGTGATAAACTGAAGATGGGTGTCTCTGGCAGTGCATGGACGTTGAACGTCTATTGGAAACAGTGCATTGAATTGAATAGTGAGTTGCATCTCGTTTAAACGAATTTCAATTCCTTCTCCACGCGTGCAAGCAGTCCATAGCTATCGTGACAACGCACAGGACTTTTGATCATACAGGACGGCAGCAGGTTCTCATGCATTGGGCCATCTGAACAGCCGATCACCGGTATAAGTATATTGAGAAGTGAGGTTGGGTCTTTACAGATGAGTGGCCTGGCGTTTGTGGTGAGAACTTCTTATGCTCCGAATGTATCGAATCTGGTAGAGCAAGGTGAGTAAGATGGTGGTCCCCCTAGGTAGGCCGACGACAGTGCTCTTCTGTATGTGATGAGACAGATTTCCCATATGGGTGTGTTCTGTTGCTGTCGCGCTGGCGTATTCTTCTCCGAGTTTATCAACTTGACAGGCATTTTCGATGTATCTATGATATGCACTGTTCCATCAGCTTATCATGTCCAGGCTGAAGCGACGGTCTCCCGACCCGACACGCTGAAGGAGGTATTAGTCTGATAGGGGCCCAACGCCCGCAGTTCGACAGCACGTTGCTGATCGGCTTCCAATCGCATGAAGCTTAAAATTATCCTTACCTGGGAGAATGTGTTTAATACGCAATGTCAACCAGGGAGCCCATTCACGTCTGCATCGCCTGACCACATAATCGAGATTAGGTGCCTCCGCACTTCGCATTGGATGCTCGAGCCTCGGACATATCATGTAGGTATGCTCCGAGAAGCTGGCCGTGGGTGATATGCGTCGGCTTGCACCTCAGATGGGCAAGATTTTTCTTCATTTCCGTAAGAGAGATCTACGCGTGGCTGATTCATTCGCAAGCTTGACTTACACAATGATTACCGGCATGACGACTGAGATTAGCTGAGACTCCGCTGGACGCAGGTTCGATTGGTTCACAAGACCCAATGACCGCCGAGCTCCTTATCGATAGATATGGAAAACGTAACAGTCGATCGGAACATCACGGATGTCTTTGATTCGGATATGAAAGATAAGCTTGAAAAGATTTATCGTTGTTAAAGAGAGCGTGCTTTGGTGTACCGTTAGCGACGCGAGTCAGATCTGGTGGTACATTTGATGTGATTGGGATTAGGTATCAGAAGAGTGAGAGCTTATCAGGGCGAATAGGAGGTAGGCGCGGAAACCGGGACACCGGCGCCCGGCCCAAGACGTTGATAAGGGCAATAAAGCCAGACACACTTGATGACCCTGCTCTTATGTGCGCAATCGAGATTCTGTCGTTTCGATCTAAAATTTACCACAAATGCTCAGGCTATACTTAATTACGAGAAGTAGTGCATTACCCTACAAACGTGCAGCGTAAGTACACAAAATGAATGACCAAGGGTCAGGAACATACTGCAATTGATTCAAACACTTCTTGATCCAGTTTGATTTCTCCATTGCTGATATTTTTTGATCACATCTGGCGTGATTTGCCTTTGTATGGCACCTGCGGCTGCGACAAAGGCGCTTTGGGGGATCTGCAGAGAGCTATGAGGAAAGTTCGCCAAACTAGGGACTTTGAAGAGCTTACAAATGGGGCGTTGATATCTTTCTGCATAGTCAATAGAGCAGCCTCCTGGCACAGTGAGCTGATTTCTGCGCCACTGCAGCCGTCGGTCTGAATGCAACGTTACACTCTGCTCAGATGCAACCGAACCGTACTCACCATGGCTGCTATTGCATGAAGATCTAAGTCAGATTCAACGCTCATCGTCCTTGTCCTTATCTTCAAGATCTCTTCACGTCCGGCGTGATCGGGAGGTCCAACGTACAGAATGCGATCCAGTCTTCCGGGACGCATCAGAGCTGAGTCCTGGTAATCCATGGTCAGAAATATAACAATGATGATCAAAGCAGATAAACTTGCAATGACGTCGGGGCGATTCGTGGCTGCAATAATAGTCACCCCCACAAGCTCCTGAACACCGTCCATTTCATTCAAGAGGCTGGTGAGAACCCCTTCGTGTGCACTTCCAGTATCTGAATCTGAAGAGCGCGATGTTCCAAGGGCATCAATTTCATCCTGTGATTGTCAGCAACAACTCCTTCATGATAGAACAGCGCTTACGAAAAAGATTATTGACGGTGACGCAGCTCTGGCTTTACTGAATATATCTCGCACGGCTCTTTCCGACTCTCCAACATATTTGTTTAGAAGCTAATTGACAACAGTATATCGTGAGTATGTTGCCTGAACGCGGAACCAAAATCTGCACCTCGGGACCTTTCACAGCAACAAAGTTAACACCACTTTCTGTTGCACAAGCTCGAGCCAGAATGGTTTTACTACACCCTGGAGGTCCGTACAATAGCAGGCCCTTTGGTGGTCGGACGCCCAGTCGGTGGAAAGCCTCTGGGTGTAATAATGGCCACTCGACTGCTTCCCGAAGTTTTTGTATGATGTCGGCTTGCCCACCTATATCTTCAAACCGAATGGGCGGTGTCTCAATGAATAGGGAGCGCATTGCAGACGGCCGCACAGTAGGAAGCGCTTCTGAAAGGTCCGATGGCGTCAATTTCAGGGTCATTGTTGTAGCTGCTGGGTCAGCATTGGATGCCGGTGGAGTGTGTGTCATCCATCGTTTGATGGCAAGGGTTCCAGCCTCTCGAACTACAGCACTGAGGTCCGCACCAACATATCCATGAGCGCGGCGCGCGATAGAATGGAGTTCTGCATCTGTTATACAATGGGGGGTTTTGGAGAGGAGAACGTTCAGAATGGAGTGGCGAGCGTCTGCGTCCGGTATGCCTGAAAGTAATAGCCGTTAGTTAAAGTTCGGTGGTACTGTCGATACTGGCGCTGACCTATCTCAAATTCTCGATCGAATCTCCCGGGTCTTCGTAGCGCCGGGTCGATAGCATTCGGCCGATTGGTTGTCCCGATAACAACGACCCTATCATCAAATGTCGTGCTCGCATTGTCAATACCATCTAGAATCGTCAAAAGTGTCGCCACCACCCGTTTTTCAACCTCGCCACCTGCGCCCTCCTCCCTTCTCGGAACAAGAGCATCAACCTCGTCCAAAATGACGATACATGGGCTCTTAGCTCGAGCTTCCTTGAATACATCCCGGAGTTTTGACTCTGTTTCTCCGTGATAGGCTGAAGAAAGCTCAGGTCCATTGATGACAAGCACCGATGAGTTGGTGGATGATGCAATAGCACGTGCAAGGTGTGTCTTGCCTGTACCAGGCGGACCATGTAATAATATTCCCCGGGGCGGTTTGAGACCTGATTGAAAACGGGTATTGTCATCAAAACTTCTCTACGGGGATGTTTACCCATGCGCACCGAAATACCCAAAGAGCTCTGGTCTAGTGAGCGGTATCTCGAGAAGATCCCGTATCTGCGTGATTGTCTTGTCAAGTCCTCCGACAGCGGTGTATGCATCAGAAATTGATGTGTGAGGCAATGTTTCGATGTCAGACTAGGTAGTCATCCGTGATTATTATCACAGAGGTTTCTCAGAAGATGTTAGAACGTGTACCTTTTGCGTGAGGCTGACGTCATGGTCGGCCGCATCTTCTAGTACGGAAACAATAGTATCCCACCCTGCCGTCCAAAGTGATGGCTTGATCTGAATTGCAAACGAGTTAAGGTCGCGTGTTATGGTATTCACGGAACCAACTGATGCCGAGTGATGGGCTGACACAGAATCAATAGAGAATGTTCGAATTTCGCCCTGATATGGGACTTCGATAATCTGAGTGGAAAGAATATATTTGAGACTGACTATAAAGAAATTCCACGCATTGACAGAACGGCGCTGTTAGTGACATTCTACGCCACCTAAAACTGACGTACTAAGGTATTCTCGCAGTAGTAGAGTGAGCCAATCTCTACGCTTTCCTTTGCCCTGTGAATCGGCCATATTTTGCATAGTCCGTGTTCTTATGGAAATTTCTCTCAGACAGATGGTGCCAGCTTCTTGAACATCTCGCATAGTTGGTGAGCCGAGAGGGGGTCTTCCAGCGCCTTGATCGGACACGTCAAATACTTGTACCGTTGCGCCTTCCTTGAGCCGTGCCGTAAGAAAAAGCGAGGACGATATCAGAATGACTGGAAGTAAGGTTATGTAACCGCAAAGTCGAACTTAGCCAAAGATCTCGTGTCATCTGATACTGTACATACCATCTTGCGGAATATCTAGAGACGGCCACAATGTCCCGATTGCAAAATCCTGCCAGATATGATTTGAAGTAATTCACGATGCGATAGAATGACCGGATGAGCTGTAATGGAGACGCTAGCATGCAGGATAGATGTGATTCTCACCTTCTTGGTGATTTTGCCATCTGTCCCTGATAAGGCGACCACATCACCAGAGCACAATTGTGAAGCTTTCAAAATACTTGCGTGCACCACAACACGCCGGATCGCGCGTACCCCCGTTCCAATGGCAGCAGGCGCACTGCACCGAACTGTCAACTTAGGCATCGACATGGATGCAGACGTATTTTGGCGCATGAACCAGGAATCGCGACGTTATGGAGTTTTGAACTCTGTGATGATTTGCTCCAAGACTACAGGCGAGTGGAATGAGAGATGCCTGCACTCACCGCCTAAACCGTTTCTGCGAGCAAGCTCTTCACGCCTCAATTTTATCAGGTCAAAACAAAACAAAACAACAAGTAAACAATTTATGACAGCTGCTCAGTGGGGTGCAACGGCTAGTACCGCCACTGTCAATGCCATCTATTATTGTTCACATATCCTGTCAGATTTCGTCGCATGCTACATGACCTTGCAATTGCAAGCAAGGTGATTTACTGTGAACCCTATAATAAGATTTAGTATTCAGACCGCTGCGCATCACGGGTATGATCCACTTGACATCCACAAACATCATGATTCTACCCTCACAAGACCTTCCTAGGATATGTTATTTTCACAAGCACCTGGATCATAATAATAATCTTCAACTCCGATGTACATGTAGGTTGTCGACGTGGTTTTAATATCAGTTAATATAGGTTAATATCCGCTTAGAAACTCCGTTCCTTCTCCCCAACTGCACACTTGAGAAAATCAGCGAGGTTGTTTCAGATAACTCATCAATGAGCGATCTTTTGAGCAGCCTACGTACACTACGGTGAGTGCAATTAATGTAATTTAATATGATACGCCTAACAGTCGGTTTTACTATGCCATTCAGGTATCTGTGTTTTGCACCACCATGTCTCGATTGGGCAGTCTGACATAGCATAGCCCAAAGTGTAGGATCGAGATGTTGGGACAACACTTCCCATTTTCATTATAACACTTCTCAAGAACAACGAGGCGTTGTCCTTTTTGTGGAGCTACCCGAGATGGTATCGAACGGCAAAATCATACCGAGACACGATGCTCGAATCCATCATGTAGCCTTTCTTCGATTACTCGTCACTCTGACTCACTCACTCGAGGATCACCACACGGTATTTTTCAGCTCTTCGACGCGCAAAAATTTCGTAACGCATCTCTCCGAAGATAAGCAAAGATCGATGGTTTACGACAACAGCACAGCACCCGTCAGCAAGATACCCTCAAGAAGCAGGCCCTTGTATATGTGCGCTACCACGAGGCATGAACAAGAGAATACGGAAAAACAAATCAACAGAAATGCATTACATGCGTCGTGATATGATCTGCGGCAGTCCTGCTCCATATCTTCACCTGCACCATGGCAGCAATAACATATTCCTGCTGACTGAAAATGAAGGTACTATCGCAGAGTGCACATTCAATCTGTCCTTATTCTCTCAACTACATCATTCAGCAGGGACCTGGAATGGTATTTGTTCCCGGTGGCCTCGGAAAGCAATAACGAATTCCGCTATTCCTACTGGTATTCAAATCAGTGTCTGCACCTGCGTGTGAGCACATTGTCTAATGAGACCTCGACGGTTGACAACTTAAAATCAAGCTTTCATCTCTACCAGCAATCCCATATTTCGCCAGATCTATGACGTATGGTGGACACACATACGTGTATAGATTAAATCTAAAGGTACGACTGGCACCACTGAATTAAGACTTGGGCCGAGTCGTGGGTCATTTAGCATCATATTCCACATCCCAGACTACAATAACCTCAAACATGATCGGTCTGGCGATATCCGGGATTAAGTAGCATCTATGCGTTCCCTCGTGTGCACTAAGCTACTTCGAAACACTGGTAGACTAATTGCTCGGAATTCTGTTGATTGATAGCGTCAGTCCACATCACATCATGCCCGTCCGAACCACAATTGTCTGTGGAGAAGGAAGTATGTACCGCATTCATGAACGTCTTCGTCTTCGTCGCCCGGTGCTTAGCCCTCAGGAAGTTCTATAATTCTATTTATGCGAGTTAGGGATCATGGAAGTGATGGGCCGTCGATGACGTTAGGGATAAGCCGGGCACCTAATAATAAGACAATAAGATGATCGATCACGCAAGAGATTTGATTCTGTTCGTGCAAGCAAGCACCTTGCAGTCACTCCGATGATGAAATTTGGGTAGTGGGTGGTCTTTCGAGCGGTCCGCCTATGCTCTTGTCACACAAAACAACGTGATCAGTGCTCACCTGCAGTATATTGTGGCGTAAGGGCAGTACTTGCCAAGAGTCACATCTTTCATTCTGCCGCCCAGGAACTGCCACACCGTGAGACTTTGGAGGGCGATCCATGCCTTACTTCGCCGGCATGTTCCCAAGTAGTAAATGCTGCCAGCAAAGGTCAACATTATCACCAATATACACCAAGCCGTACTTGGACGGAGTAAATCTTATATCCTTCTATTGCACTTCGGATGTCATTTTACTGAGCGTCCCGGTAAGCAGCAACCAACACCTGCCAAATCGGACGTGCATCCCTGACGAGGCACTCGCTTCTGTACCCATGGTAAATAGACGGTTTTACATCGAAGCCAGCTGAGGACAAGTACAGCTGTCATTGAATACTCAGCTGTATTCATTGGCTTAAGCCTTATACACATGTGAAGGCTATGTGATGAGCTTTGAGATATTTCTGATAAAGAATTATCACGCACAGCCACATGACAACCTCGTCCTAATTAAGCTGTGAACCAAGAACCAAGGAATCCCAGAAAGAACCATCGCACATCGTCCCTCCGACCCGTCACACACAGAAACCACGATATACAGCATAGGATGCTGGCATGTGGAGATCCTGCTGACAATCATCATACATGTACAAACCCTACTAGAACCTTTATGGGCTATTTATTCAGCTACTCTCTTTCTTGGTATTCCGACCTCGGGAACGTATAAAACCGGGCGGATTCAGCTGTAGGAGAACTATATCTGCCCATCGACATCAGTACACTCTTGTCTTATTGCATCTCAATCATCCACCAACCTATCTAACTATCATGTGCAAACAAGTAGCGTGAGCAACAGATCATCTCTGCAGAAATACTCGCTCACAATGCCCTGCGCAGTGAAGGAACGCGCTGGCTAAGATGCGGGGTACGAAGATAATGCAATGCTCTTTTTTTGGACAGACTTTGACGAGAGCCGCAGCATTTTCAAAGGCATCTCGTCATTGCCATCGTAGATTGCAATTCAACTCGCTGCGAGCGCAGTTACAGACATCCGCCAACTTGTCGGCAACCAAACTGTACTAAAGTAGGTGATGCGTATAGCATCATACCATGCCCATAGTTGATATCTTTCAAGAACTTCGGACCCGAAATCCAGCGCTCGATCGACGATGTCGATGAAATTTGTCTACAGTGTCGTACAGCACTGGCTCGCAGGCGTGGTTGACAAAGCTTGAGCATTGCATCCGTCATTAGAGAGCGGGCAAAACATCTTTCCCCACATTGATACTCTCACATTATTCGTGTTAGCATTATATTGCACCATACTTGTAACATATGCATTTCATACCTTCCGCTCTCGGGATTAAACTCTCCGCTCCCGAAGGCTTTCGGTTTAGACACCACTTTAGTCCGTATCAGGAAAAAGCAGGTAAGAGCCGGAACGATGGCAACCTACTAAAAGAAGCCACAAGCATAGGTCCCATGATTGCAAGAAGGCACAGCTCCTGCGTCACCGTGAGTGTGCCGTTATCGTGATAAAAAAGGACGGTCGCGGTCGTCCCGCAAACCCATGCGAACAATGCAGGCTTCAATCGGCAATTGTGCCTCGATTTCCAGGTAGTTATCTCGCTCACAATCGATTTGACATGCTCCAATGAGCAACAACATTCCAGCTGTTTGGCATGGCTCTAGAATAATCTGTGGAACCAGCAACAAGGTATATGCTTGTTCCTCGACCAACGACCAATCACCGCATTTATCTCGCGGACTCATCGGATTGTTCAGACCCATCGACGAGCATCGAGAACACCACTTGAGATGAGATACCTGGGAAGTCGACGAAGCAAGGCTAGCACGTGTTATGGAGTCGAAAGAAGCTCACGTCGACCGCAGGAAGGCTGTCAATAGAAACACGACTGAAACTCATGTTGAAGCCAGACAACGTGCCTGCATTTTAGATCGTATGGAAATCTGTACCTTTTAAACCCCCGATGCATTCGCGGCGCCCAAGGAGTTTTGTATTTGATGAATATTCACTTTTCCATACAAATGACAGGGGTATCATGATCATCCCCTTGTCGCTGAGAGTGGTAGAAAGTTGAGGAGACACCAATGCAATCGGGCACTTGTTCTACTCACCGGCGGTACACCAGGGCGCTAAATATGGTCAAGTCCACAACAAGATTTACTTTTTTGTCTATGCACATTGGGAAAAATGATAGTCTATTTCTCGTGCATACAGCAAGTTCTGTGGCAACATCTCCTTACTTCCGCGAACACGACTAGTGCGGGTGGTTCTTGTGATGTTCTGATACACGCTTAACGAAGAATATACTGAGGTGAACAACAGTGACTTACTCAAGTGCACTGAAATGCCATGCATCAAAATTCGAATACACGTGTAAGAACAGATTACTCACTCTGGTAGTCGATGGTGTATCCGAAAGTGAAGAGACCCAAGATCGTCCAAACGAGTGGGGCAGCGGATGCGTTCTTGCCGTTGAAGTATCTAGCTTTAATTCCGCCACCAGAAACCGCGGATGCTGGACCCTTGGGCAGTTTTGAGTAGAAGTTGACCAGAGGCGTGAGGCTTGAACCAGAGCCCGACGTCTTAATTGCAGAGAAATGGGGAAGAGGTCACGCGAGGCGCAGCGCTGTAAGAATTAAGAACGCACCAAAAGTGACGGAGTAGCGATCTTGGGAGGAACGATACCCCCCAACTGACGACGAATAAGTGACGCGTGCATGGCGAGAACGAATGAATTGTCGACGTCGGGATGGCCCGGACAAACTTGGTTTTCATGTTGGAGTGTATTTGGTTGTCAACGGTCACATGATGTGATCACGTGTGTGAAATCCTATTCACGTCGAAACTTCAGGTTTGCACAAGTCCTTGACATACTTATACCCCATTAGAACCTGAAACCGACTAGACGCCACTAGCAAGACTCCTTGCGGTGCCCTTGATACCGAACTCGTGCCAACACGTGGGGTGGAGGGACGACAACCGGTTTAGACGAGTCCACTTTGGATGCAAACATTTAGTTTCGCTTGGACCATTCACAATCTCTTGGTATAATAGACCGCGGACCAGTCAAGTTCAAGTCATCTCCTCTTACATACTCATCCTTGGCTTTGCAAAGTACTCGTCATGTACGGCAACACTAAACCATTCCTATCTATCACATCCGCCCACCTGTTGTCTGGACTCTTCGCCTTTATCTATGTCGGTTCCATTTATGCTTTCAAGAATGCTCGTCTTCGCTTCTCCAAGAGGAAGGTCAACCTTCCAGAAGGGCAAGCTAGGCTCAAATTGCAAAATGAACGTTGGAGAGATGATCCGGATGTTATCAAGGCGCGACTACTTGCCGTTACCAGCGCCACTTTGATATGCTGTCTCATCGTATTCGTCGTGATGAAGAATTTAAACCGCGATGATGAATTTGTAGGTCATCAAGTTGCCTCAATGGGGAATGTCTGCCTCACTACCGTAATGTGCAAAACAGCATAACCTTACCACAGATGCGTGGCTTCACCTTGGATTCACATGGTCCAACGCACTTCCCCTCTTGATAACCCCATTGTTATTTTCTGGGCCGCTCTACGTTCAATTTCTCGAAAAGACACTACCATTCCAAAAGGGCTGGAATTTTGAAGATGATGTCCTGTTTCGATTTTTCTCGATCGTCGGTCTTCGAAATTATTTTGTTGTGAGTGCAAGTCCTTTGCAAAGTATTGCTTGCAATTTACCTTACATTGTAACAGGCTCCGATCACCGAAGAAATCGTGTTTCGCGCTTGTGTTCTCACCGTCTATCATTTGACAGACGCCTCCAGGACGAAAATGATTTTTCTCAGTCCTTTGGTCTTTGGCACAGGTATGCGTTGGAGTGATTTTTTTGGGCTATGAAAGTTGATCGTCATGTTCTCGAAATTTTTAGCACACATTCATCACGCCTTTGAAACATACCACAGATATGGCCGTACGGCCACTGCGGCAAAACGTGCACTTATATCTACTAGTACGTACGACCGTTCCATTCCCAGCGAGTGGCATTAACACTTCACATATAGCCATACAATTTACATACACGAGCATCTTCGGATTTTACTGCTGCTATTTGTTTCTTCGCTCCGGATCATTGCTCCCGCCCATTGCAGCTCATATGTTCTGCAACATTATGGGTATACCCCAACCAAACTATGAAATAAGTCTGATGCCTCATCGAAAGCTATGTGGGTAGCTGCTGTTATGCTGTCTAATACAAGCTGATTGCATTCCTTTTTCTGCTTCTAGCCATTTCAGCCGCGTATCTTTTCGGTATTATCGGCTTCGTTTTCATGCTCAAGCCTTGGTCGTACACGGATGGCAGCTTATACTGGCAGCGAAACTAGTTTCCTCGAGCCTTCGACCTATGCGCGCTGTTTGACAGTGATTGCGCCCTTGTTCACCTGCACGAACATTAACTTACCTACACCCTACTGGATTGGACAAATTTTCTGCGGCCTGGTTGGATTCCACTGTATCTATATCAATAATCACCACCAGCTCTGATCATTTTGTATACCGCGACGCTCTTGAAATTAAGCGCCGTCATGATCACTCAACACCCTATTGACGAAAGTTGGGCCGTGCAAGGACTTGAAGCTGTTGTATCACTGACTTATTACGTGTCACTAGTTCACTACCTGGCCATATGTGGGCTAAGCAGATTCGGCAGAAGGACAGCAATCGTTCCTTTTCCGGGATGCATTGCGGCAATAAATACAACAAGGTTCGACACCAGCAAGTGACCATCGCATTGGCCATATACTGTGTGAATGTAAGTAACTTACTAAATGTGAAACAGATGCTTCTTGGTCTGGATTTCCGATTGCCCGCTCCACATCGAGCGATACATTGAATTGATCTCGTTATTCGCTACCTTGAGACATGCATGCGGGACTGATCTGACTCAAAGACAAAAAAAGTGCCCCAAAACCCATGTAATTACCACACTCAAGCTGCGAAATCAAGTTTTTGCATCATGTACAACCGCACACCATCGTGACTTCGCCCTTATGTAATTCGTGATCCCGTGCAAGTCGAGCGGAAGAGTACTAGACGCCTGTACTATGTAGGCGCGTACAGACCGTTACTAACGGTTATGGGAAATGCCGCCGGTAGCTGTCAAATTTACGAAAACATTATTATTTGAAATCTTCCATCCAGCTTTTTCGCCTTACCAATATCTTGTGCCGTCTACATGCCGCACAAACGTGCCAAACGAGCTGTTCGTGAACAAGAGAGATCCCTGAAGTCAGTGTTCATATTACATATATATATGTACCTCCAGCTCACTTATGAGTCTCAAACTCAAAGAGGTCATAATCTGCCGCCAAAGCACCTTGGAAATGAGGAGACGGTGCCAAAGTCTGTAGCTCGCATTCTTAATGCCGAAAAAATCCGTCTGGAATTCAGGGAGAAGAAGCGGAAGATCGATGAGCCCAACGGCGATGAGAGCCCTCAGCTGAAACGAAGACGGCCGTCCAGTGATGTAAACAGTCGGAAAGGGGAGATGCTAAAGATTCAGCCAGGAGAAACTATAGCTCATTTTAACAAGTGAGTTTCAGAACGAATCTGGTTGCGGCGTGTCACCATTAAGCACGCGTGCAGGCGAGTCGAGAGTAGCATGATGCCGCTCATTAGAACAGCTATGCAGCAGTCATCGGCCCAGGTCCGGAGAGTCCAGAAGCGTGAAATTGAGCAGGGAGCCACCAAGCCTGCTGCACAGGTCAAGACGATGATTAATGACAGTACCCGTGCAGACGTTTCAAATCCATCGCTGCCCCCTTCGACCAACACACCCCTCAGCCGCACGGACCCTTTAAATCTATCACCGCTCGCATTGACCAGCACACTCCAGCGGCAGCATCGTGATAAACCTAAAGAGTTTCGTGTATCTTCAACCTCAGCACCGCGCCGCCTCAACGATATTGCACAAGAACCGCCACGATTTGACAAACTGCCTCGGGGTGCCCGATCAGGCAAAGACTCTTCGAAAGAGAAGGTCACGGGGATACTGAGCATGGCACAAAAGGCAATGATGGAAGAAGAGAGAGAAAATGTCATCAAACGTTACCGGGAACTTAAAGCTAAGAAGTTGCGTAGTGATTGTAGCGGCGCAATGGGCGAGTAAGCTGAGTCGATCGCAGTTCTCATCGACTACGTTTCCGATCTGGCGCAGTACTTTTGCCTGTCGTCACTGTCCTGTTGAGTGTCCCGTGGCGTTGGTTTGATCTCTACGTTGACGTTGACGCTTACTCTGCAGTGCGTTTCTCCGAGGAATGCTCGATCCCGTTCCCGTTCCCGTTCGCATTCTGACATACTAAAGAGATAATTCACGTTTGGTTTTGCTGCCAATACGGCTTATCCATTTAACTCGTTTCAGTGAGATAATCCTTTGGAATTCAAGATCCGCCCCAGCACTCCACAGGAAACTTTTGTCCCAACCTAGGCGGCGGAAGACCAAATTTCCGAAGCCCTCGGATGACTCTATTTGAATCCCTTTCCGCTATAGACGGTCCCTGGTACTCCTCCATGTACCCATTCAGGTTATGCGGCGGTTAGTTTTTACCCTGAGAAAGGAGGGATTGTTATCTTTCATCAGTCCCTCTTCGGCTTGCATCGTCATGATGAACCACAGGGAGGCGCCTGATTGTATAGCGGGTGCTATGCTGTGCTGTTGCCAAGATATGGGGTGTGCCGAACTTGCACTGATCACTTTAGTTCTTCTCGATAACTCGATTATGAGTCTATCATTAATCATCCATGCGCATGGGCACTGGGCAATGATGAAGCTCAAGTCGGCCCTGCGGAGACTCGTGTCCACGAACCACGGCCCCCACCGTCATTCAACCGACTTGCCGCGATGCCTACGTGCGATCACGTTCCGCGCTGAAGACCGAAATTACGAGCTTCCTTCCACCATGCTCAAAAAGATATTTGCCTCCCTCTTCCGGTATATTCGGAGGAGCCTGCGAAAGCGGGGATCTGATTTTCCGTACAGGAAGTCCTTTATAACAGACACACGATCAGTTGCCTGTAGCTGTCTGCTGACACCTTTCTTTCTCTGCCCACCTTACCTCGGCTCTCGTCGTGTTGGTGAACTGTATCCTCCATGGAGGACGTGGAGAAGCAAGCGGACTGCTCATCAGTTCGAGGGCCAAGCATTGAAACAAGTGCATATGAAAACCTTAATCGACACAGTGCTTTGCAACCTCCTGACGCGCTATTACTGCCCACAAACATGACAAACCGAGATAGAGGATGGGCTGGTTGGTTGGCTGTCTTCGGAGCATTTCTGGCCCTTTTCTGTTCGTTCGGTCAAATGAATGCTTTCGGAACATATCAGTCGTGGTATTCGCATCATCAGCTTTCAAACCATTCGCAATTCAGTATTTCTTGGATTGGATCTCTCCAGCTGTGGACATTCTTCTTCATGGTAAGTTATATTGGCTAGCCAAGATCGTTGTTGCTCGATGATATCATATGAGACTAGGGAGGACCTATAGGACGCCTTTTTGACGCCTACGGGCCGTCGCCCGTTATGCTATTCGGGACAGTGCTATTAACTTTCAGCATGTTGATGACAAGCATCTCCACGAAGTATTATGAATTCTTATTGTTCCAAGGCTTCTTCTTTGGCCTTAGTGTTGGATCGCTGTAAGTCCCTTCCTGAGCGCTGCGCGTCTACTTTTAAGTTTATCGCACAGCTTCTATCCCTCCTTAGCAGCGGTTTCCACTCACTTTGATGAGTACCGTGCATCGGCCCTTGGTGTTGTAGCCGCTGGCTCCGGTGTTGGTGAGCGGTCCGCTATTGTCCGTCCAATCCAGCTGAGTTATTCTAGGTGGTGTTGTTTATCCCATTATGCTCCGCCAACTCTTCTTGCGCACCGGTTATGCATGGGCCGTTAGAGCATCGACGTTACTTTCTGTGGCATGTTGTATCGTGGCCCTTGTTACCGTAAAGAGAGTAGAAGGTCCTAAGAAATGCTCCGGATGGATGGATGTCAAGATGCTCAAGGATGCATGCTTCATGTTGCTCGCTACCGGATCCTTCTTTATCTGCCTCGGTAAGAAAACAAATTCTTTCATGGGGCTGTAGCTTACCAGGGCAACCAAGGTATATTTACACCATTCTTCTACATTGTGAACTATGCCGAGGATCGAGCACTGGTTTCTCAGAATACCGGGTTTTACGTTCTGTCAGTAATGAATGCTGGAGGTGTATTCGGCCGCATCGTTCCCGCGATCCTCTCCGACAAGATGGGGCGATACAACCTCCTTATGCCCACCTCCTTCTTAGCAGGCCTATCGTGCCTTGTCTTTTGGATGCTTGCGAAGACTATGATCGCTGTAATGGGTTTTGCGGCGGTATATGGTTTTCTATCCGGTGCATTTATATCCGTCATTACTCCGTGCGTTGCACAGATATCAGATATCAATGAGATCGGGTCTCGAATAGGTGCATTGTATACACTCATATCCATCCCGTAAGATTGTAGTTGGATTCGTTTGACCTATGCTCACCGTAGTTCTTTCAGCTCTCTTATTGGTGGACCCATCGCAGGAGCTCTCATTCAATGTCAGGACGGTTCATACACGGGAGTGATTGGGTTATCGGGATCAAGCATCATCATCGGGTCATTGTTTATTCTAGCTTGCAGGCTCAGGATAAACCGAAACATCTGCGCAAGAGTGTAGCGAGTTGTATACCTGCAACCCTCGTATCCTTATTTTCTAAGTTCTACGACTGGGAAAATTGCATCTTAACGACGGCTTTGATTCTTGCAATACTATGTATGGTGTAATTATTCTGTATTTTTATCATTGCGGAATGCACAGGGCGTTATCAACTTATCATGCCAGGGTCGGGTAGTAACTAGTAACTGCCGCACGTTCCAACCATCCAATATTCGGAGGATATTACGTACGTGTCTTATTTGTGCACTAGGGTGTGAAGATGCACACTACGAGCGCTGTCACATGTTCACCATGAGCAGATCGATTGGCCAAAGTTGATACAACGATGGGTAAAATGCTCTGAAGCGACGACCGTGTCTGATTTCAACCGTACTTAGCTAATTGTAAATTTCCCCAGTTAAACAGACTTAGTTTGAGTCTCAGTGAATCACACCTACCTCCTATAGTCCACAACCATGAACATCCAAAACCCAAGCGCTGAACGCGACTACATCCCTATCGCTGATCATGGCTTGTGTGTAGCTTCCTAATTAACGTTATAAATACATGTTCTGATAAGATCCTATTAGAATCGGGAATCTGAGGACTGCTGCGCTGGTGAGTTAGGGCGCTAGATCGTGCATTCTGAGCCTCTTTGTTGATCCCTGACGTTCATGTAGGTCAGTCTCGATGGATCGAGTAAGTAATTCTAGTTTCAGATAGTTTGGGACAAGAAGAATGTTCTCTTGAAGTTGGGTTCCAAGTCGGATGGCTTGGACGAGCGCCGGTGCTCGCTCGCCCGGAGCTTCTGTAGTTCATCCATATGAGTTTTATCTAATGCATATCCCGCACAGTCGAGAGTTATTGTGTCCCAAATTTCGACTCTCCATCCATCTTTGCACGCATCTTGGACAAAAACAAGGTTTGAGCTTTATCATAATACTTAGGGGGCTTCCCTGATTAATGGCGCTTACGGTAGGGCGGCCATTTCTCCATTACACCGACGGTTCCTTTCAGCACCAAACACAATTACTTGCCGAGCTCAAACGTATTACAGACCAAGTTTGTCTATCTCCTTATCCATATGCGAATCATGGCTGAACATGGGCAGGTTTCTCAACGAGAAGGGCGTGGTTAGTGTCACCGGTAAGTCACCCATGTCAACTCATGCCGACAATTGCAGGAGCTCATTGGATACATCCAGACTTCCTTCCTCGCCTAGAAAATGGCGAATCTACGCACCCATTACTGTTTTGGCTAATCAGACGTGTCGAGGTGAGCTGCTCTCCTCTACAACATCCCACTTAGGCTTTATATCGCGATCTTCACTCGTTAGGTGGTCCGCGGTGCCGTCCCGCTGCGCGTCGAATGCGCCCCCGCCTTCAACTATGCTCGGGACCCTCACGCTACCCAAATCGTCCCCGACGATACCATCCCACTCCAATTTTCCAAACAAAACAAAGTCGTCTTCACTTCGAGGCCCGCCGCTTCTCAATATCTTGCGAAGGGTGCGAGCCCACAGAACGCGTCGCACAGCCCGCTCACGCTCGATTTGCGATTCCTCCCCGAGTCCTTGCTTGAAAATGTTCCTGTACCTGAGGTCTCTTTGGAGACCCTGGATCTCAGTGCAAAGGGTCACCTGGGCTTGGCTGCACAGGCGGAGTTGACGCTTGTAGAGGGTCAGCGGGTGACGTTTGTGTTGCGGATTGCGCCTGAGCACAAAGGTAATGGTGGGTCGGGTATAGATGAAGAGCAAGCAGAGCAGCTAGGACTTAATTATCAGAGTGAGCACTTCTAGTCATTCCATATTAGATTGATGGTCATGATAAGTAGAGCTGATGGCGGGTGCGCACAAGATGAGGCCAAAGGATGATCCGGTCATGACTAGCGTACGTTTTGGTGACCGTTGACCTTTGAGCTTGCTGACGCTCCCATTCTAGGAACTCCTCGACCATCTGTTTGTCGTACGTCTCTTGTTTGAATGTCGTTTAGTTTTTGTTTTACCCGGCTCATCTGCGCTTGCAGTCTACCAATAATTACTGGAACTCTTGGATCAGGAAATCCACCTACCAGGGTTCTTGGAAGGAGGCCGTGCACCGAAGTGCATTGGCACTAAAGTTACTCATATATGAACCCACTGGTACGTGTTTCGTCTTGTTCGGACGTTTAGTCTTTCTGTATTTAGGTGCTAACATCACTTCTAATTACCTCTGCGTGTAGGCGCCATTGTCGCGAGCCCAACATTCAGCTTACCCGAATACATCGGTGGGACTAGAAATTGGTGCGCTTCTGCTTCTTCACGTACTTCGATTTTCTCACTAACGTACGATATATAGGGACTACCGGTATGCATGCATCCAGTATTCCTCATAATTCGGTGATTCATGTCATGCTACTTATGCAGGGCCTCCTGGATCCGTGACTCTTCGTTCACGCTATACGCTCTGATTAGACTCGGGTTCACTCAGGAGGCTAATGGAATGTCTCTTCTCTGCATGCTGCCCTCAGCCCGTGCTGACCCCGTTAATTAACAGCATATATGGACTTCATCTTTGAGCGGCTGAAGAACAAGAACCCAGATGGTTCCTTACAGATTATGTACGTTTCTGACCTCTCTCAGATCGCTTCGTAGGCTGATTATACATGAAGGTACACGATCCATGGTATGTCTAATATGATACGATTCACAAGGCGACTCTGATCGCCCTTCCGTAGGTGGGAAAGATCTGGAGGAGATAGAGCTTCTCCATCTTGATGGACACAAAGGTTCTAAGCCTGTTCGGTTCGCCCCACTTATAACCTACGCAGTACTCGCAATCTGACTAATACCAAAAGTATTGGTAATGGTGCAGCTGATCATGTCCAACTGGTACGTCTCCCGTGTAGTTGCAGTATGGCCTGGGAAGCTGATCTGGTTGACAGGACATTTACGGTGAATTGTAAAGTTCCACGTATGCTCCTTGGTTGGTCAGCACTGATCATGGTCAAGGATGGATTGTATTTACCTCGGACAGAAGGTATGCTCCGAGGCCAATCCAAAACGAGTCCATCTAATATCATTTACTTTCAGTACGGTAGACCATTGGTGAGTCTTATTTAATTCCCCTTGCCGTATCAACATCTCAATTATTCCGGAAGTCATATGACACATGGTGCGTATTCGGACCAGGCCATGGGCGGCCATACTGACAAGGTTACGTTTGATTGAAGGGTACTGGTTCGGGAACTGTGAGTTATTCGGGTTGACGGTTGCACACGGCTGCTAATTCTGCTCTCATTCAGTGTAGACTGTGCGTCATCTATGATCTTTATTTTCCGACGTACAACCAATATTTTGTAGTCGTTGTCGCAAACTACAAGAAACCCGACTTGTGCGCCTCACATAATTTCTCTAACTATCCGATGACTCAACTCGTATTACAGATCCATATGGTCAGTACGCGTCAGGCAGGAGTGTTTTGAGACTAAGTGTCAATGTCCGTGTCGCAGGGAAGTTCGGGGCAAGGAGCGCCATTTTACTGTGTGTATTTTCACTGGTACCCGAAAAAGTCGGTGCTGATCCATGCTCTTATTGCCAGTACTCGAAGGTGAGTTTTTACTGTTGAACTGGACAATATTGAGATGGCATGTGGAAGATTATGCTCTGGTATGTCACATTGCCTTGAAATAGACACAGCAATGTTGATTGAGGATGCAGGGTCGCAATTGATAGAGGTGCGAGTCACGGACCATACAGATGCACTCACACGTTGATGAACACGCACTCGTACAGGCCTTCGGCTTGCGGACAAGCGTTCCCTCCCTTGTCCTCGCCGCCTAGAGTGGCTTGCCGCACGCGACGACCTTTACGAAGAGATCATGCACAAAGCGTGGAATAAGGACCTGCAGGTCTTCGGGCAGAGTTATGAAGAGACAGACGTGCTTGATTCGTCGGTGCTCATTATGCCCCTCGTGTTTTTCATGACGCCGGTATGTTTAAACCCTTATACCTGTCTGTTCAGGGAATGTTAATATGTTCACGAAGTCCGATACACGGTTCGTAAGCACACTGAAGCAGATTCTCAAGACGCCTGAAAGGGGCGGATTGACCTCTAATGTGAGTCCCACCTCGATTTCACAATTAACATGCTGACTGTGGACCAGAACCTCGTCTACCGGTATGATGTGAACAAATCTGATGATGGCGTAGGAGGCGAGGAAGGCACGTTCTGTCTCTGTACGCTATGGTGCGTTGAGGCTCTAACTCGTGCCGGTGAGTACGAGAGGCCACTTTTGCAGCGTGCAGTGGCGATGTTTGAGGTATGTCCTATTTTTCTCTAGCCTATCAGGTTCAGTGAGACTAGTACTGAACGGGATGAAGGACTTCCTGTTGTATTTGAATCACGTGGGCTTATGCACTGAGGAGATCTCGGAGTCAGGCGATGCGTATGTGAAATTCCATTTTTCTTTGAACTGTGGAGCCTGACATCCTGCTGCAAAGGCTTGGAAATGCCGTCCAGGGTTTCACGTACGTTCTCGTTCGTTAATTTTGATTTGTGTTAACATTTCTGTATAGCCATGTAACCCTCATTTCCGCGGCGTACAATCTCTCGAGGACTCTGGCAAATCAGCGATCCGTATAAAAGTCGAAAAGAATTCTGAACCTCCTACATAGATCAGCGGGCAATGTTGTAATCGTGACTGTAATTGTTGTACTTATAGCTGTGGTTGTTCTTGCATTCCATTATGTAATGGATCAGATCATAAAATGGAAGTTCCAGCCAGGAGGAGCGGCTATCTTCCCTTTGTGTACTACGGGAGATTACAGCATACCTTGAAAATTGCATTGAGCTTGCGGTTCTAATCCTTTAACACTGCCGCTGATAACTGTTCCTTGTCAAAGAGAGATTCCACAAATGCATAGAGATACGAATATTAGAGCTAAGCGCCAGAGCGCGGTTAGGTAGACTCCGATTATAAGGAACGACAGGGGATGGAACAAGAAAATGTGCAAAATGAGAAGTTAATGCTAATGAACACTTGGTTTTGAGATATCATAGGATATGACACGAAGACCTCTTCCTATACTCCAGCGGCATGCACAATCAGAAAGTTTCCTCTTCATCGACAGCAACACTGCCATCAGGAACTTCAAAACCATCCTGCTCAGGCCGGTGAGTTTCGGATAAGCTAAAGAAAGATGAAGATAATTATGAAGATGGTGCCTACCTCTGTTGAATAAAGGATCTTTTGAATCTCTTTAAGGTTGTCATCTTCCTTGCCTTGACTCTCCAGTGTCTCTGTTTGTTGCTGAACGAGGATCTCGATATCCCGAAGCTATAAAAACGTTTAACTGTGCGTCCGATAGGGATGGGTGCCGACATACTTTTGCAAAGTAGAAGTCCCTTTCCTTCTCTAGGCCTTCCATATGCGTCGACATTTCGCGGAGTTGAGCCTGTAATGCCTGCATGGCTTCATTGGGTTGCGTAGAGCCTGCCCGATGTCCGCTGATAGGCGTCTTTCCACCGGATCGACCGCCAACCCCCAGAACGGCACTGGCGCTGCGCGCCCCAGTTGAAAGTGGAGCAATGGTCGCTGGTGGTTCGGCTGGTGCACCGCGCCTACGTCCGACCGCGTCATAGCCCTGTCCACCGTAATTGGAATCCCAGAATCGCTTCATCCATTGCAAGAACTCTAGATTGTCTCTGATGATGCGTACATTGGTCAGTATCAGGGTAATGATGTTGTAGGCTCCATAAATCAACGCACTGCATCTTGCACTTGACGAGCTTCTCGATGGGTATAGGCTACATTAGAAGAACGAAAAATGAGTTTGAATGACGCGTTGGCGGGATGAAAAACACGCCTTATCGATCTTCTTTGCTTTGAAGACGTTTTGCATGACTTTGAAATTGGCGACAAATTCATACTCGTGCTTTGCGTTCATTTTAACTCGCGCCATTGGAAGATCGCCTGCAAAAGAGCTTTAGAAATCATGACGAGCCGACCTCCAAGACGATCTGGGTGAGGTTGATGATGAGGCTTGCACGAACCATAGATGGAGTCAAGGATTTGACAGTAGGCTCCTCCGGTACCACATTGTTCAATCTTGGTATAGTTCAGCTGAAGAAGCTCGTTCAGCCAAGCTAGCAGATCTGAGCGCGAAACAGCCATCATGATTTGAATGCAGAAATGTCTAGTGAGTGGAGAAAGCAAAAAGCGTGCAGAGGTTACGAAATCGTCCTAAGGACAAAAACGTGTGGCTTCGATTCTTGGGTTCGTCTGTCTTCCTTCTTCAGTGCCACGCACTGCTCTTGCTCTTGATCACGACTGCTCATCCTCTTGGGTGATCTCCCTTCCAGATCAATTATCACAGTTTGTCCAGGTGAAATTACTTATTATTCCACTATCATGTTCTGACCTGCCACATGCGGAGCCAGGTTGACATTTCCCCTTGGGCCTTGGACGTCTGGACCTTGGTCCATCCGAAAGATACCATATTTTAAATTTCAGTCGCATCGTACGTAAATTCCAGTGTCGGGGTGGAGCTGGTTAGCTGACATGCATACACGCGATTTCAACGTTTGTCGCGATTAGCAGTCGTTCATTTGGCATTTGATGTCAAATATAACAACAATGACACTGCCTCCTGAAGCATGTCATCGAATAGTCCATTGGACGCGTCGATGCGATCTCACTGCGCTGTGCCTGACTAGCAAGTCGCTTCAGAAATCTGCAGAGATCAGGCTATACGAGGTTATCATGTCCGGTGATATCAATATCATTTTTCGAGCGTGCGAGAGCATCGTATCGCAGGAGCGCCTGGGCCCATACGTCCGCTCCTTCTATCTCTACCTAAATGCAAGGCGCACTCAAACAGAGCTGCCCACTCGCTTCTGGAATATGGTACAGAAAGCACTTTGGAAAATGCGTTTTCTGGACGTGCTTTACATTGATGATCCAGCCCGTGCTAATTCTTGGATTTTGAATGACATCCCAAAAATTCCGTTTCAGCTCCGAGAAGCAAACTTTCGCCTCCCGTGGAATCGACACGTCATAAAGTTCCTGGAGAGCCAGAACAAGCTTAGGCAGTTCCATATTTCGGGCGGCATCGATGAAGATGCTCCACAATTTGAAGATGGTAGCTTGCCTGACCTGTGCACCTTCGATGGGCACCTCGCTTCAGCCATGCATTTACTTTCTCTTCCTTGCTGCCTTCGCCATCTTCGCATACCTTTGGATAGAAGCACTAACAAGCAACTTTTGGATTTTATTCCCAAACTCTCTACCCTCTCGCGAACTCTCCGTTCACTGAATATCATTCATATTCCCGAGGAATTGTCGGTGGAAGCGATCAAGCTCATTTCGTTTGTGTGCCCTGACCTTCATTATGTTGGAATTATCCCATTACCAATGACTTTTCCCCACGTAAGTTGAGTTCTTTACCTCTTTTATATAGCTTATCTTTATATCATTACCTCAAGCGCAGCATGATTCATGACGCTCTTTTGGCTATGCACAACCTACGAGATCTCGAAATCGATGTATCGCGATGGTCGCCTCTACCCAATACAGGTTCACTGCAACGCATGCTTGCAACTGAACTCCACACATACTGCCCTTCTATAGAGCACATCGTTCTCCGCACAGGAAGCAACCGAACATTGTGGTATTTCGACGGAAATGAGTGGAATATTCGTTCAGAAAACGGGCAACATCTGCTCGTCGATGGATTATGGAAGAATAGATGATGTACGGCAGCATGCTTGCAGTTAAAATCTATTTACGTGACGAAATAATGTAATCACCAAGTGAGTTCATCGCCTTGGTGGTGCTTACATGCATGTTTACATGACCCAGCCACGCTGATACACACCCGGCGGATGTATTATAGAAATGCTTGCGAAATACACGCTATGCTTATGTATTCAACCTGATTTGGTAGGGAGTTGTCACCTCCGAGTCAGAACGTTCTTCATAGGATGCGGCATTTCCAGGGCGCCTGAATCGAATTGACTACGAGTACGCATGAAACAACGTGGCCTAGGCCTAAATCTGTTCAAACCGAGTTAGCTTTTGCTGCTTACGTCTAGCCCCTCATTCCGCCCCTTGATCGCCTTTGCACGGGGAATTCATCATATTGACAAGATTCCCGTTTCATGGTCTAGTCAACCTGCATCATGGCTCGGTAATATCCGTGCCAACGCTAAGCTACTGTGGCAATACCGGCGTTCACCAGAATGATATAAACCTTGACTCGCAACAAATTTTATCCAAGCAAAAGTGACTTCTTATGCAGTACCAGCGTACCAACTCTAATTCATCGATGGCATACTCGGATAGGTCAATCTCATCGAATTCCTCTGTATCATCTCCTCCCCCTCAGCTTGTTGCATTACCGTCCATGACCCACTCTCTGGCAGCCCTGCCAACCATGTCTGCGGTACCACACGATATGATGCATTATTCGAATTCACATAGTAGAGCGAAGGCAAGTTCTTGAGATGTGCCTTGCGCAGCGCACAGCTGACACAATTCCAATAGATGGAGTATGCTATGCAAAAGCAGAGGCAACATGCAGCCGCGCATCCCTTTGCAGCGCTCAACGTACGCTAGGCCCATCATTCATCTGTATAGATTCTAACACGTGTTCCCTCAGGCACATGACATGAGACGCACACCCAGTCCATCGTGTGAAGATGGGCACATTACTGTCCGAAGACAAACCAATAGCAGACGTTAAACAGCGACGTGACGGTGTGGATCATCGTTCTGATGCTTTCCACGCCCACGTTGATTATGACTATCTCCCCAGACACGGGGCCGCTAAATTGTTCAGTTGGTTACTGCGCCGCCACTGCAGGACAGAATGGCTATGCATAGGACGATAGGATCTACCATAACTCCGGACGTTAATTTTTGGGACTTATTACTATTCGCGATCGAGGGAGGAACCCGAGATCGAAACAAAAGTACTGCGGGTTCATCAGCACATACCATACTAATGTATCTATATTTTATATACATGGCTCCTTTTTCAGGTTTCTTAGCAAAAGCTGTTCGTTACAGTACGGGTAGGATCGCAGGCCGGTCCAATAGGATTTTATGTAACGTTTACTGTTCGTTGTCAACGAGAACACTCTCACTCCACAAGCTGGAAGAGGATGTGAAGGCGGAGTCAGCAGACAGCGGTGCGCCGGCGACTTTGAAGTGCGATCTCAGCGGTAGAAGATCGTGTCCAGCCTTGGCGAATCATCGACTCGACTCCGCCTGACTGCGGCAGTAGGTCCGAGAACCAATAGAGAAGAAAGCAGTTTGATGAAGCCTTGGTCATCAAACTGACTCATCTCATTCGATCCTTGCTAATACCGTCGGGCGCTCAAGCGCTCATTGATGCATCATCACTGGAAGGAACGCCACTTCCGATGGACGGAACCAATTTTGGGGTGCACTGTACAACAGCTTTAGTTTGTCACGGTAGTCTCTTGCCAGTGTGGCTGCAACACAAGTCTTACACGTGAAATTGTCCTGGAACGTGTGAGAGGTATGTTTTGTGTGTGTTGCTGGTCTCCCTAGATATGTGACAGTCGATTTACATATTTCAAACTAAAGTGGGCGCAATAAAAAGGAGGCTGGAGGTGCCTATAAAAAAAAGTTATTTGTTGGCTGCAAGAAAACACGTTTCTATCCGGGGCCGAATCTGGGGTATGGAGTTGAGGTGAAATACAGAGGGGCTGGTCTTGTCTTGGACCACATTGGCAGGCGAATAGAATTATAGACCGGACCTGGACCAATGCAACGCGGTGAAGTAGCTACAAAGGAAATTTAGACCCAGAGAAGTAGAGGGGCGTTTGATTGGACCGGACAGTGTCACCGTGGGATCACTGAAGCTTGATGAATCGATCAATGGCAACTGGGGTAAACTGATGCGGCTTCTTCTTGACATCGCGCCCATGAAACGTTGAACCTGAAATTTTCAATCGGGCGTCACGGTCAAGTGGCATATAGATTGTTTGATACTGTTTACGTCTGTTTGACAAAGACTTTAGAATCAAACAACCGTCTCCCAATTGGCAAGTCAAACTCCTCTATGACCCGATATTATCATTGTCAATACAGTCCTCTGTAATGCTCCTTCCTCTCACATTCACCGCTTATGCAAGCATTCGGGATGCTAGCGGCCCTCCAATAAACCTCATTGAGTCTGACTTTAATTCGGAACAGACAACTTCGTTCATATCTTGGAGAACCGAGAATGGCCTAGATCATACTGCTGTTGGCAGCTCTAAGGGTTCCATTAGCGTCTTCAGCTTTCACCCTACCAATACTCCAAATTTGGACTCCCGTGCAAGACTCACTATCATACCACCTGCTGAGCACAATCCATCCACCGTCCCGTCTTCATCGCCCTCACACTCTCGTCGGCACTCTCGTTCACTCCAGTCACCCTCATCGTTATCATTCAATCAAGTTCTTCTCAATGTATCCGCCAGAGCGCGGGTGGTTTCTGGCGTATCACACGAACAAGTAGAAGCTCCAAAGAATTACGTTGACTTCGAAGACGAACCTGAACGATTGAAGGACATACTCAGGAGCAACAGCAAGCACAAGCGCACTCTAGCAGACTCAATCCTTCCTAGCTTTGATAGAGGTGTGGTAATAGAGCAATCGCCTGCTCCAAATTCTCCAACGCTTCTTCCCACTTTGCCAAACTCACCTTCAGGTGCTTCTAGCACGAGCAAAAATAAGGATGATCCCAGATCGCTACTTCCAGAGACAAATTCCCCAACGTTCTCTCCGGTATCATCTTCGGCACCACCGTCTCCTCGTCCACTATCTCCCTTCGACGGCTTGCCGTCTCGTGGAATAGTCAAAGCAAGTATCATCCTTGAACCTTGCGGACCTGGGAATGCACCATCTGCCATGCGGTATATAGAGACGATGGACCTATTGGTGGTTCTTCAGGAATCAGGGTGCGTTTTATCGCCACCAACCTACATTACTAGCCCATTGAGCCTCCTAGCAATTTATCTGCCTTTGACATGCGGGACAGTACGTGTGTAGCGACATGTGGATGCACGACCACAAGATCATATCAGGATCAGCTCTGGAAATGGGAGAGTATTCGGATGGTGCCTGCGTGGGATGTACGTCGTTTTGTTGTTATTTTCTGCGTCCGCCGCAAAGTTCATTTGTACGCCGATGTAGCAAACATACCTCATTCTGGCATGTGCATCACCTTCGCAGCCT